AAATGATGCTTAAGATTAGAAGCGGCTGAAAAGCATTTCTCACACTCAGAACAAAAATATATTTTTTTAACATTCTCTCCACTTTGAACGAAATGACGTTTGGGAAGAGATTTTGTATGAATAGGTTTTTCATGTACGATACGGGAACATGATTTAGATCCTTGGTAAGTTTTGCGAGATCCAATAGTGTGTATGTAGGGGGAACAGTCAATCCATATCTGCCAAGTGACCCTATGTAGGGGGAACAGTCTCTATTCTGCTCTGTGTCAGTGTGTATCAGGGGCTCTGAGGACAGGTGTCAATCCATATCTGCCAAGTGACCCTATGTAGGGGGAACAGTCTCTATTCTGCTCTGTGTCAGTGTGTATCAGGGGCTCTGAGGACGGGTGTCAATCCATATCTGCCTAGTGACCCTATGTAGGGGAACAGTCTCTATTCTGCTCTGTGTCAGTGTGTATCATGGTCTCTGAGGACAGGTGTCAATCCATATCTGCCAAGTGGCCCTATGTAGGAGGAACAGTCTCTATTCTGCTCTGTGTCAGTGTGTATCAGGGCCTCTGAGGACAGGTGTCAATCCATATCTGCCAAGTGACCCTATGTAGGGGAACAGTCTCTATTCTGCTCTGTGTCAGTGTGTATCATGATCTCTGAAGACAGGTGTCAATCCATATCTGCCCAAAGACCCTATGTAGGAGGAACAGTCTCTATTCTGCTCAGTGTCAGTGTGTATCAGGGGCTCTGAGGACAGGTGTCAATCCATATCTGCCAAGTGACCCTATGTAGGAGGAACAGTCTCTATTCTGCTCTGTGTCAGTGTGTATCATGTTCTCTGAGGACAGGTGTCAATCCATATCTGCCAAGTGACCCTGTGTAGGAGGAACAGTCTCTATTCTGCTCTGTGTCAGTGTGTATCAGAGGCTCTGAGGACAGGTGTCAATCCATATGTCAAGGTGTCAATATGTCATATGTCAGGTGTCAATCCATATCCATTGTGATTTAGGAATGTTAGGTGATTTATGCCCTTTATGGATTCAGAGCAGACTCTGCATCAACTGTGTAATTTTCCATGGGATCCCCCTCCGGCATGCCACAGTCCAGGTGTTAGTCCCCTTGAAACAACTTTTCCATCACTATTGTGGCCAGAAAGAGTCCCTGTGTTTTTTTAAATTCGCCTGCCCATTGAACTCTATGGCGGTTCGCCCGGTTCGCGACATCACTATTGATTATTAGATCACGTTTTTTCACTTGTTAAATTGTTACATGCACCTATATATTGTGAATTGTGTATGTGCTTTAATAGCTTGATAAATGCCCTAAGGGGTCGAAACGTTGCCGTTTGGTTCCTGTTTCTAATAAAATTGCCTTTGCTTTGGAATTCATTGGAGTGCCTGGATTATTCTCTACATTTAAAATTTTACATTTGGTCCACTTTGGTACTGGGACTTGTCCATTGGAGCACCCTGGATTCCATGACGAAGGGCTGAGTGCACTTCCACTATCTATATTTGGCAATGTATGACCTAGACACTATTTTGTGAAGTTACAGTGCTGTAAAAGAGACGTGGCAAGTTCAGGTTTTTCAGTGTGAATTTTCATGGAGGGTTTTGATGTGTCCGTGTCCCACTTTGGAGCACTTGAGCAGGCTACATATTCCAGCTACACAATAAAGGCATACCATTTCTTAAAGAACACATCCCAGGGTATTTTAAAAGGCATATTTTGAACCTTAGCGTGGGATAATTTTTCCGCTAGCTTTTACCAAGTGTGGTAGTAATAAGCATTTTTTTCTGCCTTTTTTACACACAAAGCACAGTATATTTTGCAAACTTTATGTGTGCTACGACTGTATAATACTGTCTCGGCTGAGTACAGCAATACCCCTATATGTACCTTTGCCAGGTATATGTGGACATTGAAGGGGCACATTTGGCTGTTTAGTATGCCGGGGCCGAAATGACGTCATATTCCAGTTCCCGGCATCACAGAGGGTGCGCAAGGGAGGAGTGAGAAGCTGAACAGCCTCCCTCACCGCCCACAATACAGCAGCCTGCCTCCTGTCCCCCTCTCCGGCATTTCTCGGCAGAGCAGGCACCCAGATGGCAACTTCCTGGGCCCCCTGTGACAGGGCCCCACTGGTTGCCCCCACTTTAGGACATCTTGAGGATCGTTCCGGTGCTGGGGGCGGCTCAAGAGCCATTCGCCCAGCGCTGCGGCCCAAGACAGGGGCAGCCCACCAGGAAATATCCCGGTGGGCGCCCCCAGCATGCCCTGTTCTCTCTATTGGTCTGGTGAGTTGAACTTACCTGTATCCTTGTGGTCTGGTCTCCCGGGTTGCTGTCCGGGTTTCTTCACGTTTGCCGACCGCTGATCTTCACCTGTTTACCTGTACCATTGCATAGTGGAGATCCTGCTGCTACCGGGCACCTGTCTGTTCCATGAGGTCTGATCGCTAAACAGTGAGTTTGCCTGACGAGTGCCTCTCAGCACGCCGTCTGGGCCGGTAGCTCATATCCCTTCTGACTCACCGGGTTCCCCCAGCACCATGGTATCAATTGCAGACCTCGCCCCCCCCGCCTGCATGCATGCTGGGGTCGCCACGTGCAGATGGTTTTCTCATTTGAACTTGCCACGCGTCGGCTTTCACTTCGCCGAACGAGTTGTTCGGCAGTTTGGTTGCCTTCCCCTAACGTACGAGTTAAACTGCTCGCATGTATCTCGCTATCTCATGCCGCGTTGGGCACTTTCATTTCAGCTCTTTCCAAGCTGTCTTTTAATTAAAGGTGAGGGCTTTCGCTTTCATGCTCCTCATTTTGGCTGATTTGAACCTTTCGTATGTGTGATTTACAGGTTGTTCATACTGATATCGCCACCTTGTGGCCATATAATTAATGGTTTTGTCTAGTACTGTGCTACAACAGCACGGGAGTTATTACTTGATAAATGTTCCTAAGTACATTATGATTTCACATTTAACAAGTCAGTTATATCATCGGTGCATCTTTTTTTTACACAAATTTTCATTATTTGAGTATGTCACTTACTAAATTCATAGCTGGTTATCATAATACTGCAGGTATAAATGACTCAACGGGGCGGGCTGGGACGGGAGGCAATTGCCCCCCAGGCCGCCCTAAACCAAAGGCGTCCCGCATCCAGCAACGAATGGAAAAATCCGAATCCCCTGCCTTTGGCTCCGGCCCTGCCTCTGGCTGGAGACTCGGATTTTTCAACTTACCTCACTCTCCCTGCAGCCTGCAGTCAGTGGAGTCGGCTGGCCTCTTCAGATGATGTCAGGAGGAGGGGGCATGACTTCCACTGCTCTTCTCACAGGGGAGTCTGGGAGAAGTGCAGTGGAAGTAACGCGCCCTCCTCCTGACATCATCAGGAAAGACCGGCTGACTTCACTGACTGCAGGCTGCTGTATGCTGGTTGCTGCTCCTGCTGGCTGCTGCCCTAAGGTAAGACTCGGGGGGGGGGGGAATACACTTTAGTTTTTTTTTATCCCCCTCCTCAGCCCCTGTCCCCTTAACTCAGCCCCTTCCTCAGATCTGTCCCTTTCCTCAGCCCTATCTACTTGTTCAGCCCCTGTCACCTTAGTCAGCCCCTGTCCACTTACTCAGCCCTGTCCACTACCTCAGCCCCTGTCCCCTTACTCAGCCCCTGTCCTCTCCTCAGCCCCTGTCCCCTTGCTCAGCCGATGTCCCCTTGCTCAGTGCCTGCCCCCCATCCTCAGCCCCTGTCCCCTTGCTCAGCCCCTGTCCCCTTGCTCAGCCCTGGCTCTTTCCTCAGCCCTATCCCCTTGCTCAGCCCCTGTCCCCTTGCTCAGCCCCTGTCCCCTTACTCAGCCCCTTTCCCCTCCTCAGTCCCTGTCCCCTTGCTCAGCTCCTGTCCCCTTACTCAGCCCTGGCTCTTTCCTCAGCCCTATCCACGTGCTCAGCCCCTGTCCCCTTGCTCAGCCCCTGTCCCCTTACTCAGCCCCTTTCCCCTCCTCAGCCCCTGTCACCTTGCACAGCCCTGGCTCTTTCCTCAGCCCTATCCACTTGCTCAGCCCCTGTCCCCTTGCTCAGCCCCTTTCCCCCTACTCAGCCCCTTTCCCCTCCTCAGTCCCTGTCCCCTTGCTCAGCCCCTGTCCCCTTACTCAGCCCCTGTCCCCCTTCCTCAGCCCCTGTCCCCTTGCTCAGCCCCTGCCCCCCTTCCTCAGCCCCTGTCCACTTGCTCAGCCCTGGCCCTTCAAATCACTATTAAGGCCACTCTTTTCATATAGGGGCAGCCTCATCGGCCTCCTCCAATATCATCCCAGAATATATTATTAAAGCCATGGAACACTGGAAATCATCCACATACACTCTATATCAACCAGTTAAAGAGATTCGTCATGCCTTTCCAGACTTGTCTAAATAACTGATGTATCTTAGAACAAATAAAATCTTGTATGGTACACTTCCTTTTGCCCTCTTTTTTACAGGCCTGCTGCATTCTTGGTTCCGGCACACCACAACCGACTGGTGTTGGTAAACTATGTTATTATTACTATTCATACATTACTGCTAATTATATGTTACCTAACCATTACGGCAATATTGCCCCGACCACAAATTTAAGGCAAGGCGTGTAGTTGTGGGAGGGGATTGGAGTCCCCTTTATAAAGGCCTTCAATCCTCTCTCACATACTGTTATTGGTCTGGCGAGTTGACCCTCCCACCACTCCCTCTTTTCACCCTCTATAGGTGGGCCCTCTTTTTTACATGCCTACTGCATTCTCGGTTCCGGCACACCACAACCGATTGCTGTTGGTAAACTATGTTATTATGTTATGATAATTATATGTTATCTAACCATTAAGGCAATATTGCCCCGACCACAAATATATATTTATATATATATATACACACATGATTACCAAAGGGTGTATACCATGTTTTTTCTAAAGAGAATCATGGTATATGCAGTTATGAGATACATTTTAAAGTATAAACAAAAGAGTCATACCAATTAGAATTATATTGTTAATGTTTCTTTATTCCATTGGAAAGATTACATAGATATATATATTTTTGAGTATTTGAAATGAGAATACACATATACTGAGTAGATGGTACAAAATAAAAAAGCCATATAACAATCCTGCTCCTAGGAGCTTGCAGTCTAAGGCATGGGTGTCTCATATGTGAAGATTTATTGGACTCACTGAAGGTCACAGACACACGTGACTTCACGCAGTGAGGACTAGGCTTTGGTATTCAAGTTGTTGTGGACTACTACATATATCTGATTGTTGCCAAGCTTAATAAAAATCAGAATTCTCAGTGGAATGCAAAACTTATTCCTTGTGTATTTGAAAGAAATGAGCCCCAATTTACTAACAGTGACTGAGAATTGAATGACACACGTATAGCACCCATGTATAGAAATTATAAACTGATCTTAAATTTCTCCAAATGTGGGACTAAATGTCAGTATCACATTATCTGGGAGTAACTAGGAATCACTAAATGTTGAACTAACTCGGAGAATCACTGAATATCGACTATCAGAATTTCCACATGTGGGGCTGTCAGTATCACCAAATTTAGGTATTTTTGTTCTATCCATCCTTGTTCCAGTGCACAACCCATATCAAGGGACACAGAGTTACCTGGTGTTGAGGAACCAAACTCAGTCAGTGTGTATCTGTGTGTGTTAGTGTGTGTATAAGTCAGTGTGTATCTGTGTGTGTCAGTGTGTGTGTGTGTGTATCTGTGTGTGTGTGTGTGTGTGTGTGTGTGAGTGTATGTATTTGTGTGTGTTTCAGTATCTATTTGCAAGGCATTGTATGTGCATAGATCCCAGCAATGAAATGCCAACTCTACATACAAACAAATTCACACACAAATACTAAACACAAGTATGCCAGTGCTTTAAAATAGCAACAGTACATACAAACTGCATTCGAATGCGAACACTACACACAAATACATACATTCAAGCACACAAAATATGCTGAAATGTGTCACCAGTTATTTTTTTTTATTGCATTAAAAAATATTTATTCATAAAAAATGTAATGCTCTTTTTTTAATAAATACTATAAAGTATGTAATGAATTTATATCTTTACATGAAGCGCTCAGAAAAATCTTGTTTTGTCATGTAGCTCTCGCATTACCTTAGGTTGGACAGCCCTAATTTACACCATCCACGGTCAGCAGATTGGCTCCCCACAGAACATGTGACCAAATATTTGGCCCTGCGAATATGCAAACCACTTGACAAGGCCACTTGAAACAAACTCAGGGCTGAATGTCCAAGACCCACTGTACCTTACTAAGTCCGCACTACCCCTGAGATAGACCCTAAGTTTGCCCAATTCCTGAAAAAATAAAATGTCTGAAAAGCCAGAACAGACTTAGATTTCTCTCTATGCAATTGATAAAAGTCTTGGATATTCTTGGCCTCAGAAATAAAATATTTGAAATGGTTGAGTCTGCTCTCTCTGAGGGCACTTCAGTAGACCTTCTAATTATTACAGGGTAGATACAACGCATTGCTTGCCTTATTGCCACCAACAATGCAAGGCTATTTTACCACAGATAGAGCCTAAGCTCGTTAACCTTGCCACCTCTGAACCTGGACCCCAGGTGATAGACTCCTGTTCAGAGAGATCTTTGCCAAACAGTTGGGCACCTTTGTAAGCACCTTTATGACCCTAGATGAGGCAGAATCTAACATGCACAGGTGTTTAACTTATAATAAGGTTTTAGGAAAGCCGGTAGAACACAGGGCTATCTGGCCAGCTGATCTATTAGAGGTGTATTTTGTAGAACCCAAGGATCTGGACATTCCAAGAAACAAAACAATCCTCATCTACTTTCTTCCCCAGCAAATTACTGCCCTTGGCAGAATCAAGGCACCATAGGCAATCCTCAAAGCTGACATAATCAATTGTTAATTCTATCTTCTTCCCATGCAAAAGTAAGGGGCAGATTAATGCTTTTTCAAAGTGCATAGAGATCCTTGACCACAAATGCATGGATCTTCCAGACCATGATGAGATACTGCATAGAGCTCCTAACAACCCTAATCCAGGTGTCTGCCACATATACAATCTAATTCTACAAACAAGACAAACATCTAGTTTCTCAAGAAGTCCGCCAACAAAGGATTGATCAGACTTATTCTTCTAAAATCACCGGGCTTCCTCAGAAACCTCTTTCTAGGATTTCTCCTTAACTGGGAAAAGTCAATCCTCACCACATTGCAAAAAATGGAATTCCTTGGGTTTACCATGAATACTGTTCAAAGCTCTCTGCATCTACCATCCTCCAATATCAAAACCATCAAGAAAGATATCAGAAAGGTTCGGACTTGAATTATGATCACGATATGTCACCTAGCAAAGATGATCAGTCTGCTATCTGCATCAAGGATTCACTTCCGATCATATCATTCCGATCAACTGTAAGGCTGCAGAAGAACTCTCCTGGTGGTTCCTACATATCGAAACCTGGGAGGGCAAAGCAATTTTTGGTGCAGCTTGGGACTTATTCATTTATTTGGATGCAAGCTCACTCAGCTGGCGTGCTGTCTGTATATTTATACTGGCAGACATTTTGTGTTAAGACAGAAATCAAAAGTGTATACCGTAAGTCACCATCAGTACAGAAATGACTCCATTTTGTAACAGAATACAAAAAGACAGACACATTTTTTTTCTCTCTGTACTCTAGTCACTCAAGCCTGAGCTAAAGAATGCAGCTAATGTAAACATTGGCATAGATAAGACATGATGTCTGCAGCAAGGGAGGTTGAACACAACAACCAAAGACAAATATATATACACACTATCCACATATAACTAACTATAATTATATTAATTATATGTAAATAGTACTAAGTTAATAATATAGAATATTCATGAATATAATATCAATGAAGAAATGTCATATTATTTACTAATGTTAGTGGAATATGTGTAAGAGACATGTATAACTCACATGTGTAACATTACTATGTGCTATACACAGTTTCACGCAAGAAAACCAGACATAGGATTACCAATGACAGATAACACTAAGTAATTAATTTTACTTTTTAAATATTAAGGATCTGATACAAAGTTTCATTGTATAGAGAGGTGAAGAAGAGTTTAGGACGTGTCAGAAATCTAATGTATAGCCAAAATTGCAGACACAACCAAAACTCTTTGAAGTGTGACAGCTCTTTGATAGACGGGCATCATAAAGATTAGGCTTTGTGATGTCAAACGCATCACAAAATTCAGTTAACCCATTATACAAAAAGGTAAATGGACTCCCTGACAAGAATTTTCTGTGATGTAATTGTGCCATCTACTGACCAAAATCTAGATGATATACTGTAGGGAAGACACGCCCACCTTACTCTATTGGTCACAATCCACTAGTGACATATAGAGAACCTCTCCTTTATAAATTAAGGACAAAGGGTAGAAAGACACTCTCTAAGGATGGACTCACACCTAACATATGAGGGCTAACATCCACGATCTGACATCTGGAGCCAAAGTTGGGCACACCTAATTCTTTGTATCTTTTCCAACTGACACTTAACTTTGAAATTCTTTAAATTTCAGAACTCTGAAAACTTTTCTATTTTCACACAATTCTCTTTACTCATACCTGCAGTAACCATTTTTGGGATACATATCCAAGCTTGAAAAAGAGAAATTCTACTAAGAACTATTAATTATGCTGGTTTTATTTTATTTGATTAAATTAATTAATTTTTACCAATAGTAGGAATATATATCTAGATAAAGGTTTGTCAGATTACAATTATTAGAAATCATAATTAGCTAAGGAATATATGGTTATAAAAATTTCATTCCTACAGGTGAAATAATGAAACAATATATGTGCTGGTTATTTGCCAAAATTTAGAATACTGAACTTTACCCAGAGATATTGATTTATCTGGATTAGGGATAGTCATCTTCAACTAGGGAAGTTAAAATTCTGCAAACGTTAAATCTGGTTAGAGTTATTCTTATTGGATGGACATAAGAATGGTCAAATGATCTAGTATGAGAAATATTGTATTTGTAAAATTGCAATATAAAAGGATATCTTTCCTATGAGAATTGTAGCCAGCAGTGAATGAGTTAATTCAGTTTGATTTGACTGTCAGCCAAAGTTTTTATTGCTTTACCCTGTGCTACTGTGAGATGCTGTGTTCTGTGTTAAGGACTGTTTAGCAAGCTGATTTCAAAGTGAAGTGTCCGGTCGTAAATCTTGTTGAAAACTGCATACCTGTCGATATAACTGTTGCTATTTAGCTGTCTGTAAATGGTGTTAAACCACTGCCATATTGTATACATATGTTATACCTAAATATTCACTGATTATTGTCACGCATGTTACATATTATTATTATTATTATTAATTATTGTTGAATGAGAATTAAAAATAGTGGGTAATTCTCAGCTTTAAATAATTAATCGGAAACAGTGCCAATATATCAAAATTTTGATATTATAAAAATAATTAAATACATTTGATAATTTTTATGAAAATATTATTTTTAATATTTATCACCCCATAAATATCCTCACAGTGCGTGATGTAAAAATATCTCCACAAGTGGCAAATGGTCACAAGAGTAGAGGAACCTGCACATCAATTGCCGATAACTTTTAGCCAGCTTATTCCCACTTTGAAGTCTCACAAACAAATTGGCAAATTGTTCCATACTACTATGTCTGGACAATGTGTCAGTGGTCCAATATATAAATACAACTAGCGGGCACCAGATCATGACTTCTGTTGAACTTGGCAAAGAAGTTTTGACAGTTCTGCCTAGCTTGCAACCTCCCATTTCAAGCTAATCATATGCCTGGTTTGCCCAACACGGTGGATTCTGAAATCTGCAGGGATAGATACCTCTAGATTCTCTGCTAGGGAAGCTATGACCTCTGAAGGAGCTTCTTGAGGTTGTCGCCTGGAGGACCTCCTTAAAGCTGCAGATTGGTCACGGGAGTTTACGTTAGTTGAATTCTGCTATCGACCTACTATCAGTGGCGGATCCAGAGCCTGATCTCGGGAGGGGCACTTGTAGATTATTTAAAGAAATAATCCAGACACAATAACCACTACAGCTCAGTGTAGTGGTTATGGTGTCAATAGTGCCGGGACCCCCTCCCACAGTAAGTAGTCAAACCGTTTAAGAACAGTTTGACAACTTACCTGAGATCTGCTGGGAAATGGGGCTGTAGTAGGGCATAGGAGCAGTGGTGTGTGTGTGAGTGGTGCAATGTGTAAGGGGTGCAGTGTGTGTGTGAAGGTTGTAGTGTGTGAGTGAGGGCGGCAGTGTATGTCAGGGATGCAGTGTATGTGTGGGACAGTATGTGTGTGTAACAGTTGCAGTGTGTGTGTATGTGTGTGTGTATGGGGGCAGTATGTGTGTATGTGGGGGCGGTGTGTGTGTGTGGGTGTGTGTATGTGGGGGCAGTGTGTGTATGGGGGGCTGTATGTGTGTATGAGGGCTGTATGTGTGTGTATGGGGGCAGTGTGTGTGTATGGGGGCAGTGTGTGTGTATGGGGGGCAGTGTGTGTGTATAGGGGGCAGTATGTGTGTATAGGGGCTGTTTGTGTGATGGGGGTTTGTGAATGGGGGGCAGTTTGTGTGTGTGGGGCAGTATGTGTGTATAGGGGCAGTTTGTGTGAATGGGGGCAGTTTGTGTGAATGGGGGCAGTTTGTGTGTGTTTGTGAATGGGGGGCAGTTTGTGTGTGTGGGGTTTGTGTGTGTATGGGGGCAGTTTGTGTGTATAGGGGCAGTTTGTGTGAATGGGGGGCAGTTTGTGTGAATGGGGGGGCAGTATTGAGGGCAATGTATGTGTGTGTGGCTTTTTTTTTTTATAATATATTTTTTATTTATTTAATTAAAATAAATATCCTATGTCCCCCCTCCCTTCTTACCTTTACTGGGGAGGAGGGGGGACATATTTTGTTCCCTGGTGGTCCGGTGGGGATTCCCTGGTGGTCCCAGTGGGGAGAGTGAACTCTAGCCCGCGCTCCAGTGCTAGAGTTCACTCTCGCGAGATTTGGAGCGTTGCCGTGGTAACCGCGGCAACGCTCTAAATCTCGCGAGAGGAGGACCCGGAGGAGCTGCAGCCTGAGCTCCTGGGTTCTCTCTCCTCCCTCTCCCTCCCCTGCCGGCTGTAAGCACAGTGCCTGCGGACCGGGGAGGGAGAGCTCTGATCTCCCCCCCGGTCCGCAGGCACATTGCAGGGCTAGCACCTGCATGTCCTTGCAAGGGAGAGGGAGACCGGCGGATTTCACGGGGGGGGGGCAATTGCCCCGTTGCCCCCCCCCTGGATCCGCCACTGCCTACTATACAGTTTGCTTGCATAGTTATTGCGCCGCTTTAAACGAGCATAATATGAGCCTCCGTGTCAATTCATGTAGGCAAATATCCACACCCTTCTTGTTTCTTCTATAGCTACCTTTTTGTTTCTTCCAGACCCTTTCTTTATCTATTGGGTAAATAAGTGATTATGTTCTTTATATGCACATGTTTCTATGTTTGTTTTTTTCCAATGTTTTATTGACATTTGATCATTCTTTATATATTATAGTGTTTTTAGATACTTATGATACTTCTTGAATACAACATGTAAGAATTTGCCACTTTATTAAGTGCTGATATTACCGTATATTTTTTCTCTTAGAGTTAAGCTGCCACCTCTCAGATGTTTAATATGGCGGACATGTTTCCTTCCACCTCTGTTCTCTTTTTATGGTATGTTTAATCTAAGTTAGATTGTTCAGACATTATTTGGAATAGATCTTTTGGTGTATGCATGAGTTTTGGATTGCATTCACCTATATAAACTGGAAAACAAATTATCATACACCATGGCCTGCTCTGTTGCTGTAACTTATCTGCTGAATGCTCGTGGAGAGTCATAAAAAACAGCCCCCTCCTGCCCCCCCCTCACAAAATTATAAAGTATCCCATTCACTATATGGCCAAACAAAAATGATGTCCAAATTCCTATTCCTTATGTTACTTGCCCTCGCAGATGATGTGGAGTCTAACCCTGGTCCCCCAGCTAATAATTGCCCTAATCTCCCCACTGAAAAAGGCCTCTTTTTTGTGCACTGCAACATCCGTAGCTTACTCCCTAAACTGGATGCACTGCAAGCCTGTTGTTCCCATTACAAACCAAAAATCATTGTGCTCTCAGAATCATGGTTAACAACTAAAATACCAGACTCTGCCATTGCAACACAATGTTATTCATGTTTTAGAAATGACAGAGCAAAGAGAGGAGGAGGAGGCATTCTTCTTTATGTTGACAATTCCATAAAGTTTACCCCCTTACAAAACTTTAGCCCTCCTGCCAACTTTGATTTCCTTTCTAGCTCAATTGAGATCCCGTGCAGCAAATCAATCATTGTTGCAGGAATCTACAGCCCACTTAGCTCCCCAGTGCATTCCCTATCTGACATAGCACAGGGAATGAAACCATAGCTCAAAATCCAAAAGGTAAGGTGAGAGTAAAATGAGCACATGTGAACTGGATCACAGCTGACCTCATCCAAATGTACCAGTTTCGGGATTCATTGTGGTCAAAGTTCAAGCGTACTGGCTCTATGAACGATCACTGTGCATATAGACAACTGGCGAAATATATGCACAAAGCAAACAAAATTGGCCAAGGCCCAATATTTCTGTGAAAATCTGAACAATAACATATCAAACCCTAGAAACCTTTGGAAAGTCATAAATAAATTACAAACTCCCCCAATCCACTCCGAACCCTAAACTGTCAAAGTGGATAACCAAACCCTGCAACTTCCCTTAGATGTAGCAAATGCCTTTAACAATTATTTTGTCGGATGCTCCACTACCCTGATTGCCAAGCTAATAAATGACACACATCTGGAAACTACAAATGTGGATCAGGCCCCATTAAATTTGCAAAGACCCAATATAGACAAGTTCATATTTAGACCTGTACCTATTAGTGTCATTAAAAAACACCTTAATAATCTTAAAATGAAAAAACAGTCTGGACCTGATCAAATCCTAGCAATGCTGTTGAAGCTCAGTGTGCCAGCAATTGCTAAACCTGTCACAACCCTAATTAACGAATCCTTGGTGTCTGGATACATAACCTAACTTTGGAAGACTGTAAGAGTAGTGCCTATCCATAAAAGTGGTGACACTACTTTGGTTTCTAACTATCGCATAATATCATTGCTCCCAGTTTTGTTAAAAATATTAGAAAAATGTGTCCATACTCAACTATGTGAGTATTACAAACAACTAAACTATCTGACCCCTGATCAATCGGGTTTTCGCCCGAATCACTCCACTACAACTACCCTCTAAAAAGTTTGCAATGACATCCAACCTGCATGGAACCTTACTGGGGCTATTTTCCAAAGGCCTTTGACACAGTAGACCACAACATTCTACTGCACAAACGCAAAAACTCAGGTATTGGTGATTGTCCGCTAACCTGGTTTCGGTCATATGTATCGGATCGCTCACAATATGTCTCCATTTCTGGCAGAGACTCCCTCCCTCTCCCAGTCACATGTGGTGTTCCCCAGGGTTCCATTCTCGGCCCCCTACTATTCACATTATTTCTAAATGATCTGCCTAATGTCTGCAAATCCTCAAATGTACGCAGACGACACAGTAATCTATGCAAACAAATCCAATCTACCACAGCTACAGAAGTAGAAAAGTGGATAGAAAAAAACAAACTCTTCCTAAACACTGACAAAACTGTCACAATGATCTTTGGAACAGTACCTACATTACACAAATTGCACAATTCCCACCTGTCCATCAAAACTAATTGATATAGCACACTGACTGCAGTCCACTCTTTCAAATACTTGGGTATGTTGTTAGACCCCAGTCTATCTTTTGGCCTCCACACAGGGCCAGATTAAGAGCCCAGTGGGCCTGGTGCTGACAATTATGATGGGGCCTAAGTGCAGAATCTTATCGACCAAAAACACAATCATACCTCTCAAGCTTCATGTATCTGATGGAGTTGGTGTTGGAGGGAAACTCAAAGGATGCAGCTATAAGAAAACGCATACTCTATGCTAATCTCTCTCTAATTTATGCTTTCATCTTTCAAGTAAATCCATACCCCCTAACAGCAGTGTCCAGGGAAGCAGGAAGTTAATGGGCGGGGTAAAAGGGTGGGCCAATGACTCAAATCACGTGACCAGAACTGGGGCACGTCTGTCCAAAGAATTGGAAGGCCAGCTTGGCATCAGTGTCCCTATGTATCACAGTGTCAGTGTCACCTAGTCTCCCAGTGTCCCCATTTCTCCCAGTGTCCCCATGTCTCTGTATGTTCCGTGTCACTGGGATACTAGGGGACACTGAGAGACATGGGGACACAGTGAGACATGGAGACACTGAGAGACCCGGGGACACTGAGACACTTGGGGACACTGGGAGACATGGGGGCACTTGTGGATACAGACATGGGGATACTGGGAGACATGGAAACACTGAGACATTTGGGGACACTGGGAGAAATGGGGACACAGACACTAGGGACACATAAACATTAGGACACAGACACTGGGAGATATGGGGACACTGAGACATTTGGGGACACAAACACTAGGGACACTGAGACATGGGAACACAGACACTGGGAGACTAGGGGACACTGGGAAACATGGGGACACTGAGACACTGGCTGGGAGGCATGGGGACCATGAGACACTTGGGGACACTCAGAGACATGGGGACACTTATGGATATAGACATGGGGACACTGGGAGACATGGGGACACAGACATTTGGGGACACTGAGACATTAGGGACACTGGGAGACATGGGGACACTGGCTGGGAGACATGTGGACACCGGGAGACATTGGGACACAGACATTTGGGGACACTTGGAGACATGGGGACACTGTGACACTAGGAGACTAGGGGACACTGGGAGCCATGGAGATACTGTGTCCCTTGTGTCTCTGTGTCCCAATGTGTCTCCTAATGTCCCTATGTCTCACAGCGTTCCCAAGTGTCTCAGTGTCCCCAGGTCTACCAGTGTCCCCTAGTGTCTCAGTGTCCCCATGTCTCCCTGCTGCCTTTCCCCCCATCCTTCACTTAACTGAGCTTTAGGCTGTCTCTGCTGTCTGGACTCTCTGTGCTGTGAGAGAGGCAGGGAGGGATATGCTGTAACTTCCTATCCCTACCTCTGTGCACACACAGTGACCCCTACTGGCTGGTGCTGATATTGCATAGTAATCTCTGTGTTATACTGAGAAAAATATCTGCATTTGTATTGCTGGTATATACCGGCACCGGCCAGGCAGCCTCAAATACCAGCTGTGCCGGTGAAATACCAGTCAGGTGGCAAACCTAAGAATAGTGTGTAAAATAAATAAATAAATAAATAAAACGTGCAAAAAAAAAATTATTATTTTTTTAAGATGGTCCTATTCCCTGGTCCTGGAGCTGCTGCTACATCAGCCCCTATGTTAATCTGGCCCTGCCTAGACATAGAAAAACTTCCATCTAAATTTTATCCAAAACTAGGTGCCCTGTACAGAAACAAATCCTGCCTAAGCCCTACAGTAAGGGAAAAGATTGTACAGCAAATGCTGAAGCCAATCATTGATTATGGGGATGAAGTGTATGCACCTGCACCGCAATCCCACGTTAATAAACTCAATACATTGTATAACTCGTTCTGCCGATTTGTGCTACAATGTAATTACAGGACCCATCATTGTCAAATGCTAAAAGAACTAAACTGGCTGTCGCTGGAATCCAGACGCACCCTTCATCTTTCCAACTTTGTGTTTAAGAGCTTTTCTGGGAAGCTCCCACCCTACCTGAGCAGAATGCTCTTCCCGGCTGTTACCACCTCCTATAACCTCCGATCCAGTACCAGTACTTTATTTAGTCTACCTCAAAACAAAAAGAAAGCAGCCCGGTCCTCCTTTTCCTACAGAGCACCGCAATTATGGAACGACCTCCCGCACACTTTCAAATCTTCCCCAAGCCTAAAGTCCTTTAAGAGATCCCTCTCTACATACCTCAAAACAGAATTCACCTGTCATGGTTGAGTATGCCTGTTCTATGTTAAACTTTGTATATATTGTGTACTAATATTGTTTTTGTATTTTATTGTACACTATTGTATCAATGCAATGTTTTGTGGACCCAGGACATACTTGAAAACGAGAGCAATCTCAATGTATCTTTCCTAGTAAAATATTTTATAAATAAATGTATATATGAATGGGAGATACTGTGGGATTTTCTGGCTGTGACATTGTCTATGTTTAATATTAATGCTATATGATGCCATTTGAAGTTTCAAATGTTTTTTTCTCTCTCTTTGCTCCTGAGGGGATGAAGAAAGAGTAAAGCATAATATTCGCCTCCATGTCTTAATAACTTCATGACTTTATGCTAAAAGTGAAAGCATAGATGCATTAGAGAAAGTTTTGTATTTGATTTTAAATTTCAAATTCACTTTGAATCCCTACTTTCGTGAAAAACCCTGTGGGTGTCTGCTGCACAGGCAAAAAGGGGGACGATAAACAGAGATCATGGAGAGGAATATTAACACAAAATCTTAGATGTGAAAAAGCACCTTTTTGGTATAATACCATTTTCCTTTACATTGCTAAATCGTTCACTAAACCCTGTGCCAGCATGGAATGCCCTACTTTAACCCCTTAGGGACCAAACTTCTGGAATAAAAGGGAATCCTGACATATTACACATGTCATGTGTCTTTAAGGGGTTAAAGATGGTATAGAGGTATATTTCACTGCCGGTGGTAAAGCAGGGTTCTTATATTAGAACTGCCAACTCTGCCAACTGCCTCTTTTTTGGTAATGCTCAATTTTCTTTCAAAATGTTTGTTAACATTTTAGCAAGATTTTAGATATTTAGCAAATATTATCATTCATTTCAGCCTAGGCTCACCCAATGCACATAATGCATATGAGAAGAACAAATATTGTTTCTGTTTTTCTTCTCTCTCCCACTGATTATGTATAATGGCAGAAAAGGACAACATTTATATTGTTGGACATGCCCAGCTTCAATACAGATGTGTGGATTTCTACATTTAATTTCATTTTTCAGACTTCAGTAAATCCTTAATTACAAGGAATAATTAGGGGAATAATTAAACCAAATATTCGAAATCCTAGAAAGTTATAGTTCCTCTTTAAGGATGTGACAATGATGATGGAGCGACGTTCCATGACATCACTGAAGACGGTTGCTCTTTAGTATCTTTAGTTGTGTCATATCTAAGATTTAGGCATTTCCCATTTCGATAAGGGCATGGACTGTACAGGAATAGTAAGGGTGCATATTGATGGCCAGGCATGTCTTACTAATGGCTCAGCTGAAGAGGGGCTGGATAAAGTGCATTCTTAATTTGTACACTCTATGTTTAAAATAAATTAAGGTTTCCACCTGTCATGGTGACATCCCATAAAATACCTCTAATCATCAGGCTTAATAGCTACTGCCAGTGGCCCACACAGTCAGACACACTGAACGCAGCAGCTAAAACGTGTTAGAACATAATTAACCAGCACCAAAAAAAAAAAAAAAACCACAGTGATGTCTAATGCCATTACATTTCTTCATATATTAATTTTATGTCAGTATATTAGAAGTTACATTGTCATAGTAGCTCCCATTTAGATGTAAGTAGGTTTAAAGCCAAAATTTTAACTTTCTATGGAAAGAAAAGCATTATTTTTGTGTCCTTATATTATGGTGGCTGAGTCATCAGGCCAGTGGGTTTACCTACAACCACTCGCACCCCTGTAACTTAATATAGTTATTTTAAAGCTTTCATCCCCCTAATATGTACATTCTAGACCCATTGATTCCCTTCATCATTTAATCCTCTAGACGCCCACAAGGGTCTGTGAAGTTGACACTGTTCACCATCACTGACTCAAGGTCAAAACCTGAGAGATCAGTCCAGCAGCAACATACCTTTATGATTTCCATGTAGGTGTCTTTTTTTTTTTTAAATCAACATGCCTACTAATTCTAAATGAGTGTTCCATCTCTAGAATCAAAGTATAGAATATTAGTTTGCCCAAGGCCAATGCTGGTAGATTTCAAGAGATCAGGTAAATGTTACCACACAGCAAGTTGGATCAGTACTTTAAGGCTGATTAGAATAATAAACATATTCTCCGAGATAGAGGCAGACTCCCCGATTTGACCTGAAAATAGCATAACTGGTTTAATATCTCCCTGATATTATGACCCCTCAAAAAAAATATTAATTCCTACCCACGTTACATTGAAAGGTGCCTTCATATGCTGGCATAACTATTAAAGACACGGCGATATTTACATGGCTCATTAGTTAGTAATTTGTCGCATAACACCAGGGTTTGCATACTTGTGACTTCGACCACTTTAAATCAGTATAGGAGAGGCTTTCTTTAAATCATGTTGAGCCACTGAAGTACCTGGCTCGCAGCAATATAACAGGGAGCAGTGCATTTTCTGTAGGAAAACTAAAAATAATCACAACAGCCCCAGTTTGTCTTTGTTCCGCAGAAGCCGTAATATACGCTCATTTTTTGTTAGATCTGCTGGTAGTTCATTGACCTGAAAAAATAAATAACAGTTACTTTAGGGTGCATACAGTTGCATTGTCAGAACTAATGGGTGACTATTAGTCTTTGCATTCTAAACATCAATACACTGTTTGGAAATTAAAACTTGTTGTGTTTTCATGCTTAAGTGTTGGAATCGTTCTGCAAGAAGTCTTCTAAAAAACATACTTTACATACAACCTATTATGACATGGCATGTCTGGTCTGGGCACATTTTCCCATCAGATTAATTGGTTGCCCATTTATAGGAAACCAGTAAGGTGGATGAGCCCTTATTTATAGGTACTGTTTCTGAGGTATTACTTACAGACTCACCTTATTTTTAAGCATTGGGTCTGCTCCTGCTTCTAAGAGAAGTCTCACTGACCTTAAATTTCCACTAAGAACTGCGGCATGAAGAACTGAAGACCCATTCTGATATGAAAAAAATAATAAAACATGTTTAGTACCTTGGCACTACGTTCTTTGTTTTACTTTAAGACACAAAAGTATGGCATTTATCAAAATAATCATGTAACACGAGCAGGGTCACATAGTCTGGGTGACAGGCAACACAACTGAAGACACACAAGAATAAACAAATAAGGCAAGAGATACAGAGGAGGGTAAGAGACATGGTGGCTAATAGGCATGAGAAACGCTTAGAGACTAAGAGACACGGTGAGACATGTGGGCAAGAGACAAAGGGGGAAAGACACAGGGAACTAAGAGACAAAGGAGACTACAAGATACAGGGGCTAGGTGAAAAAAAGGGGAAAGAAAGGGGGCGAAAAGGATCACGGGGGTCAGACACAAAATGGAGATAAGGTACACTAAAGAGGGTGAGACACTCAATAATGGGGATAGGATACACTAAAAGCGGTAATACATTCAAAATGGGGAATGGAAGATGATTGATGGGGTAAGAAATTAAAAAATAGGGAAATGAGACACAAAAGGTGGTAAGATACACAAAAGGGGGACAAACATGCCTACGTAGGCAAAGACACATTGGTGGGCAGGTCCGGCGCGTCCTATAGGCGCACCGGCCCGGGGGGGCGCAATTTTCGAGTGACCCTGCAGGAGGGAACATGGCCGGGCGGCGTGGACTGCGATACAGGAGCTTGTGTTTCCTGTACCCGGCCGGACTGAAATGAAGTACAGGACACACAAGCTTCTGTACTGTGGTCTGCGCTGTACGGCAACGCTACACTGAGGTAGGAGGCACAACAGGGAAGGGAGGGGAGATGGCACAAAGGGTCAGATAGGAGAGACCACTAAGGGAAAGATGGGGTTGGGGGGAGTGATCACTAAGGGAAAGATGGGGGGAGGGGAGGAGAGACCACCAAGGGAAAGATGGGGGGCCTGGAGAGGCCAAGAGGGGGGAGAGCTCTAAGGGACAGGGGGGAGAGAGAGCACTATGGATATGGGGAGGGGGCAGGGGAGAGCTCAATGGTAGGGGGAAGAGGGCAGTGGAGAGTACTAAGGGTCAGGGGAGAGCATTAAGGGAGGGGGCAGGGGACAGCACCAGGGGACAGGTGGGCAGGAGAGAGCACTGAGGGACAGGAGGGGAGAGGAGATCACTAAGGGACAGGAGGGCAGTGGAGAGCAGGGGCAGGGGCAGGGGAGATCACTTAGGGACAGGAGAGGATGGGAGAGCACTAAGGGGAAAGAGGGGAGAGCACAGCACTAAGGGACAGGAGGTGAGAGCACTAAGGGACAGGAGGGAAGGGGACACTACACACATACACAATGCATCCTTACACATACACAGAAACACACAATGCATGCCCACACACGCACATGCACAGAAACATACAATGCATCCTACATTCACACAGAAACACACCATGCATGCATTACACACACATACACACACACACACACACACAATGCGTCCCTTACACACATACAACGCATACCTCACAAACACACACACACAATGAGGCCCTTGCACACATACACAGAAGCACACCTTGCATCCCTTACAGATACAAACACATATTAACACACACATTGCATCCCCTATACACACACACTACACAGAGACTACATCCCTTACACAAACTGGTATCCCTATACACTATATTTCAGAACAAACATTACATCCTCTACAATAACACATTCCCTACACACATACACTCAACTCAATGTGAGCAAACTCATGGGTGGATCTTGTAGGCATAAGGCTTATGGGCGGGCCTTGTTGGCATACTCACGGTCAGGCCCTGGGGGCCCAGACTGTGATCTGTGTAAGGGACCCCAAACAATGGAGCTGCTTCCTGTTTGTTTATTTTTGTGAGCACTGCCTCCAGAGAGCCTGTTTTAACATCAGACCAGTGGAGCCAGACTGCAGCCTGAGCCCATCATCATCCTCTTATTCTCATCTGGTGGCAAATAGGCAATCCAGTATATTATTAGTGACACTAACCTCTAATTTACCTCACATTAAAGGGACACTATAGTCACCAGAACCACTACAGCTTAATGTAGTGGTTCTGGTGTCTATAGCCTGCCCATGCAGGCTTTTTTTTAATGTAAACACACTGCCTTTTCAGAGAAAAGACACTGTATGCAGCACTGGTGTTGGCTCATATGGCAGATTATATAGTTGGGGCATTGTGATAACACATGGGGGCGGCAACATTTTTTGTTTGCCTAGGGCGGCAAAAATCCTTGCACCGGCTCTGTTGATGGGGGTTGGCAAAATGCATCTTTGCCTAAATCCGTGCACCAATCTGTATAGGGTGTTACTATTAGCACTCTATGGGCTAAATATATTAAGATCCACAAATGACATATGTAGCAATACCACCGGCAATATGAATCTAGGAGCCAGCTAAAAAAAGTTAGGAGCCGGTCATTTTTAACAAGAAAATGCAATTCTTAAAGGGACACTATAGTCACCAGAACCACTACAGCTTGATGTAGTTGTTCTGGTGTCTATAGCGTGTGCCTGCAGGCTTTTCAGTTTAAACACTGCCTTTTCAGCAAAAAGGCAGTGAAGGCAGTGTTTACATTGCTGCTTAGTAACACCTCTAGTGAAAGCCACTCAGATGGCCACTAGAGAGTCCTGGGTCACGTTCTGCATGGAGGCATGAATGTTCCTCATAAATTTTCATTAATTTAATGCATCTCTATGAGGAGATGCGGATTGTCACATTTGATGTGCATGCACAAAATGCCCCCAATGCTTTCTTTAGGGAAAGCGTTGGTTTAGCTGAGATCATAAAGATTGATAATCTCAGCCATGGAGGTGGGACCAGCCTCAGGAAAACTGGCACGGCGTGGGGGAAAAGGTGATTAAAAACACCTTCCTCTTGCGATCAGAGGGGGCACCTAAACATGCTCACACACACTCTGAGAGGCTCACATAGACACTCACATTGATAACAGGCTTGCACGCACACACTGACAGGCACACACACACACTGACAGGCTCACACACACTTACTCTGACAGGCTCACACATACACTCTGACAGGCTCACGCACACTTACATTTTTTTGTTTTAATTGAACCCCACACAGCCTCCCTACCTACGCACACACACTGACAGGCATGCACACACTCTCTGACAGGCGTACACACACACACATACACTCACTGACAGGCTCACACACACACACACTCACTGATAGGCTCATGCACACACACTCACTGACAGGCTCACGCACACACACACTCTGACAGGCTCACGCACACACACACTCTGACAGGCACACACACTGAAAGGCACACACACTGAAAGGCACACACACTCTGACAGGCTCTTACACACTTACATTTTTGTTTTATTTGAAACCCACTCAGCCTCCCTACCTTTGGGATAGCTGGGTGGGTCTTTCCCTGGGGTCCAGTGGGGCTGCTCTATTCCTGCTCTCTTCCTTTGCCTGTAGCTCCTCTCTGCTCTCTTGCACTCTCTGTCATGATGCCGGGGCCGAATTGACATCATATTCCGTCTCCCGGCATCATTAGACAGTGAGAAGAAGCAGAGAGGAGCTGCAGGCACAGTACTGCTCCCTCGCATGTTGCCTACAATGTTTCCACGGGTGGCCAGCTCCATGCCACCTGAGCTGCCCGCCTCCATCCTCTTTAGGGCGGCCGGCTCAATCCTGTCTCAGCTGCCCGCCTCCATGCTCCTCAGGATGGCCCGGCACCAATCTTCTTGCAACGGCCGCCTTCAAAGCTCTGGCTGCCACATTAACTAAATAGCTGGCAAATCTCAGGCACCAGGGCGAAATTTCTAGTCGCCATGGCGTCCTGGGATTTGTCGAGCCTTTATATAAATTTGTAACAATAGTTTAGCCGTTTCCAACTTAACTCAACTAAGAGTATTGTGCTCTATTATTATTATATATTATTATTATTATTATTATAATATTATTAATATTATTATTTGTATTCACTCTATGACAGTAACATGCAATAGCATAGCAGTCCTGTAGTCACAGTAAACCCATGGAATCAATGTCAACTGTAAGTCCAAAGACAGTTATTAGGTGTCATAGTGCATTTAAAATCAGTTTTATAAATTATGGAAGATTCGTGGATTTCTTACCTTTAAAATGTTGAGTGAGGGAGAGAATTTCAGCAATTCTTCTATAACTTCACTGAATCCCTTAGTAGCTGCTTTAAACAATGCAGTCGTGCCATCCTGAAAAGAAAAGACTCTTAGAGACACACATGTTCTATCTGTTAGTATTTTGGCTGATATAGGCTAAGATGTTTATGGAATTTTCACAGATACAAGAATGTAATGTAATACAAGATGCCATCTGTGAATCTGTGATATTCCTAAAGGATGCATATTAGTTTGTTGACATTCCTGCTGCCTCTCGGAAATATTGAAATATTGAAAGCAAGGACCAGAAATACATAAAACGATGCTTCATAACCTGGTGCTGGACGGAAAGCTCCATGACATAACTGGAGTGATAGTGCACTGACTGCTAAGCACTTTACGCTTAGTATACACCCAGCATGTTGGGCCCGCTCCTAGAGCCTTGGGCTCAGTTTCTATGACTGTTGTTAGTGTTGCTAAGTCACTAAGCTTGAGATCTTCACCTCTATTGAGAGTTGATCACTTTCAAAGCTCCCACCTGGCCGGGTGCTCTGTCAATGGCTCAGAGTTCTGGCTACGGCATGCTGGGCAATTGAGAACTGCCAGAGAACCAGAGAAGCAAGCTCTTAAAGTGATGTGCACCTAATGTAGATTAGGAAACTCCTATCTGGAGCCTGGAGGGTTCCCTCACAGCCAGGGCAGTAGCTCCATAAGGCTACCTTATGAATAATCTGTCTCTGAATGCATAAACTACACAGCACACTGCATTAACTATCCATCACTGTCTACCCAGCCCACTGCATTAACTATCCATCACTGTCTACCCAGCTCACTGCCTTAACCATCCAGCACTGTCTACCCAGCCCACTGCATTAACTATCCATCACTGTATACCCAGCCCACTGCATTAACTATCCATCACTGTCTACCCAGCACACTGCATTAACTATCCAGCACTGTCTACTCAGCCCACTGCATTAACTATCCAGCACTGTCTACCCAGCACACTGCATTAACTATCCAGCACTGTCTACCCAGCCCACTGCATTAACTATCCAGCACTGTATACCCAGCCCACTGCATTAACTATCCAGCACTGTCTACCCAGCCCACTGCATTAACTATCCATCACTGTCTATCCAGCACACTGCATTAACCATTCAGCATGGTCTAACCAGCACACTGCATTAACCATCCAGCACTGTCTATCCAGCACACTGCAATAACCATCCAGCACAGTCTACCCAGCCCATTGCATTAACTATCCAGTACTGTCTACCCAGCACACTGCATTAACTATTCAACACTGTATACCCAGTCCACTGCATTCACTATCCAGCACTGTCTACCCAGCCCACTGCATTAACTATCCAGCACTGTCTACCCATCCCATTGCATTAACTATCCAGCACTGTCTACCCAGCAACTATCCAGCACTGTCTACTCAGTACACTGCATTAACTATCCAGCTGTCATGGTACCTGTAGTATCTACCTCAGAGGAGGTCAGGCATCTGGACGTGGTCCCTCAGATGGGGGCTTGTACACCCGATCGTTTCGGCATTTTCGGCCGCTTGCACGCCAGCCGTGATAGCTCTGCCGGCCGCGATAGCTCCGCCTCCTTTTATGATGCGGCGCTCAATAGCCGACGTCATGACGCCATTGACGTCACAAACCGCCAGAAACCGCAAATCAGGACATTTTGGGGGCGTGGTCACCAATTAAGAAACCAAGGTATAAAAGAGACTCATTTGCAATAACTTATTGCCCTGTCGTGGTTCTAGCTAGTCTGGTCACTCAGTGCTCTTATTGTGATTATTTGGTTTTGATTCGGCTCTCTATTATCGTCCCTGCTACCTTCTCTTACCCTTATACTCGGCTTGTCTCTCGCTAACCTGTTCTCTCGTTCCCTCGACCTCGGCTTGTCTCTGACCATTCTTTGTCTTGTCTATACGTTAGTCCGGCCATCCTAAGGTCCGGTATACGTACCTCCTCCTGTTTGCATTCTGCGTGTTGGATCCCTGTCACGATCCTGACATTACGACAGGGCCAATGGATCCTGCAGGTGCTAGCTCTCAAATCAGTTCCTCTGATGCTAGATTTGAGGCCATGGACCATAGAATGGACCAGATGGCTCTAGCTTTGCAGTCTTTATTATCACGTCCTAGTACTCAGTCAGAGGAGATGCGTACTTCCACTATCACTCCTGTAAGCACAGGTTTAGAGGAACCACATTGGGTGCCTCTTCTCGTGTTACTTCCCCTCTACGCTATGGTGGGTCACCAGATACTTGTCGAGGTTTTTTAAACCAGATAAGTATTCATTTTGAACTACAACCCCGGGCCTATCCTACTGACAGGGCTAAGGTTGGATTTATAATAACTTTACTAATTGACAGAGCACTTAGATGGGCTAACCCTTTGTGGGAAAATGATAACCCTTTGGTCTATAATTATAATGCTTTTGTCGCAGCTTTCAGGAGGACTTTTGACCCCCCAGGAAAGAAGTCCAATGCAGCTAGGTTACTGTTACGTCTTAGACAGAATAATAGAACTCTCGTGGATTATGCGCTAGAGTTCAGATCCTTGGCGGCAGAAGTCAAATGGAACTAACAGGCTTATATGGATGTATTTTTGAACGGGTTATCTGATGAGATTCTAGATGAGGTTGCCACAAGAGAACTCCCGGAAAATTTGGAAGATTTGGTGTCATTTATTTCCCGAATAGATGAACGTAGGAGACAGAGGCAGAATACTCGGGATAGAACCCGTAGACCTTCTATAAGACTTGCCCCCTCATTCCAGAATCCTGACTCTACAAACCTAGCCCTTCCAGAACCCATGCAAATAGGAACTACTCGCCTCTCAGAGGATGAGAGACAATACAGGAGAAGGGAGAGTCTTTGTTTGTATTGTGGACTAAGAGGTCACCTGCTCCTAAATTGCCCTACACGGCCGGGAAACGCTCGCACCTAAGTTTCTCAAGAGGATGGGCTTTGGGTGTTTCGATCTTGTCCTCTATGTATGATTATAAAGACCATAGGCTTCTTATCCCTGTCTCTTTAGCTTGGGAAAAGGGAGTTGTAACTATGATGGCTTTGATAGATTCCGGAGCAGCTGAAAGCTTTATAGATCAAGCTTTTGCCAATAACCATTTTCTCCCATCTCAACTAAGAGATACACCCTTGGCCGTTGAGGCCATAGATGGTAGACCACTATCAGAACCTGTTATATTTCGGGAGACTATACCCGTTAGGTTAACCATGGCTATCCTACACGAGGAAATTATGTCCCTCTTATTAATCTCTTCTCCTTCAGTTCCAGTGGTCCTAGGATATCCCTGGCTTAAAAAACATAACCCCATCATTGATTGGGAACAAGGAGAAATAGTTTCATGGGGACCGGGTTGTAGGGAAGGATGTTTGTTGAAGGTCACACCCGTCTGCTTAGTAAACACTCCTACCAACTCTTCCCAACCTACAGACTTACAGATACCTTCTCGGTACCTGGATCTAAAGGCGGTCTTTGACAAGAGGAAGGCTGACACATTACCTCCTTATAGGTCTTATGACTGTACTATTAAACTCTTGCCTGGTACTATGCCTCCGAGGGGTACGGTGTATTCTCTATCTACTAAAGAAAACTTAGTGCTGGAGGAATATATAAAAGAGAATTTAGGTAAAGGATTTATTAGAAGGTCTTCATCTCCGGCTGGGGCCGGCTTCTTCTTTGTAGATAAAAAAGACGGCACCCTGCGGCCTTGCATAGATCATCGGGGCTTGAATAAGATAACCATTAGGAATGCATATCCCATTCCTCTGATTATCGAGCTATTTGATAGACTGAAGGGCTCCATGATTTTTACCAAATTAGACTTAAGGGGAGCGTATAACTTGGCAAGAATTCATCAGGGAGACGAATGGAAAACGGCTTTCAATACCGGTTACGGCCATTATGAGTACACTGTAATGCCCTTCGGGCTATGCAATGCACCAGCGGTCTTCCAAGATCTGATTAATGAGGTTCTTAGGGAATTTCAGCATGAATGCGTTATAGTATATTTGGATGATACACTAATACATTCTAGGGACATTGAGACTCATCACAGACAAGTCAGAAGGGTATTACGTAAACTTTTACAACATGGATTGCATTGCAAATTGGATAAATTTTCTAGGTTACGTAATTTCCAGGGATGGATTTACGATGGACCCAATTAAACTTAAATCAATTTTAGATTGGCCATTGCCTAAGGGACTCAAAGCCATACAGAGATTTATCGGTTTCTCTAACTATTATAGGCGCTTTATTAAAGGATACTCTTCTATTATTGCTCCTATTACTAATATGACTAAACAGGGCGCTAATACCAAAACATGGTCTACAGAGGCTCTATCTGCTTTCGAAACGCTCAAAGAAACTTTTGCTTCAGCACCAATATTGGTCCATCCTGAAACCTCGTTACCTTTTTTACTCAAGGTAGACGCTTCAGAGACAGGTATGGGGGCAGTGTTATCCCAAAGACAAGGTTTGGATAAACCATTACACCCATGTGGCTTCTTTTTCAAAAAATTGTCAGAGACGGAAAGAAGATATGACATTGGAGACAGAGAACTACTAGTGGTTATAATGGCATTAAAGGAATGGAGACATTTGTTAGAGGGGACTTTACACCCAATTACCATTTTGACGGACCACAAAAATTTATCCTGCATAGGAGAAGCTAAGAGATTGTCCGCCAGACAAGCTCGTTGGTCCTTGTTCCTTACTCATTTCAATTACTTACTCACATACAGACCTGGTTCTAAGAACACCAAGGCGGATGCGTTGTCCTGCCAACATGAACCTACTACTGTTACGGAAACTGCTTTGTCTCCTACTGTTCCCAAACAAAATATTATAGCCAACACAAGTGTCAAAATACACTTTCTGATGTTGAGAAAGAACAGTGTCTAGCTCCTGTACATACTCCTGAGGGTCGGTATTTCGTTCCTCCTAAGTTCCAAGTAGACTTGCTTCGATGCTTTCATGAAAGTAAAGTTGCTGGACACCCCGGCATACACAAAACGTATTCTCTGATTTCCAAAGACTTCTGGCCTACATTACGTAAGGATATAAAGGATTTTGTCAGGGCATGCGATATATGTGTAAAGAATAAACTACCACATACACTCCTATGTAGTTTATTGCAACCCTTAGACATACCCATGAAACCTTGGGCCAGTTTAGCTATGGATTTTATTGTCGATTTGCCTGTTTCCAATAAACATACAGTTATTCTCACGGTGATCGACAGATTTACTAAAATGGCTCATTTTGTTCTTTTTCCTAAACTTCCTTCCTCACCCGAATTGGCTGCGATATTTGCGAAGGAAATTTTTCGCTTACACAGTATTCCTACTGATATCGTTTCGGACAGAGGTTCCCAATTTATTTCCCGGTTTTGGAAGTCCTTCTGTTCCCAGTTGGGTATCAAGCTGAATTTCTCTTCTGCCTATCATCCCCAGTCCAACGGGGCAGCCGAACGCACCAACCAAAAGATTGAACAATATTTACGTTGTTTTGTTTCTGAACACCAAGACAATTGGGTCGGTCTAATTCCTTGGGCGGAGTTTGTGCACAACAATCTTGTTTGTGATTCTACTCACAATAGCCCCTTTTTCTTGAATTATGGCTTTCATCCTACCATTCTTCCGTCGGTATTGCATTCTCATGGTATACCGTCGGTTGATGTACATGTTGCCAATCTGAGAAAGTTGTGGGATCAGACTCGACGAATTCTTGCTCATAGTTCCGCGATGTTCAAGCTACACGCTGACAGACGTAGACGGGCTGCTCCTGTTTTTTCCCCGGGTGATAGGGTGTGGTTGAGTACCAGACACATCCGCTTGAAGGTTCCTTACATGAAGTTTGCCCCTCGCTACATTGGACCTTACAAGGTTTTAAGGAGGATTAACCCGGTTGCATATCAGGTTGCCCTACCTCCTGCCCTGCACATCCCTAACTCCTTTCATGTCTCTTGGTTGAAACCAGTACTGTCTACCCAGCCCACTGCATTAACTATCCAGCACTGTCTACCCAGCAACTATCCAGCACGGTCTACCCAGCACACTGCATTAAATATCCAGCACTGTCGACCCAGCACACTGCATTAACTATCCAGCACTGTCTATCCAGCACACTGCATTAATCATCCAGCACTATCTACTCAGCACATTGCATTAACCATCCAGCACTGTCTATCCAGCACACTGCATTAACTATCCAGCACCGTCTACTCAGCACACTGCATTAACCATCCAGCACTGTCTGCCCAGCACATGACATTGGCTACTTACAATGCGGGCAGCATCTCGATCCGCTCCTCTGAGCAGCAGAACTCTGACCACTTCACTGTGCCCCACCTGTGCAGCAATCCACAGAGGTGTGGTTCCATCCTTAAGAGGAAAGCATAATTAATAAAAGAGAAACTTTAGGGAAGAATTGACCATCCATTCTATTTACAGCATTATATAGATAATGCTTTTAAACATATGTTAGGTACATATAAAGTCTCCTGCAGATACACCGTTTAATGGTTTGGCTATAACTAGAGACAGCCTTCCTTCAAACAGAAGATCCAGATGTCATTTTAGTTTGTGGAATCTAATCTAATCCCATAAATGGATTTGTGAGAAAAGTAGTTTTTCACCTTGTTTGAAATCATTCTCAGCAGCATCACTCTGCTGTTTGATTGACAGCTCTAAGGGACTGGGTTAGATCTACAGCTATTTTTGTAGCTGAGAGTTGGTGCAGGGTACTTTCTGCACAATCAAAGTTCAACCAGTTATGATGGTGCACAGAGTCCCTCTTCAAACTTGGGTTCACATATCAGCAATAATAGCTCTTATTTTCCTCATTCTGAAGATGAGGTGCCACATTTCCCATTGGACAGAGTAAGCACGGGCCTACAGACGCATGCCTGATGGGTACATCTAATCTGCCTGTTAAAAGTCCCTTTCTCACCTCCTGTCCAGTGCTTGCTGAACAGAGGCAGCAGGACTTTGCTACTGCTGTGTTCATCTGAGGAGCCTGACCTGTCCATCGTCTGACCCCTCAGAATGAATACAGTGATCTCCTGGAAGGAGAGGACTGGCCAGGAGAAAAACAGGACTGAGGTCAGAATGGCCAATTCAGAAATGACACACACACTGCTACATATACTGCCACCTAGACTGTACACACTGCTTTTCACTCTTAGACAAACACAAACATACATACTTCTACTCATATTGTTGCCCACATTGTTACACAAATCCTACACTGTCCACAAACAGACACTACTAAACACACTGTTACACGCACATTGCTACACAAACTACTACACGTACTGCTATCCACACTGTTACACACACAAATACTGCTAACCACACTGTAGGAAACACACACTACTGTACACACACACTGACGCACAAACAAACAGACATATATAGCACACAGACATACACTAACTCAGACATTTATATTACAACACATGGATACACACATACACACTCATTATGTAAACTGTCAAGTTTCGTTATTAGTTTGTACGGGGGATTGGAAGATGCTCGCGAATTCTGTGCCTACAGATTCTTGTAATGTTAATCTGGCCCTGCAAATGTTATTCTTCTCCTCCAAATCACATATCTCCTTTTTCCGAGGGCATGCACAATAAATATGCAAATTTCATGAAATGATTTTCATTTTTAGTTCTGGTTCTTTCAGTTTTCTAACTTATAGGCCTGGTTTTAAGAGTGCTTCATCATTTATTTACTATAATTAAATTATCAGCTGCATTGGTGAAAATACATTTTTCAACTGGATTCACTAGCTGGTGGTGACTCTACAGTAGCTGATGAAATCAGTTGCGCTGAGTGAGTAAAAAGGTTGTGATGTTGACAGATTTTAAGCTGATTTCTGAGTATAACTCATCTAACACTCAGAAAATGAATTGGTGTAACTGTTTATTGTTGCAAGCTGTAACAATTCTTTGCTGTTAGCTATAAATATGACAAATTAAAATAAAAGGTACATGCTAAAACCCACGCATGTAAACAAAACCCTTTTAGAGTAATGCACTATTGAAAGTGAAAGTAAAAAAAAGTTTCAAATAATATTTGGTGGGGGTCTGTAAAACCTCAGTGTATTTTAAGAGAGATCTGATTTTTAACTCCTGTATCAGATGAAAGTGTTCCGAGATGAACCAATAGAGGCAGTGTATGCCCAAATCTATTCATTCATAAATATAATTTAGAAAGTACTCACAGGAGGAATAAGTATACTATTTTTTTTTCTGTGCCAAAACTAATTTCAATTTTTTTTGTAGGTATGGCCTGTAGAGGGAGCTCTGTGACAGTTGTTAATACAATCCAAAACAACTACTTTGACATTTTGGGGGGCTAACAGGACATTTTAATAGTTCACTAAAGCCTAGATTAATTACTTTTGGATAAACTTTCCCAATTAATTAATATTTGAAAAATATATTTGTATATTTTATATTTATTCCATATTCTATATATTTTTATATTTAAATATTTGGAAAAAAATATTTGTTATATCTTGTTCTTTCCATATTGCCCTAAAATACCTTGTACGTTCTCACTAAACTGCAAAATGTCAGGAATAGACCAGCAAACTTCAAATAGTAGATTGAGTGAAAAAAATCAACAGCTATTTTTCCAACTAAACTAATTTGGCATAATATATGCATGTCCTGTCAATTCCATACAACCATTCATTAAGTAAGTAATGCTGCTTCTCTGTTACATAAAAGGTACCTCTGACACCAGGAAAAGAATCAACAGCCCTCCAAAGTATTCAAATACCCATTGTACACAAGGTAGGTATCTGCAATTGTCAAACATGCCTTTAGGTGGCTCCTTTTGAGTGATAATTAGAAACATTCATTTTATGTTACTTAAATCTGATGTTTGCAGCATAATATAGAGACACATGTAGTATTTAGTTTGTTAATTGAATCCATGTGCTATCCAGAGGGTCACATGCCACTGCCAGGCCCTTTGGCTTTTAATGAAAGCTCTCTCTATATAAAATCCTTCAGCTATGCTTGTGAAAATATATTAGTGAAGGTTTTGCTCCTACAATACGCACGTTAGACTGTTTTCTGGCTAAATAATAAAATCGACTTTTCATACTACCTGTCTTGGTTGATTTGCTCTTGCCCCGGATGTGAGTAACAACCGAACTACATCAACATAGCCCCCTTGTGCTGCAAGAAACAATGAAGTGGCTCCATCCTAAAAAACAAAAAAGCCGCACACATTATCACAAGAGAAACATTCATGTATTGCCATAGATTCATTACTACAGAACGGTACATGCTTCACTACTGCATTATCAGAACAGAGAGGGACATACATTATCCCAGCAGACATGTATATGTTTTACCACTGCAGAAAGATACATATATTGTCACAATTTAAAAACCAACATACATTATCCCAGCAGACATGTACATGCACAGCACTGCAGAAAGATTCATATATTGTCACAATTTAAAAAACGACATACATTATCCCAGCAGACATGTACATGTACAGCACTGCAGAAAGATACATATATTGTCACAATTTTAAAAACGACATACATTATCACAACTCAAAAGTACACGCATTGTCACAAAGGTTCAATTTAAACAATGTTCTGCCAGGTTTATTGCCCGTACATGCTCCCTTCCATGGAACAATTAACAATAATTCTCTTTTTCTCATACATTTATTTAAATAGCAGTTATTAACCTAATCCATTCCTGTTAACCTTCCCAAATCCGATAGGACAAGTGTTCTGGAAAAGATTCTGACAGAACTGTTTGTTTGTTTGTTTTTTTAAAACAATCTTTATTTATTCAGTTTATCATATATAAACAAGGCTGACAGAAGTGGTTAATTTATCTGGTGTTACTCCAGCTCTGGCTCAGCAGTGTTTTTATCCCATGCATTTCTGAACTCCTCCACTGTGACAGTCTCTGCCATCACTGCTGAAACGTTATTCCATGCATCTACAGCTCTTTCTGTAAAATAGAAATCCCCAATGTTCAGCAACAACTGGGCAGATATCTATTATACACATATTTAAGGGGGGCCCATGCCACTTATTGCGACTGATTGATAACCATTGGCAAATCATTTCTCACAATGCTCATCCCTGAATTGTCCACGGGAGCTGGAATGCCATAGAATAGCAATCACTACAGTATACACTAAACAACCCAGTAACCACTTGTTCTACCACAATTAAAACAAAGCAATGCTAGCTTGCTGAATTATCTGAATGGAGGATTAGAGCTTAATTCAATGTCCATCCTCCCAACTGTCAATGTGTTTTGTTAAGTAAACTATGCGTTCTGCTAAAAGGAAAACTGAATTTCCTGAAAATACTAAACTTATTTATTTGTAAAATTTATCGAATGGTGTTTTCTGTTCATCACAAAATACAGTTCAGTGAACAAACCACGGTTGTTTACTCTTGAGCAATTTGGAAATTAAAGAACATTTGTCATCAAATGTTCACTTCTCGTTTTATAAGAAATGTATTACATTTAAAGGGACACTATAGTCACTAAAACAACTTTAGCTTAATGAAGCAGTGTTGGTGTATAGATCACGCCCGTGCAGTCTCACTGCTCAATTCTCGGCCACTTTGGAGTTGCATCACTTTGTTTGTGCAGCCCTAGCCACACCTCCCTGCAAGCAGATCCAGTGCAAGGATTTCTGCAGCCCTGGGCAAAGTTTATTTACTATACACAAAAACGAAATATTCCATTGATCACGGCTTTTCTATGTTTCCCATTAAGTTCACGTTCAGCTCATTGAAAAAGGTGGAAGGCAGCAGACACGCCAGTAGAGCGTGTCTCTGACTTCTCTGTTAGCTCTGTGTAGCTAAAGGAAGTAAAGGAAAACCTTCCTAGCTGTGTGACAAACAAGGAGGTGTTTTTACCCCCAATTAGAAAAGATTTCTATTTAGAGCGGCACTTTTATAAACTGACAAGAAAATGACAACTCCAGACATAGAAAGCTCTTCAGCAAGCTGAAATACTTCATGTGTGTGGAGTATTCCACTCTCTTAGCAAGACTAGTGTCTATATACACTCACTCTCATCAACTTTTTCTAAATTTTTACCCTTCTATGCATACTCTTCTTTACTTAAAGGGACACTATAGTCACCAGAACAACTACAGCTTATTGAATTTGTTCTGGTGAGTAGAATCATTACCTTTAGACTTTCTGCTGTAAACACTGTCTTTTCAGAGAAAATGCAGTGTTTACGTTACAGCCTAGTGATAACTTCACTGGCCACTCCTCAGATGGCTGTTAGAGGTCCTTCCTGGGTCATGGCTGCCTAAAATGCATCCAAACATTCAGTATCTCCTCCCTCTGCATGCAGACACTGAACTTTTCTCATAGAGATTCATTGATTCAATTCAACTCTATGAGGAGATGCTGATTGGCCAGGGCTGTGTTTGAATCATGCTGGCTCTGCCCCTGATCTGGCTCTTTGTCAGTCTCAGCCAATCCTATTGGGAAGCACTGTGATTGGATCAGGCTACCACTGTTGATGATGTCAGCAGACAGCTTGTTTTTTCTGAGACAAACAGCATGCAGATCTACAGCTTCAGGCTTGAATACAGTAAGATTTTGCTATATTTATGGAGGCATGAGGGGCCCAGGGAGACTAGATGGTGGTATTAACACTATAGGGTCAGGAATATATGTTTGTGTTACTGACCCTATAGTGATCCTTTAATATTTCCAGGACAAGCCAAATCTGTGTTTATATACAAAGTCACACATCTCCTTCCAGAATTGTTCATGTTTTTTACAGGACCAGTAAACAAACAGGTTTATAATAAAATACAGCTTCTCCTCTGCACAGCCATATTTCTGACAGTTACCCAAAGATTATATATTGCATGTCAGCAAGTAAGTAAGTGTGAATGATTTACAATTTTCTTTTTTGACACGAGTGGGATCAATAAGTCAGGGAATTTTTCATTGTATAAATGTCAATATATGGTTCTGAGAAATGATGTCAATGTGTCCTTATGAATGAAACCCCCCAAAACACAAGTGGAACTTAAAATCAAAAAGTAAAAGGGACACATGTTAAAAAGTGATCTTGAAGAATCTGCTATTACATCACAGTCGTGATGATAGTAATAGGTGACATGTGTGCTACTAACCTGTTCTGTTTCAAGCTGAAACTGATGTATGTGCATGTTCCTTTAACGATGATCAATGCGGACATTTTCTGTATTTAAGTGTGATCAGTTTGTTTATGCTTGTTTGGACATTATGTCTATTAATTAAGGATGTATTTGTAAAAGTTTATATCATCAATGTATACAGTGTTTGTTTTGCGCATGCATTATACATTTTGATCACTTGGGGGGTATTCATTCATTTGTTGAAAACTGTCAGTGGCAATAATTGTTATTGCTTAATGTTGACTGCTTAACGTAAGGTATAGACGTATATTATAGCAAACCAGTAATACCAAAACTGATGTGATCTTGTAATCATTGTTAATGGTTTATTGGCAACCATTAACGTAATAATCAAATGATACATTGTGACCAAGGTCATATTTAATAGTGAATTATCCTATGTCACTAGTAGATTACGGACTACTTTTTATAGTCTTCTAGCGAGTTGGTAATGGAAATGGCATTACCCTACAGGCTGGAAATACACTATTATCACTAATTCAGTACTATACCAAACTGTTCAGTCCGGATGATGTTAGAGGTTTCTAAAATAAGCAGAGAGCAGGCCGTTGCACACACAAGGCATATGCTCAGGGGGCCACAGCAAGGGCCAGCTCTGTTAATAGGCTGGCCTGCTCCCAAATCATCCACAGAATCGTTGTGTTCTCCCTGAAGAGTCTTGTTGGCATCAATGTGTCGGACTAGAGAGGCCTATGTTTTTTACTGCACAGGACTTTAATCATTTCGCATTGGAACTTAATTAGCAGTCTTGTGCAGAAAGCAGCATGCGCCTCTATAGCTCCCACACATAGCAGCCATCAAGCAGCCACTGAGACAAGCAAAGGAAGGGTCCACTCCCCTCATCCAGGACTAGAGTGGTACATTACATTCTGTGCCTAGACTGATCAAATACACCAATCTAGTCCTGGCTGAGGATGATGTGACTTGCTGTTTAGAAATGGCCAGAGAGAGCAATAGTTTGCCCATCCCTGCAGTACTACACCTTTTTTCCAACAGAGCTGTGTCTTGGAGTGAAACACATTTTCAAGTTGGTACAGGATTTAATTCGGCATACATTTATGTGTTTGTGATAAAAATAGCGATATGTGCAATTGTAATAGAGTTTTTAGTTGTGTTGGCAGGCTTACTGCACCTCACCCTGTTTCATTCCCCTTACAGGTCCACATTAATAATGCCAGGTTAATTCAGGTCATCACACACTGTAAATAAATATCACACTCAGTGAGGGACAGGTTTAGAATAAAAAGTACAACAAATAGTGAAAATGAAATACTACAACAAAAACCCTTACTAAGTATCCTATTAGTAAATTATGGTGAACATTATTACTGTGTATTGCTGTGCAATTACCTCTGAATTACACAAATACTATGTAATTATTAGACAGAAAACACCTGCACATTTCTTAGTATATAAATTATTTGAGATACTATGCAATACACTACAAACATCATTTATGAGATATATTGTAACTAAAGGAAAATACTGCTTTACAAAAATCAAAACGTATTTTATTAAATTATAGTCATGTTCTAGGAGTTCCCAAACTAGATGTGTGAAACTCCTGGACTATCCCTTTTTAAAATATATATATATTTATCCCATAAACATACTATGGTTACTTCTAGCACTATTCAGTGGGGATATAGCTGAGTTCCGGGTTGTTAAAGGATTAGGAGTCCCATTATCCATCTCTGGAGTTAAAGCTATTATTTTGGTTATCTATCTGACATTATTTGGTTATCTGTCAAGGTTCATTATGGGTCTGCACCATATAGTGAACTTGGCAAACTTGGATTCTTTTTATTGCATTTTGCTTTTTTGTTATCTGGTTCTTCTTTTTATGTTTATTATTATTTTGATAGTGACTTAATGAAATTTTCTTTTACATTTTTTATTTTGATGTGCAGTAAGATATTACAATAACATGGGTAAGACACAGATTAACCTGCGCAGAGGTATAAGTGATCGTCATGAGTAGAATACAAAGCATTTTGTTTATACACAGGTAAGTATCGACTATAACAATTTAGTAGTAGGCTTAAGAGTAAATGACTGCACTTTTTTGTAAATATACATAGGTCAACATCTCGATCACAAGAATCAACAACGAGGGAACGAAACAGGAGGTACGTAAAGATATGTTACTATCATTTCCTGAATATGAGAGATAGCAGTAGACAGAAAAGATTGTGCTCATTTGCTAACTTTAAGAACATGTAATTTGTAACATTGCTGTTTCTGTATGGAAAATCACTAATGGGTAGGCTAGTAGCTCAGGCAGACTGGGATAGTTGTAAAGGTAAAGTATGAACTTAAGCATTCGACTTACTCCCACACCACATATATCAGCAGAAATGCAGATGTTTCACCTAATACCCATGCTTGGCCTCTGGCCCTCAAGTTAAGATAAAGTCCCAGTGCTCCAGAACCATCTACTCCGCCAACCCCAAGCCCCTATGAGAGCCCACACGTGGTTCCCGCTGGTCTGGTTGCTCATGGCTCCGTGACTAGTGTCCCAGTAGAGTTCAGGAGCCTCTTGGCATTGATGATGCTTCCTCTAGGAGTGCAGTGTATGCACCGGGGTATGCCCCCTTATTGCTCTCAGCCTGGGTCTGCGGTAGCGAGCGCCGGTCCACGTGACATACATTGTGGCGTCAGGGAGTCGGGGGCGTCTTCTCCCCTGTTTCATGCTTGGTAGTTTGAGGATCAGTAACTTGGCCAAGCCAGACATGGATTAGGAGGTGTCTGAAGGTGGGGTTTGCAATGAGCTATTGCTCCATCTCCCCACCATATGCTGGCTCTGTTTCACCGCCAGTTTCAGCCAAAAGTTGGCAAAGATCTCTTCCAGACACAGTATGATTGGATTTATCAGGTTTTGTGTGGGTGAGGTATGCTGTGTCCACCATTTTGTCTGCGACTGTAAGGTAGGCCTCAGTGTGCCTGGGCGCTTGCAGTGTCACAGATACACCCTTAGTGGGATGACCCTCGCTGGCAGGGGGGAGAACAGGGGCTCTTTACGCCTCTTTGCACCACAGCAGGCTGAGCAGCCGGAAGATCGGCCATTTCATCCGACTGCACCTACAGGTAGGCCTCAGTTTACACCACTGGTCGAGCTGCGAAATGCCACAGAAGGTGTCTTGTGGAAATGCAGATTGTCTCCAACAAGATCAGGACATGTTTTCTCGAGTGGCAAGTCGATATATTTGTATAGTTGCAGGGTTTTGCTCAGAGCCTACACTGAGGGAGACTGTTCAGTATGGTGGTCAGGCCCAGCCCCCTAATGAAATTTTTTGGCCTTTATTGTGGGCAAAAAAAAGAAAGAAGAAATCTGATGATAAGTATAAACATTTTATGACAGGTACTACATTTTGGGCACCCCTCCACTATTATTATGGTGAGAGGAGTAGACAGGTTTTTTTTTTTTTTTTTTACTAAACATGTTGGCTAAGGTTTTGGGGATCCCTACCCACCAAGAGTGGAAAACATGGACATAATTGTGTGGGAGTGAGTGGGTAGATAATGAAATGTTCACCCCCTTCTGTATTTAATTAGAATCCCATTCACCACTAATAGGTGGAGGCTGGGGGAAATTAGGTTATAACAATTATTAGGCCAAGGTTATAATAATTATTAGGCTTTCTACCTGCCACTTATGTGTGTGGTTGGGAGAGTCAATAAGTCCTCCCATTTATTATGTAATTCATTGCCCTCCCCCACTAGGTTGATCCCCGCCTTTTTAATGTAGTAGTGCTCAACTGCTGTCCACCCTTCCATCATAATTTAATTTAAAGCCCCCACTGATACCCATGGTTCCAGGTCCCCCCTGTATGTAAATAGCAATTGGGCAGCAATAGCTGGCCAGACACTCATTTATTATTGTAGCGAGAAGCCACTGGTTGCTTGATATTTAGCCACATGCCCACACCCACGCATGTTGCATGTGGGAGGTGTAAAACCTCACTTATACATATATGGGTTTATATTTAGCCTCCAATGCTGTTATTTATTTTTTTTAAATGTTTTTAAAAGGGTTAGTCATAAAAAAAGAACAATAAATGTTCTTCTGAAGCACATGTATTAGCAGGTAATTTCCGAGCAACCGATTCGTATATAAGATCTGGCTGCTTGAATTTCAGCTTGCGTTAAATCAAGCCGAAATTTGATAAATAATGGCCAAAACCAGTCTATAATTATGTTTATGGCTGATATAATTAAATCAAGGCCTAAGTCACATGATCCCACAACTGTCAGAACATTAAAGCATTCCTCCCAACTTTTCACATGGACAAAGACGGACACTTTAATTTTAGGGGTGTGAGCGGGGGTTGAGGCCAGGGGAAGGGCTGTTCTGAGACATTTTAGGTGACTTACTAAGAACAATGTATAAAGCTAGAATGATATTTAGAACATGAACAATGTATCTTATTTACACAGACCAATTTCTAAATACATTAATTACAGTTTAAAGATACATTACTTTGAGTATTATTTCTGTGAGCCTTGTTATACACTCAGTCACACCAACAATATGGAGCACATAGAAAGAAGAACACAAGAATAGAAAAGAGGGACAGGGAGATTTTGTAAAAAAAAATAGACTGTCCCTCCTAAATGGGGACACTAGAGAGGTATATTAAAGGCTAATGCAATTATGTTACCTAAGCTAAAGATCTAAAAGATGTTACTGAAAGTAGATACTAATATTTGGTAACCAAATACATTTCTTACCGTTCTATACAACCACAATTCTTCGTGAGAGCTATAGTGGATGTCAAGGTTCCATGTTTTTTTAGGGCAGCAAGCACTATGTTTGCTGAAGATATTCTACAGAAGAGTTATATGGCTATTTCTATATTTTTCTGTAGATGTCTCTGGTGATTTATAATCGTGAAAGTGTGTTCCTTTTGAGGATCTGATTCACAAGTTTCAACTTGCTCAAATATTTTTTTAATAATTTATTTTGACATTCTTAACTCTGGAACAATGAATATTTAAATTAACTGCAAAGCTGTCATATCTGGTTCTCCGTCTCCACAAATAAATAGGAGAGTGTTAATAATGACGATAAATACATGCTGTAATATGTTTATGTATAGAATGACTTGCAGCATAACCCAAACTTGTCACTTCTTCATCAAAATAATGGACTACAGTAAAATAAGGCTCCGGTTACTATGGATTTGTTATCCAAAAGAGTTTAGTATTCTTTCGGATAACAAATCTAGTAGCAAAATAAGAGCCACAGTATGATTTCTCTCCTTGAATATAAGATAACAGAGCAACTCAAAATATATGTTTAATACATGATTGTGATATTTTCTGTATGTGTGTTTAATATATGAGTGTACTCCAGAGACATTACTGGACCCACATCCTGACATGAGCAGTACAATAGTAAAAAAAATCTTCAGATACCTGAGCTTGCTGGGGGGATTGTGCAGAACATGGTGCTGTTACATAAATAAATTCTGATTATTTAAATCTGATTATTTTCTTATGAGGCCCAATGAAAACTGTCGAACTAATACCAACAGGTGCAAAAACATGAAATCCAATGAGTGCTTATACCGATGGGATAAACTCATTAGCAGCCTGTCTCACTGGGTTCACGGGAATGCCGCCGAGTGTGTCTGGTCTACCTCCACAGCTGCCGTGTCTGGAAGCAGTAGTAATCCCGGCCACTGCTCTCTAGAGCCTTTAAGGGCTGCTCAAGGTCTTGCCCATAATTGTCCCGTGGACGTGTGTGAGACGTCACACTGATGTGATGCACGAACATCCCAATGTCATGTGACCACCAGTAACCAATCAGAATAGTTATTAGGGTATTTAAACTCATACTGATTTCTTTTCAGTGTCCTGTTGTGGTTTACAGTTTGGTTAACCTAGTAATTCTTGTGAATTTTGACCTTGGTTTGTTCGTTGACTATTCTGACTTCTGTATCCCTTGACCTTTGGTTTTACGTACCTTCTGTTTCCCTGACCTCGGCTTGTCCTGTACTTTTCTACAGCCATTCTAAGATCTAGTAATACGTTTTCAGGTTTCTGATTCATTTTATATCTGTTATCTTAAGTTCTCCATGTTGGGTATTAAACGATCCTGAGAGAGCCAGAATGCTAATCAGAGAGTTGAAATGAAGGATCTTTACCTAAATAGCTGTTAATCAAAGTCTTATTATTTTAACTATCTAGAACCAAGTGATATTGTATTTTTACTTTGGTGAAGCAATGTAAATTAATGCACTTCCATAAAGTTGTGAGCAAGATTTACCAGCAGTTAGATATCCAATATATACAATTATGATGATCAAAGAGCTCTACGAGGATTTGAGGTAGATGGATATATATTGTTAAGTATCTTCCCCAAGGACAATTACTGGAAAGGTTGTCTGACGACTGGAATTTGAACCTAGGTCTCACAGTTTTAATGCCTATCCTTAGACAAAATATGAAAATCTAATCATCTTAGTTTACACTTTGCTAGAGAAAATGCATATCCAATTCAGAAACTGTTGCTGTTAGCATGGGTGTCCACAGGGAAGAGTAATTAGAGCCACTGCCCTTTACCAATTATTTGAATTACAGTTATCAACATTTCTTTAAGCACCTCTTCTGCTCCCCAAGCCATGGTTATATAGCAATGAAGAACCCGACCTGATTATTTTATTGTGCAAGGTGCAGCTGTATGGAGTTCCTTTGTATTTATTATTTCATCCCTAAGCAATAATTATCATAGATCTTGGCTTTTATCTTGTAAACTAAGATGATTAGATTTTCATATTTTGTCTAAGGATTCCGACTTCAGAAAACAGAATTTTTTCATAATTTGTTTGTAATGACCCTTATATCTTTTTCAAATCTAGTACGTACACAAAGCTGGTCATGAATGTTGGCTCCATTCTTCAGAAGTGTTTCAACTGCCCGGTAATGACCGTATTGACTAGCTGCAAGCAAAGCTGATCCTCCATCCTGAAAACAGAAACATGTCTTATTCAGCAATTAGTGAAATGTCCAATAGTTTAATAGACAATAATATAAGCAGGTGTAGCATTTAAACAATAGTCTCATGGAGAGAACACGCTTAATTGATATGGTTTCCTGAAAAAGTTAGTTTTCAATGATTTTTTTGAAGGAATGGAGACAGGGTGAGACCCTAATGGAGCTGGGATGGGAGTACCACTATGGAAGCAAGAAGGGGCCCTTCTTGGGGCATAGGACCCGTGTGGTCCTCTGGGCGGCCGAGCCTCATACAGCTATACTGGCTGTACTCCCCTGATGGCGGTCCTGCACAGGGTAGTTTCGTGGTCGCAGCACTGTCCAACTCTAGGTTTCACTCCAAGTGTGAGTAGAGTATCTACTGTGACATTTGTTTAACCTCAATATGCCCATTGTAAAATTGTGTCACTATCAATTCCTTTGAGTGGTTTCCAAAATTTTTTATTATTTGTTTGTTTGGTTTTCACTGTTAGATTAATTTATATTACTAGTTACCAACCTCCATAAAAGCATGTACAGAGACTGAAAGGCATCCTTTATTCAGTAGTTGTCATAAAAGAAATTATCTTTTTATTTTGCTTCTGATTAACTTGCAGTATAGATTATTTTTCAAGAAGACTCTTTTTACATCAGTTGGTCCTTCAAAGTGAGAGGATTGAACATTGATAACACTCATAATAACCTCCTTGCAAATTAAGCAATAAAAATCAGGCTCCCCTTAAAAGAAGTGGTCCCTACTTTATCTTATGCAAAACTAAATACCTAGGATGAATAAAAAAATAAATCAAAATACGCCAAAACAGAGAGACAAAAAAATAAATAATTTAATACCAAAACCTGCAAAATGTCAGGGCCATTTCAATATGCTTCTCTTGAATGCTCCCCTTCACTTTTCTTGTCTATGTTTGATTACTTTAAATAAACACGAACACAAAGCAGTGTCCATACAGAACATAATGGGTTACATTACACACCTCTCTCACCTATTAATAGAATCAATGCTCTTGGCCGTCTGTAACCTTCAACTTGTCACATTATTGAAAAGTCTTCAAAAGCACAGTTTTTATGTTAACATTAGCTGATTAACAATTAAACTATGATGGTTTAAGCTCAATGATGCTTTCTGACTTCAGCGGTGTTCCATACATTTTATTTAATTGTGATCCCTTTAAACATAGGGACTTATGGAGGTGAAGCGCGTGCATATGGAATAGACCTGTTGATAAAAAAAATAAAAGTAAATAAATATATATATTTTTGTTTGTACTACTTTTCACTTGCTCTTGCTTTGTGAAGGTGAGAATTAAGTATGTGAACTTAAGAGGGATATAAGGGAAGAACATTTGTACTTCCCTTATATCCCTGGCTGGCTGGACTGGCTGACAATGAAATTAGTTAAGGTAACGCTGACTTTATGCACTATGCAAATGCTGTTGCTGCTTTGATCTCTCTAACACTGTGGCATGTTCCCTTTCTTCTACACTCACTACATACACATTTTATCTGTCCCAGACTGCAAGAAATAAGGGAAGAAAAAGAGTGAACATGTGAGTGCTAGGGGACTGTCCCAAGCGCGCCATTAGACACATTTACACTAAGCTGTAATAATACAGCATAATACACCCTTAGTTCGTCAACCTGCATGATTGGCGGGCAGCCTGACATACCTTTGTGCCAGCCTGACCTTTAACTTCTGTGGGCAGTACAGACCCCTTTCTGGGTATGTCCGCCCCTTTCAGTGGTGCTAGTTAAGTCATATTTTCCGGTACTGAAATCCGGCCGAAACGAACACCCAACTCAACTAAATTCTGTCGACCAGAAGATTAAAAAAAAAGTCTGAAGTGTTCCAGAAGAACCAAAACTTTTTGCCTTGCACAACTCTAACTGCCAATAAAGATCTACACACTTTGTCCCCCTTTTATTTTGGGGGTGGGGGGAGTTTCTATGTCAAATGAGAGGCTCATATGATTCCTAACACTTGGATCACTGCACCTTAAAATAAATAAAAGATGTCTAAAAGACATAGGTTTGAATAGCTCTCTGGGCAAATCCAGCACTCACTACCCCGGCATACAACATAGAACATATCTTCTCAGCACTTCACCCCAGGCAGCAAGTTACAGGAGAACAAATGGTGGAAGAGTTAAACAATGGAATAGGAAACATCAAACAAGATGTAATTAATCTGAATCTCTCTATAGTTGATAAATACATCAATTTATTATTTATTACACTTTCCAAGATAAAAATGCAGATCAAAATAAAGAAGTAAATAACTTCAAGTTAGCACTTGTAATGCATCCTCAGTTGCCCTTACTGGCTGGAAACAAATGGATTCATTAAACTGTAAGAGGGAAAACAAGCCAAGTCAGATTTTTGTTGTCTGAATGGATGCCAGGCCTTCACTGAACACATATACAGAACACTGAATGTACACCCTCTCCATTCATAGCATAGAACATGCTGATCCTCTACTAAAGTAAAGCAAAAGCTAAATTATTTATGCCTCATACTTTACTAACTAGTTTAAGATCATACAATGATGCAGATAGTTGTTGCACTTTTATGGGGGGATAAATGGTCCTAGTGTATTATAATATTATAGTGTAGGCAGCATGAAATGGGCTAATAAGACAGATTATGTACCATCCAAGTACAAAACATATACAGTTTCCTCATTGAGGCAGACTAAAACTGAATATATATACATTATTATTATTTATAAAGTGCCAACAAATTTTGCAACGCTGTACAATTGGTGGACTAACAGACACGTATTTGTAACCAGACGAGTTGGACGCACAGGAACAAAAGGGACAGGGGAACATCTTGAACTCTTTGTCATGTTCCTCAACCCATTCCTGAACAATTTATGCAGTGTGGCAGGGTTCATAATCATGCTGAAAGAGGTCACTGCCATCAGGGTTCACCATTGCAATGAAGGGGTGTATGTGGTCTGCTACAATCTCTAGGTTGGTGGTACATGTCAAAGTAACATCCAAATGAATGCCAGGACCCAAGGTTCCCAGAATAACATTGCCCAGAGCATAAGACAGCCTGCCTTTTTCCCATAGTACATCCTGCTGCCATCCCTTCCCCAGGTAAATGACGCACTTGCACACAGCCATCCATCTGATTGTTAAATAAAATTCTTTATTTATTGCTGTAGTTTAAATATATAGGTGTATGTGTAATGCAGTTGATGTAACAGCTTGTTTTCATATTATAAACTGAGCAAAGAGCCCACAGCTATTTAATTATTTTTATTATTATATCTTGTCTCAAAACTTTTTATTTGTTCTCGAGATAATTACATGATTAACCACATGACCATTATTTTTTAATTGTGTACTCCATTATGCAAACAGGATAGGCCCCCATCCTATAACACGTTGAGAAAGCCTGTTAATTAGGTGAAAAGTGTCAGTGTGTTACCCTTTTATGCTGTTATTTTCAATTAAACCAATGTTTATCTACACTAATTTAATCCAGAAGATTGCTACATCAATTTCCTTAGTGGGGCACATACCACCCATGGTACCACCCATATACCTACAGCTAATACCTCTCCGAATACAACCAAGTGTCAGGATTACTAATTGATCCAGCACGCAGAATTGTATCACACCTAGGACTAAGGATAACGTCTAACTGGACCTTAGGATTGCCGGACTTAACATATCCAAGAATAGTCAGAATACTTGCCGAGGTCAGGGATACAGAATCAGACACAACAATGAGAAAAAGCCAAAAGTCAAAGATACCAGAAATCAGGGAAGTCAGAACAAAGCCAAAGTCAAATACCAAAATATCAAGATCAGGAACGCACTCTCGGATTACCATCAGGCAGAAACCAAGTCAGGGCAATGAGAGAATGTAAAAATTAGTTTAAATAACCCTCCTGTTTATCCGATTGGCTTTAACCGGCCTTTGACCCCAAAACGTGCGCGTGTGATGTCACACGCATGCCGACGTCGTCATCAACGTGGGTGGCCATGGGGCAATAAAGTGACATAGATCCACAGCGGCCGGCGTCCCTAGACATGTTGGGTTTATCAGGTATCCGGGTGCACGGTTACAGATGGGCATAACTATTCCTGTCAGGACGGTAAGTACCATCATAAACATTTCTATGTGCAGATGAATCCATTACACCAAGCATTCTTCTAGCATTTCCTGCTGCTATATTACATTGTCTGCCGTACATATTGGAAAAAAAAAAACTACTTTGCTTTCCACCAGTGAGTACATCTCTTTTTATTACTTTTATTCATTTTAAACAGTGAGCACTATTTATTTTTATTTCTATTTTATCTCTGTACCATTCTGGCGAGAATTTGCTGCTATACTCCTGTGCATCAAAGAGTGAGAACTCCTGAGTACCCAAGGGCTTGGGCTGCTCCTATATATGGCTGTCACTGAGACCCATTAACAGGCTCAAAAAATTGTGAGTGTACATTTACATATTTAGAAGTCACTCCCTTTTGGTGTACCTAATTTACTACACTATATTATTGTTGTTTTCTGTTCTTGTTCTATACCATTTGGAGCCCTTCCACTGAATTATGTTATTGAGTAAATCCATAGGCTGGAATTGTACTGCCTGGGTGCACATATTTGGAGCTAGTTATCAGCTCTAAAAAATTGTAAGTGCAATTCTTTTCTTTATCTCACCAATACCACAAATATATTACACCATATTCCATATCATGTCCTCTTTTTTTTTAAATATCGTCCCATTCTAACCCGGGCTGAAGGACAACCCTAAGGCGCTGCTTCCCTCCCCTGTTCCTCTACACAGTACTCACGACTAAAAAGGAGAGACTCTAGTTTTGGTTGTCCAAGCTGCCTACCTAAACTTCAAAGAAGCGCTAGATTATTAAATATAATAAGATAACATATGGAGGCATTCAGAGGACAACAGATTAGGACAATGCAGGCATTAACCACACTATTTATCAGTATATGGATTTGTAATACTGACTGGAATTAAACCTTGCAGATGCATTGAACAATGGAAATACAACTAAAATATACAACTGTATCCAAAAAATAACGATATAATCATATCAGAATAGGCAGCTGTCTGCTTGCAATTTCGGGGCAACCAAATTTAAACAAATTCTAATTCAAATTGCTAATTCAATGAGAAGTTATCACTACAAAAAGATATCTTCAACACCAGTTTGATAGCTAACTGCAAGGTAGAAAATGTTAACTCCATAGAAGGACTCAATATATAATATTTATCATTAATTAGGTTAGTACACGTATATTATTAAATTATTTATATTGCTTATTAAGTCCATATGATCTTATTAATGTAATATTTTAATGATTTGCCTGTTGGCTGTTTAATCTGCCAGTGGACAAATATCGCAGATTTTTGTAGGGTCACCTACTTACTGTATGTTGTAAATTTGCCTGCCATCAGATTTGCTCACAGGGAATGTGTTTGAAATATGCTATATTATTAAAATACATACTAGATGGTATAACATGAGATGCTCTGAATGTCAACCAGATGGGCCTTTAGTAAATACAAAAATTGCACATTTGGCTTTAACCGGAAGCTGTCAATCCTGGCTACATTCAGACTTTAGTAAGTGACCTTTTTAGTTTCAGTCACTCAGTCCTTACAGAAGGCTTTGATTGCAGTTATTATCTATCGGCCTTTCTCTCTGATCATTGTTTATTTCTGAATAAAAAATAACTACCAATTGTTATATCCATCTTTCAGATCGCTTGTTGCACTTCATATTATTTTAACTGGGTTTTTCATTTCCTTTATGTACACTTCCAGCACACTCTAATATTTACCAAGATTTTCCAGAGCAGCAAAAAAGCTGAAATGACTGTCTACTGCAATGTCCAGTATCTTCTATTTATGTGTGAGTCTGAAGTTTCCACATGAGCAAACTTCAATGGGTTCTCTGACCCATGTTCATGTGTACATTATCTACATGCCATTAACAGTTTCTGGCACTACGTGCTGTAATGTTACCGCGTGTTCCAGAATCAAAGAAAGTGTGTAACTTTGTATTTCTAACCTTTGGTTATTTCTGTGTTCTACCTGGATATCGATTTAGCAAGCACGGCATATCTTCTGCAGACAATTAAATTAATGAAATACCTGATTTGTTTGTACTACATTTAAAGGGACACTATAGTCACCAAAACAACTTTAGCTTAATGAAGCAGTTCTAGTGGATAGATCATGCCTCTGGGCAGACTAGATGGGCCGAATGGTTCTTATCTGCCGTCACATTCTATGTTTCTATGTTTTGCTGCTCAATTCACTGCCATTTAAAAATGAAATTACTTTTGTTTCTGTTTATGCAGACCTAGACCACCTCCCCTGGCTGTGACTTACACAGCCTGCATGAAAAAAAAAACGGTTTCACTTTCAATTAGAAAGTAACTTGCTTTAAAAATGAGTGATTAGCTGATGCTCTCAATGAACTAGCCCTGCACAGAAGGTTTTAGCTCTACAAGAAGCTACTCACAGGATCTTCCAGCATTCACTGAAGGATGTGACTAGTGCCCAGTAGACCCGGGTAAACTGCCAAACCATTCGAAAATGGTAAAATGACTTACATGGGGGTTGACAGTGTTATGGTTATTGTGATTAAAGAGTTCCTCTGTGTTGCATCTTTTTTAATGGACAAAAAGTATGATAATGCTGAATTATCTTGGTAACTATACATGAAAGCATTCTTAATCAACAAAATCGTGCATTTAGTATGCAGATAATAGGCAGTAATCCCATTTTTGCTTTATGAGTAGTCTAAATTGTGTAATGACACTCTCCAATATACTGTAACATGAGTTTGTTTTCTAATACCCATCGGATTGTAAAATGGGGGTGAGGGGGAATAAAATTAATATTTTATTTTTTTTAAAGAGAAATGGATTACAACCTATTGTAAGGAAACGTGCAGCATAACCGTGAATAAGGGTGGTGGCATTTTACTTCTCCGGTGTAAATATGCTAAAGGTTGTTCAATAAATGAGTTACCAGATAGCTCAATAAATGAGTTTGTTTGCAGGGCTTTATATAGAAATACCTCTCCCACAGTGCCGATCGGTTTCTAAAGTAACCTGAAAGTGTGAAAAGGACACACACACCTCCAAGGTTGTTTGTACATTATATTTTCAACTATTACACAATATGTTCTTGAATAATCACACAATCGGGGAAACATTTATTTTTAAAACTACTGATTATTAAAAAGCTGCATTATTGAATTTGGGTTGGTTCAGCAATTTCCAGTAAAAGTCTCAGAAATGCAGAAAGTCTCAGATAGCAAGTACATTAGGTGACTGGGTGTCCATTTAAGAAGACAGTGGGAACATACCAGTAAGAAAGCTGTCATTTATTTTACTCATATATTTTATACTTTCTTTTATTGAGGCATGTGATTTATACGGTACAGCATATGATAAAGGTAGTATAACAAGAAAACACAGCATAAGATGGCATAGAGTTATACACCTACATAGATAAGCCTCTCTTTTTTGGTAGTAACAGATAAACGGGCTAAGTATACTTGTCAGCTTTTAAGTAAGAACATGCTTCGTAACCACGCTGATGAATATGTCAGTAGAGAATTGTTAGAAAAATCAGGTTATAGTAACTGACAAAGTGAATAGAGTGTTCATACACCTCCAGGGCCCCACAGAAGGTTGTTAGAGAGCAAGGCCCCTAATAGAGATCAGAACCACATATTATTAGAATTATTTAAGAAGTACAAGACTTAAAAATACTAAATCTTATTAGAAGTAGTAAACTTAAGAAAGGAGACCATAAATTTAGAAATCATCATTGGGCGATATTTGAGCAGCATCTGGGCATAGGATTTGGTGGTTGCCTTTAAAGGATCGTAGTGTGCCAAATAATAAGAAAGTGGCTGGAAGTGAAGACCTTTATCTGGAGAATTATTTTGGAGACGAAATTGTGTATGTTAATGCCATGGGATTCTGTACATGTACCATTAGAAAATATGCTCCAGGGATTTCTTCCTGCCATGAAAGGGAATTTCTAACTTCTAAAGAAAAAGGACATTTCTCACTTTCTAAAATCACTTTTAACTAAATACACTCATGTATATTTAGGAAGGATTTGAGGTATAATCGCACCCATTAGAAGGATTTAGAATTAACTCAGTTAGAATGAACTGTCACTGACATCACTACAACAATATTTACAGAAAATAAACAGCAGCAGAAAGGGACGGTGGATATTAAAATATATAAGTTATTCACTAAAATAGCAAATTCAATCTGAATGACAAAATGCCCAAAAATCTGAATAATGCTGATTTGGTTAATTATTTTTTTTTGTAAATATGATTTTTATTTTCATTTTTCAAATCGTGGCAGTCCTACTTCATTTGGACTCGCAGGTCCATACTTAGTGAGGGCATAGAGTAAATCAGCGACATTGTAAGGTTGGGTAGCAGTGCGGGCTCGCAGGCCCCATAGACAATGTGGACTCGCAGGTCCCTCTTGCGATGGTATTTTATACACTGTTTGGAACAAGCAGTTGAGGAACAGACAACTCATGATATACTCAGTTCATCAGTCTCCTAGCTTAAACTGCTAGTTGAAAACCTAAACTTGGACGTGATACCTCCCCGTCCCCATGCGTTCCATGATAATTGTCCGTCCTCTCCCCTACTTTACTATGGTCATGAACCGTCTGCCTACATGGCGGATGTCCACCATGTGTGGTCTCCAAGTCGCCCTAATCCATGCGGTACTAGGCGATCCCTGCCAAATCAAGGGTACCTTTTACTCGTGTGTTAAGGTGGTCGGGATGGGTATGTCGTGGTGGGGGGGTATCGGGATAGGGGTCTAGGTTCTGTCGGTGTCAGGTGTCCGCCTCTTGGTGTAGCGTTAGTCCAGTCTCTATTGTTGGGCCTGGGTCTCGCCCAGGAAGCCTGGTTGTGTCGACTTCAGTAGCCAGTGCGTCCATATATTGAGATAGGTTTGGTGTGTGTTATTCGCTGTGGCGTGGAGTTCTTCTAAGGACCTCAACTCCTCCATTTGGGTGAACCAAGTTTTCAGTGGCGGAGTGGTCTGCTGTTTCCAGTGTTGTGGTATGGTAGCTTTAGCTACGTTTAGTATGCGGATCGTCAGTGATTTCTTATATATGGTCCTAGGGACCTTAGTGAGGTGTAGAAGCATTTCTGCTGGGCCGAATGGGGGTGGGTCGTCTGAGAGTTGCCCTATAATTTTGTGTATGGCTTTCCAGAACGGTGCGATTTTGTTGCATTCCCACCAGATGTGTAGAAGCGTGCCCGTCCCCTCTCTGCATCTCCAGCACACTGGGGGGTATTCTGGGATATGTTCGTGTAGTGCCGCGGGGGTGCAGTACCAGTGTGTCAGTAGTTTGTATGCTGTTTCCTGCGTCTTGCTGAAGCTAGAGCAATGGTGCGTGAGATAGCAAATTTTTTCCCAGTCTGCCTTATTAATCGTACGACCCAGTGCTGCCTCCCAGATTTGGTTAATTATTTTAAATCAGCTATTTTAGCCTCAATTTTTCCAGCTATTAACAATGATGTACTAAAGGTTACACAAAACATACTTTTTACTACCTCGTTCCATTTCTGCTACCATTGCATCTGTCATTTGGCATCTACTCATTCATAATAAATAAAACTACTTAGCTAATAGCTACATTTTGTTGCCTTCATTTTCCCCTAAGGGCATATGTTCTTTTCTCTTCTGCAAATAATGATGCGTCCTTCAAACTGACACTTACTATACAGTTTTAGTATTACAGGATACATAATGAATGCTTCATATGATTATTCAGAACCTAGCATGTTATCACATAAGGCGTGCTACACTACCAGACAGAATGCACACCTCTAACAAACCCGTTTCTGCGTCTTTATGTGAAGGTTCTTTTTATTTGTCTATTTGCTTCTACTCATAGCATATCAAGCAGCAATATTGTCAGATATTTTCAACATCTCTGTAGCATGCAGCTTCATGTTTCAGAGCTATAAATCGTTTGTCTTACATTACTAATTAGGGCTAAATATGATTCCCTGTTCTTATCACCACCATAAATGAGCACACACACATTCTTATTTATGAATGCTAACGTATTTTTTGTGGAGTGTCAGTACCGGTAAATGTACAACTGTAATTACTTTTAACATATAGTATTAGTGGGTTGGCTAATTTCAGCCTCAATTTAATATTTTTGGATATGCTTATTAAATTATAGCAATCTAAAAATTCTTCTCTAGATAAATAATCTAAAAAGTGGTTTCTAATAGATTGTAATAATTTGAAAAGATTATACAAAAATATTAAACGAAGGCCATAGTGTTTACGGGGTAATGAAATTTGCAGTCAAGGAGGGTTTGATATAGTTTTATTATACTGAACATGGGCAGTGTGAAGTGCAGGATAATGGGAGTAATAGGGTAGTAGTCAGTGACGGGAAGTGGAAGTGGAGGAATGGGCACTGAAAGTGGGAATAAAGGAAAAGTAAATGATGACAGGATAATGGGGGTCAAGAAGCTATGGATATAGGAAAGGGAGGAAGTGGCAGGATGAGAGCAGGTAAGGAGCAGTGGGCAGTGGCAGCATAGTGGGGGTTGAGGAGTAGGCAGTGGCAAGAGAATGAGAGAATAGAAGCAGGACATGGCAAGACAGCTGTGGGTTGAGGAGATTGCAGTGACAGGATGGTAGGAGTTGGCATTCTATTGCTGCTAACTGCATAAAATAATTACATTACAGAATTTTTATGGATTAATAGAACTGAAAGAATATTATAAAATAATTGGTAGAATAGAAAGTATTTAAAATACTCCCATACTTTTTCCTCAATTAAGGAATTTTGTTTAATTCACAAAATCATGACATTTACAAAGGGCAATTTTTTAAAATAAGTTTTGGTGTATCATAACAGAGCATGATTGGAGAAAATTATATTTATTTTCTTCACATTGCTAAAACAGGAATAACAACTCAATATGTATATTTTATGGTAAGCTGTGCATATTATATGTATTTAGTCAGAGAATCTTCAATGTTTTTTTTCCCATAAGCCAGATTGCTTGAAAATTCAGCAGCTATTCTAACAGACCAGACTTAATTGAAAAGGAGGGACACTATAGTCACAGCAGCTTATTGTATTGGTGAGTAGAATAATTTCCTTTAGGCTTTTTGCAGTAAACACTGTCCTTTCAGAGAAAATGCAGTGTTTACATTACAGCCTAGGGATACCTCCATTGGCCACTCCTCAGATGGCTTATAGACGGCTCCTATGGGAAACTATTGTGATTGGCTTTCAATGTCACTTCTGATGATGTCAGCCAAGCAGACAGCTGATGGGCAGAGTCAGCAGGAGACTGGAATAAAGACAGATTTTACTATATTTAGGGGGGCATGGGGAGGCCAGGAAGGCTAGATGGTGTTATTAACATTATAGGGTCAGGAATACATATTTTGTGTTCTTGACTGTGGCAAAGATGCTTCTGCCACGGGCTCCTGGAGGAGCCTGCTGGCTAGCCTCCTGCCCAAGGACTATGGGCCATGTAACAGACTTTTAAGTGACTTGCTTCGTGTGGTTTCCCTTTTTAGTTCGGGAAACCGAACAACCACACGAATTGCAGATCACCTCTGGGCTCGTTAACACATATTGACCTCTCCTGACACCTCAACATTCTAAGTGTTCGGTTGGGTGGCCGCCCTTCGTATGCACGAACACAAGGGAACTGAGTTGGTGGCCATCTTGTTCGCACAAACGCAGCCAACGGTGTTTGGTCGTTGCGAACGCCACTGAACTTTAACGAACGTCTGCTTCTTTTGTATACATATCAGGAGAGTGCCATTCGGTAGGATTGTTTGCATGAAGTAGGCAAACAATCGCTACCTAGGAGCCAGAGGATGAGTTTGGTATTTCATTCAGTTTTGGACACCCGAAAGTGACTGACCACTGCCACTTTTCTTATGGAACTATTTTGGGCAGAAGCCACGCATTCGGTTGGTCAAAAGTTTACTTCCATGGGAAATCCAAACCACCGAACCGATTTTGCTTTTTAGATATGTTAGGCACTCAGATCAGGACTATCCGAGATGTGAGTCTTGAGGGGTTTCCATGGATTTTGGGGGTACTTTTGGGGTGTTGTAAAATTGTTGTATTTTTCTGTACCTGGAGATAATTAAGTTTGTACAGTTCATGACTCAATTATCTCTCAGGCATAGGGGAGGAGTTTACTGTGTGTTTAAACTGTGAGTGCTTGCCTGCAATTAAACAGATCTACTCCCAGCATTCAGTCTAGACATGTGTTTGGGTGGAAAGGCGATACCAGCGATAATCCATGTAGGAGAGCTTTGACCACTGGGAGCTGGATCCAGGATCCTGGTCCAAGGTGGGAAGCAACAGTGTGACCCCAGCCTAGCTGCGGCAGCTAGGGGCTGAAGTGCTGATGGTGTCCCAGTGATAACTAGAAAGTGTGTTTGGCGGAGGTACCCAGTCGGGGTACCAAGCAGTCTGCCACAATGACCCTATAGTGTTCCTTTACCATTGGCAAAGTGGCTGTAGAGTAATGTGAAAAGTGTTATTTGTGAACTCTTTTGAAGTGAAATGCAACGATATGGACCACCTTTAAAACACTAATGGACAAGTCTAATGATACATATAATGTATAGGAAATACATTCAATAAATTAGAACAAAGTGAAACCAATTGTAATTTAACAGACAGTTAAGTGAGCCTATAAAAGAAGATATAACATTGAGTTGTGTTGAGTTGGCAACTAACTTGGACAATTTTAAAACAGCCAAGTTTGAATATAAATGTAACGGTACCCCCAGGTATACGAAAAGTTAAGGCTGTTTAGGATGTTTCCTTTCTGAATGCCAAGGCAGCTAACGAACACTCCAATCAGCCGAACAGTATCCATAAGAATAGTCCACAGCATACGAATACTCCAAACCATACGAATACTCCAAACAGCCGAATAGGAAAAACCATACGAATAAATCCCCTCCAAGTACGAGACAAGGCTCCGTACTGAGGGTCAAGCAGTGAACTGATTTAATGGGGCTACCTGCCCGGTATTTATGCAGGTCTTCCACCAGGTGGACACTCCCCTAGGGGACCTGGTGGAAAACTGTGACAAAAACAGTACAGTAGCCAATCACAGTGTTACAGACATAATCACTCCCTTTAGCTGTAAGGGACCCTCCTCTCTATCTTGGAGATAATTGGGAAGTAACTTAATTATCTCGGAGGATAGAGGCAAAACTCCATTTTATACATGGCAATAAAAACACATAAAAATATACAATATGAAAACTACTGAATGCACTAGGTACAATTAACGTATCCCCAGATAGCTTAGATCTGAGCTCATATTATTACTGAATGGCGCTCAGATCACATACAGTTCAATCGCCATGGAGCTAAAGTCTTTCACATAGTCTTTCGTTATACGAATGGGCTCCATGAGATGGCTATCTGGGGTAAGTCCAGGGACGTATTAGCCGTGAGGCAAACAAGGCATTTGCCTTGGGCGGCATTTTCCAGGGGGCGGCAAAAAACACCGCCCCCCAAATGCCCAGGGCAAATGCCTTGTTAGCCTTGCGGCTAACTGACATCCCGGTCGGGCGGGCGGCTGGCGAGGGAGCACTTCCTCTGAGCTGACTGCTCAGCTCCCTCGCGCGCCGCAGAGTGAGGCTGGGAGCCGGAAGATGACGTCATATTCCGGCTCCCAGCCTCACTCTGCAGCCGGCGCGCGAGGGAGCTGAGCAGAGAGCTCATGGGAAGTGCTCCCTCGCCGGCCGCCCGCCTGACCTGCAGCCACTGGACCACCAGGGAGAGAGACCCCCCCCCCCAGCACTCCCAAAGGTAAGGAGGTTGGGGGGGATTTAAATTAAAAAAAAGTTAATGTGTGTGTGTGTTTGTGTCTGACTGTGTGTGTTTGTGAGTGTGTGTGTGTGTTTGTGTCTGTGTTTGTGTCTGTGTATGTGTCTGACTGTGTGTGTGTGTGTGTTTGTGTCTGACTGTGTGTGTGTCTGACTGTGTGTGTGTGTGTCTGTCTGTGTGTGTTTGTGTCTGACTATGTGTGTTTGTGTCTGACTGTGTGTGTGTGACTGTGTGTGTGTTTGTGTCTGTGTCTGTGTTTGTGTCTGTGTGTATGTGTCTGACTGTGTGTGTGTTTGTGTCTGACTGTGTGTGTGTGTCTGACTGTGTGTTTGTGTCTGACTGTGTGTTTGTGTCTGACTGTGTTTGTGAGTGTGTGTCTGACTGTGTGTTTGTGTCTGACTGTGTGTGTGTGTGTGTGTTTGTGTCTGACTGTGTTTGTGTCTGTGTATGTGTCTGACTGTGTGTGTGTGTTTGTGTCTGACTGTGTTTGTGTCTGTGTATGTGTCTGACTGTGTGTGTATGTGTCTGACTGTGTGTGTGTGTTTGTGTCTGACTGTGTGTGTGTATTTAGAAGGTGGGGCGCGGGGAAGGGTTGGGTGGGGGTGGCGTGGGGGGAGAGGGGCGCCTGAGTTTTGTCCTGCCTAGGGCAGCACAAAACCAGGATACACCACTGGGTAAGTCCATTCGTGAAGAAAAGTACCAAACAGGCCGGCGTTCGTATGATAGAGAAATAGAAGAAGAGAGGTCGGCGGCTTCAGCGGAGTTCATGCAAAATACTGTCCGTTTTAAGTTTCATGAAATCGTTGACGAACACCACTGGGCATTCATATACAAACGATGACCACGCAGCCTACATTCGACAATTAAGAGGTGTCTGCGGTTAACCACAACGTTCTAATGAGGCCAAGAGGTTAACTAGCAGCACACTTCCCTGCTGGGTGGCCGGCCGTTCGGCAGTTCATTAGGTAAAACAAGGAATAAATGTAAGGGCTGTACGGACAAGGAAATAGCCGAACAAACAGACGAACCAAGGAGAAATAAAGTAGTTTAAAGACAGAGGTCTGTCACAATAATTTACTGTCAAGTGGATTTTGACAACTTGTTTGCCATCTCACCTTCAGTCACTGATAGGTGCCATGTTTCAATGTAATTTAGTATATAGCTAGGCAAATCTAAGGTGCAAAAAAGTTTGCTCACTGTGATTTTAATCTGGGGCCTAACATTGTCAGTCTAGGGATGCAGGAACATCGCAACTTCACATGTATTAGTTCTAGTATTCACATGAATACAGGAATTTGTTATATTATACATATAATTTATCTTTCATGTATCATGTTCAGCTTTCCTTATAGGTAAACATAATAGTTTAAAGCATAGATTTCAAACTCGCGGTCCTGGGGCCGCATGCGGCCTACAACCAATATGTTTGCGGGCCGCGAGGGAGCGCTGAGTGTTAGCTCTCCCTGCTCAGCTTCCCGCAGTGATGCCGGGAGCCTGAATATGACGTCACTCCGGCTCCTGGCATTACTCTATGGTGTGCGAGGGAGCTGAGCAGGGTTAGCTCAAAATCAATGCTCCCTTGCTGCCTGTCAGCCCCCCTGCCTGAATGTACACCTGGCCAGCAGCCCCACTAGACACCAGGTAAGAAATCCACCCAGCTCTCCCAAAGGTAGGGAGGCTGGGTGGGTTTAAATTAAAATATTAAAATTAAAAAAAAGTGTTGGGGGGAAATGTGTGTTTGTGTGTATGGGTTTATGGCTATCTGTATGTGTGTGTGTGTGTGCGTATGACTGTCTGTGTGTGTGTGTGTGTATGGCTGTCTGTGTGTGTGTGTGTGTATGGTTGTCTGTCTGTGTGTGTGTATGGCTGCCTGTGTGTGTGCATGGCTGTCTGCGTGTGTGTTATATGGCTATCTGTGTTTATGTCTGTCTGTGTGCATGCATGGCTTTCTGTGTGTGTGTGTGTGTGTGTGTGTGTGTGTGTGTGTTATATGGCTGTCTGTGTGTATGGCTGTCTGTGTCTGTGTGCATGGCTGCCTGTGTGTGTGCATGGTTGTCTGTCTGTGTGTGCATGGCTGGCTGTGTGTGCATGGCTGTCTGTGTGTGTGTGTATATGGCTGTCGGTGTGTATGGCTGTGTGTGTGTGTGTGTGTATATGGCTGTCTGTGTGCATGGCTGTGTGTGTGGCTGTCTCTGTGTGTGTGTGTGTATGGCTGTCTGTGTGTGTGTATGGCTGTCTGTGTGTGTGTTTGGGTGCCTCTGTGTATAGCTGGCTCTGTGTGTGGCTGTCTCTGTGTGTTCGTATATGGCTGTTTGTGTGTATGGGTGTGTGTGTATATATATATGGCTATCTGTGTGTGTGTGTGTGTGGCTATATGTGTGTGTGTCTCTCTGTCAGTGTATGTGTGTCTGTCAGTGAGTCTGTGTGTGTGTGTGTGTGTGTGTGTGTGTGTGTATGTGAGGGAGCCTGTTTGTCAGTTAGTGTGTGTCTGTCAGTGAATGTGTGTCACGCCTTTGCTGACAGACACACACTAACTGACAAACAGTGAGTGCATGTGTGTGTTGGAGTGAATCTTTGTGTATGTCAGTGTGTGTGTATGTCTGTGAGTGAGAGTGTCTCAGTGAGTGTGAGTGAGAACAGGGGCAGGGGTTTAGTAGACTGGGGGGACTGGGATTTAGTAAACAAGGGGGGGACTAAGTTTTAGTAGATGAGGGGGGACTAAGTTTTGGTAGACGAGGGGGGACTGGGATTTAGTAGATGAGGTGGGGGATGGGGTTTAGTAGAGGGTGTTGCTGTTTTTTTTTTAATACTGTACTTTTCAAAATAAACCTACGTTTCTATCAAAATTTAAATTTTTGTTTTTTTGTGGCCCCATAAACTTAAACCTTGTTTATTTGGCCCTTGCTAGCCTTTGAGTTGGACATGCTTGGCTTAAAGGATTATATTAACTCCACAACAAAAGACTGAATTAGTGTAAAGGAATGTGTCAAACCACAAATACTAGCAGAAATAATAGAAAAGAAAGGAATTAGAAAAGAGTCTTACTTGAGTAGTGAATTCAGTAGAGGCTCCAAATTCAAAGAGGAATCGGACTATGTCATTGTGACCTTGCTGAGCAGCAAAAAACAGGGCAGTAGATCCAGACTGTAATACAAACATGGTAAATTAAATTAGCAAATGCCTAAAATACGTTATAATTATTGGTAGAGTCACAATTATCTTGATGCTAAGTGAGATCTATAGAGATTCACTACAGCACAGCTGTAAATATGATAAATCCACAGTCTTTGATATAATACCATCCATTGGCAAATGATTTATTAGAGAAGGTGATTCCCAATGTACTATAACAACATACAAGCTAAAGGGTTACAATGGTGAATCAAATGTGGGTGTCTTATTAAAGCAAACTCTATAACACAGTTACGTCATCTTTGTTTATTTATTTGTAAAGACATTCTAAACCTCTTTTTACACATGCTCACAGCATTCTGTTCCTGCTCCATGTATTGCTGGATCTAATTTTCTTGCTATACCTTCCACTGCTACTTCTAGGGCTCTTACACCTAACAGGGATCCCCTTATTCATACACTTGAATTACGTATTTGATAATGCACCCCAAATCTGTGTTCATTTGACCATTACAGCTAAATGAAACATTAACATATTGTCAACAAGGAAAGAAATTGATATAACATGCTATGGGATACACAATATACAGATAGGTACTATTATGTTCCAAACTCAACAGACTCTACAGAGTTTTTCTAAAGGGGGTTATTTATAAAATAGGCAATTGTAGTGAGTTGAAAACTAACTTACAAAATATAGGCAAAAAGTGGTAATTGAAAAAAATTCTCCAAATCTGTTAGAGTCAAAGATTAGCTATTGAAGCCAAAGCTTTGGTAGACTTTGGTATTTTCTGAATAAATACCTAGGCCTTATATGAAGCTCAGTCCTTGTATATTATTTTTATAATTAACCTTGATTCTTTATAGAAGTGTTTCTATTGAATTCTGTAGAAGTGTTGCTAGTGTGTAAAGTAGCAAACGGTTTACAAAAGGTTGCATACTAATAATTGTTTTTATCTTTTAGTTCCACATATTTTAGAAGTCCTCTTGGCGTTGTAATCATATCTTACCCTTTGGGGCGCTGTCGTTAAAGGAACACTCCACTGAGATTGTTATTACTTTTTTACTCTTTAGTATATATACAACCACATATAGTTCTGGGGAGCTAACAAACGTGCGGAAGAAAAGACAGCAAGAGATGCGTTTCTGCACCCAGTTATAAAAGTGACGATTTCTATTGAAATTGGCAGTTTATAAAAACATTTAAAAAATGACAGATTACAGACACATACAGTACTTCAGCAAGCCAAAGTGAATTGTGTGTCTGGGGTGTAAATATTCCAATCCCCATTCTCAATACAGAGCATTAATATACATAACCACACATATTGTATTTATAAAAAGACGAGTGTTTTATGTATTCTTGTCTACAGAGGATTGGATGCCCCTGATGAAGTTCATTTTAAGAACGAAACGCATAGGGCTTGTTTCTTATTTGCTGAGTATTTGTTTTTTTATAGTTTTTAAGTGTATTTTTATTTTTATTTGGTTTTTCTGCTCTTCTGATCCTGAGACTGGGTTGCAGCTTCAGCTGAGTTTGATGTGCCTCTTTGATACATCTTTCTTGTAAGTGTATCTTGTAATAAATCTTGTTAATTTTACTTAAGATACTCTGCACTATTATTTTTTATTCTTCCTCCTATGTATGGGATTGACGTTCCACAAATCGAGAAGTATATACATCGTTATTTATGATATGCCTGCAATCAAATTGGGTCTGTGAGTGCAATTATATATTCCTATAAATTCCCAAATAACGTAGTGTTACTATTCTATGTCCGTTTCTATTATTTTTGTGTTGTAGATTGCCTTCTGGTAGTATATCAATATTGTTTTAAGGACATAAGAGGAGTCCTTTCATCTACTTCACTATTGACTAAGGGTAATTTTTGTATGTTTGTATTTATTACCCACTAAGTGTGTCGTCTGCCTGCACACAGGTGTTTTTGTATCTATATTATATATTGTATAACCACACATATACACATTTCAATGACTGTTGTCTCACCTCTTCCAATTATTTGAGCTATGACCAAACCTAGTTTATATCTTCTACTGACAGAGAAAGAGTGGATGGAGTGGGGTCATGTACAAGTGTTAATAGACCATTGGTGTTTCAGGATCTGCATATTTTATTGACTTACCTCCCGCTGGAGATTGATATCTGCCCCCTGTAATACCAGCTCCCGCACACAGTCCATGTGTCCAGCATATGAAGCCACCATTAGAGCTGAAGCTCCAGTCTAATGGAAAATGCAAAATGAATTGTAAAAGTCACAATAATGATTGATCTGACTATACAGCCAACATAATTGTACTAACATGAAGGATAATAAGAGAACAGAAAAATATTACTTGCAAGAAAAAAACAACATATTACAGCCCTGTTTTATCTTAACAATAAACATGCTCAAATTCTTCTATTTTGTGTTAGTTTTAAGTATTATGAACTTTACTGACAGTTCACTATTTCATTAATAAATTACTAGTGCTACGTGCGTACAAAAAATTGTTGTTTTTAACACTTGGTTTAACTTTATTAGTAGCTGTAGCCAAAGATATTTTATAATATTAATAAGGGGACTTTTTAAACAGCATAACTTCTACTGGTTATTTGTAGTGGTTATGGTGCAAGGAGTTTGATCATAATAAGTATGTTGAATATTTGTCACTGTATTAATGACAGTTCCTTAATTAAAGGAACACTCCAATATTCTCCTGAAATTGGTTCTTTTATTAACTTGAACAAGAGGGGCACGCAGCAAGCTGAAGAGTTTTAGACTTTTGAAGTGTTCCTTTAACAAAATACAAAAAAACAAAACACAGATTAGAATTGATCATGGCTCAGTCACTGTTTATAGGAGAGTGAGTGTTTTACATGTATAAATGTTTTAGTTTTTTTTGTTGATAGAAAACTTTATTTTATAAATGACTTGCTTCTTCATAATATAACAATCTAAAAAAGAGTGCTGCTACTAATGAGCTAATGGACTACATCCACCATGTTTTCCTGGACAAATAGAACTATAACCCTGCGGCATTTTTTAAATGAAGGGGTGAACAAATAGCAGTATCAATTTCTGCATAACAGTCAGAGGCCCTGCTTGGTGGCACAAAGACCAGGGGTGTCAGCCCAAGGGTAAACTTTATGGCCCCTCTAATGTACACTAACTTAAGCCCCTCCTAAAACTAGCCTTATACATTGTTCTGGGTTCAAACTTTCACCCAAATGTGTTCTGTAATTCACATTGTGACACAATTACAAGTATTAAATGGACTTACATTTATAAACTCCACCATTGCTGTATTTTTCCCAAGCTGTGCAGTATTAAATCGAAGAACACGATTCAAACACTGCACTCAAGAGACAAACAGACCACTTAATACGAAGTGTTCCTTGCTGCGTTGGTTTATTGAACAAAATATATTATATGGCAAAACCCTACCAAAAAAATGCAGCAAAGACAAAACACATACATAGAAGGTCATTGGATCGCATTCAGTGTTTCTCTGCGTTTTTATTTTTTGTCCCTCCCCCCCCCTTTACTTGATGCAATGGCCTTTTGTGCATTTTGGGAATTAGGGCCCCAAATTCTGTGGGCCCATGCAAAAATAAGTGTTTTTTTATATCGACACATTACTAATGCATATCCCCAATATACCACTTTACCTTTTTTGAACTTGGGCAGCAGCTTACCCATATTCTGTGCTGTATTAACCCTTCATTCCCGCAGCATGACCGCGGCACTGTACTGTATGATTAACTTCAGAATTGCGAATTAAAGTGTTACAAATGACATGTTAAAGGGGACCAGGGGCTAAGAATGAAATGGTTCCAAAATTAGACCTGGGGCTTCATATGGCCCCACAAAGGGCTCCTGTCAACCCGCCCCCGATAACAATAGTGATAAGCAGGAGAATATTGTGAGGCAAGCAATGTTAATCTGTGTATGGCTCATAGGTGGTTAGGTTGATTGCACTGCCCCTTTAATAAACTTTTGGTTAGAAAGTCGGACCAGTAGTACTCATAAAAACACACATAAAATGATAACAAGAAAAACGTGAGTTTGGATGGGTTGGGAGACGTTTCCATGGCAGGAAAAAAATTGTGTGACTCACAATACATTTCCCATGCCAGAATTCTCTCTCCATTTTCTTTCCAAAAGGTGTTTCTTAAATCATGCCCAGTTATGCTCCAATACTTAAAATTCCTCATCTTGAAACGAGCGTGGAACATTTAGAGGCTGACATGCAAGCTCAGTATGATAAAAGAATGATCTATAGAGCCAGAAAAGTATACGGCATAATTTACTCCATTCTACTCAAGCAAAAATTGGAAATCGTTCAGACCTGTTTTTTTTAATGAAACTGCCAGGGTTCAAAAATGTTATGACTTTATAGAAATACTAAGCTTCTCCATGTCTATCATTAGCACAATTTTAAAAAAATCTCACATTATGAAGAATTTATTCTGCAGGAGAGGTGCCCTACCCAGAGTAGACAGATCCACCATCTTTAATATATACATTTGTCATAGTCATGGCCATCAAATAAAAACCATGTAAAGTGTACTCAATCAATCAAAGGGGGAATTCCAAATGAACTCTATTGGTTTAGCTAATGTATCACCTGCAACATATTAATATGATACTACAAATGCAGAAGGACACGTTTATATACTTCCAATCAGCATATACAAGTTATGTGTGCAGGAAAATGTGGTGTATATGGCAAATGTAGCCCTACTAGTATGCTGCCAGTACAGGGATTACCATTAGTTGAGCAGATGCAAGGAGCAGTGGCCAAGAGACCGTAACAAGTTCCTAATGTATTACACTAGATGTAGAGGCCAGAATTAGGAAAAACCCATACAAAAATGAACTTTATTATAAAAGAGTACTATAATCACCGACCTGTCTTTAGTCAAAGCTTTAATTCGTGACAGAGGTGCGCATGTAATACAAATGTGGCATCAATGTGCAAAAACATTTGAAGCCCTCCATTCTACTGCTGGATCATTACCTTTTGGCCGGAGACCTCCCTTTATGTACCTAGGGTATGGATCAAGCATATTAAAGCTTATGAATTTGCTTATTTGTAACTATGTTTGTGTGTTTTGTTAGCTTCACACATTGAATGTTCTAATCAGTGTATTTATTCATTCCTCACTGCCCAGGAAAATAGCAGGAGTTAAAATGAATTTCTTGTCTTGGTCCAAGATGATAGGCGTGTATAAGACCTCCATGCTTACCTTAAACTCAGATGACACTACCATGTAGTGCATTATCTGCTTTTTGTGAACAATACTACATTCACATGTTCACTGTTTCAATTATTTTAAATTATATACACATTCCTTAAGATACTTTGATCTAAATTGTTCAGCCTGGACTCAGCTCGTGGGCCAATTATCTCACTGGTACTAGAAACATACATCCCAGTAACACAGATTGGATGGTGGTAAGTTGTTTCAGAGCTATATTCTGTAAATCTGTGACATTTATTGTGAATTCTGCCCACTGGGATTTCTGGATCCTAGACCTTCGCTGGCTGCCTTGTCTGACCGGAATGTCTTTGACTTCCATTTTGTATTTTACCTTTTATACCTTGTGATTGAGCCAGTGTGCATTTATTTCCAGATTTTTCTCAAATTCTTTTTGTGTTCTGACTGTCAGACATGGCTTTAATGTACTTATGGAGGTATGGAGGATTCATACGCTAAGGCATAAAATTAATTAATTAATCACAGTGTTTCCAAATTTAGACATTATTCTTTGATTCATTTTCTGGCATTTGTTTTATCACTACTTTGGAGCCTAACTTATATTTGCACACTATATTTGGATATTTTTAGGAAATATTTATATTTGGCATTCATATATGATCCATGAAATCACAATGAATGAATATTTTAATACTGTTAAATTCATATGCCTCTAATTAGATATCCATATTGATTTGTTGATATCGATTGATGTGTTGTTTGGATTCTTTCAATATAAAATTAAAGAAGTAGAATTTTACTGGGTAGGGTCTCTCTATTTTGTATGATATGTCCGCCATAGCTATGGCAATCAAAAGGATGAGGTACAAATGAATGCTTGATAAATCTGTTGGGGGCATGATGGTGTCGTTTTTTTAAGATCATATGCTTTACTGTTTAAAATGAAAGAAAAGAAAACACTCTGCTGGACCCAAACCCCTTAGTAATAATATTTTATTTTTGCTTGTACAGCAAAACATGGTTTGATGTAGGCTCACAAAGAAATGCTGGATTTCCGTAGTGTTTTATGAAGGCTGTCTCCCTTTTTTTTTAAATTTCCAATTCCAATGAGGTTTGATTCCTCTTTACATACAAAACTTTACTAATTTTAGTAACTGGGTGTCTCTCTAATGCAGTGAAAAAGAAATAAACAAACAAAAAAAAATTAAAATAAATAAATAACAAAAGAGATCAGATTTGCAAGCCTCTGCATGGTTCTGCTAAAACAGAGAGACAGAAGGAATTCTTGGCATGCACAAACCAAGGGCATACACTGTCTTTGCAGTCCACATCGACTCGTCCGCTGTTCAGCAGCAGTTGAAGCAGTGCCAGGTTTCCTTTCCGCGCAGCCCAAAAAGCAGCATTGGCAAGAGGCGTTTCCTTCTGCGCATAAATAAATGGTATTAGTTTCATGGTATCTAGACTTACAGAGTGAAAAAAACATTTTGTAATACAGATCTGCAAAAACAACCCAGAAAACATTCTGGCACACACTGGGCAGCATTTGGGTTTAGTCCACTTATAACATTACCTTAATAGTAAAATATTCATGAACATAAATCAAAGCATCACATACTTACTGGAAAGTGAATCAAGATTCCATTTTTTTTAAAAATTAGTATTTAGTAGTTGTATTAGTGTTTTTTCACATGAGACGTAAAAAGTAATTGCTACTTTTCTTTGTCATGTATGTAAAAGTACTATTTTTTTATTTACGTGTGCTGGCTTTCTTTGAAAAGCACCTGAGCAGTTACCGAAGTGCTGTGTTTTTGTATATGTGTGTTTTTGTTTAATATATATATATATATAGTATGGATAGGTCAGGATGCTGTAATTTACTATAATCTAAAAATGTATCTTATTTCACAAGTGTGATAAATACCTGTTAGAAAGTAAATATATTGATACAGAGTAAAACAACTATTTGAAAACTGAGAAACACTATGTAACAGTAGAATCACACATCCAGTTTTGTCATGTACTGGAAGCGGTTAATATATTTTGTAAACCCTTACTTCATTGCAGACTAAGAAGGAAACATTCACAGCAAGCCTTTACCAAATCCTGCCAACATACTAGCGGACAAGTGGAAACGGGGTGCAGCCTGATCTCCTCCCAGTTGTCACCTGTGGAGACTGCTCCCTTAGTAGCCCATCAAACGACAAATACTAGTGGTTATTCATTATACATTTTTCTGCTTTGATTATTTAAAAAGAAAAAGCACTAGTATCCGGTCACCTAGAGAGATCGAGGTCTAAAGAGCCAAATATCTGAAGTTTTAGCCCTCTAATGTCAGTCCCCGAAGACACACCATTATGACACCTATTCTGCTTATTCGCTTTTTCTGTAAAAACTGTTTGCATTTGACTTAAAGGAGCACTATAGTGTAAGGAAATGTTTACTAGGTGTAAAAGTCCATGTTAGGTGGCCAGCACCCCCTTACTCTCATTTAAAAAAGTAAAAAAACTCACCTTTATTCCAGTAACACGCGTGTTAACCTCGCTTTGTCTCCTTGGCTAAGATCATTAAATTTGACAACCTTAGCCAACCCAATGCTTTCTCATAGGAAAGCATTGGGAGGCTATTGCACAAGCGCGGAAAAACGCCAATCAGCATCTCCTCCTAGAGATGCATTGAATCAATGCATCTTTAAGAGGAATGTTCAGCGCCTCCACGCAGAGTACATTGTGCAGCACTGTCCAAGGAAGAATTTCTAGAGACTGTCTGATTGACAGCTACTAAAAATGTTGCTAGGCAGCAATATAAACACTGCCTTTTCTCTAAAAAGGCAGTGTTTACATAAAAAAGCTGCAGGAAGTGATGCTATCCACCAGAACAAATACATTAAGTGGTAGTTGTTCTATGACTATAGTGTCCCTTTAATTTTTTTATAGTATACATACACATATGGACCCATTTGTTTCATATTCTGATCTTTGCAGAATAAATACAACTTAATCCGTTCCTACCTTTCCTTTGTCTTAAGAATTCTTGCTAAATTTAATGACGTTCAAGTATATAGATAGATTGTAAGCTTGATTGAATCAGACCTTCTTCACCTCTTGTCTCTGTTAAAGGGACACTATAGGCCAGGCCTGTACAACCTATGGCCCCCCAGATGTTTCGAACTACAACACCCATGATTCTTTGAGTGAAACAGATAACAAGAGAATCATGGGAGTTGTAGTTTAAAACATCTGGGGGGTTGCCTGTTGTGCAGGCCTGCTATAGGTACACAGATCACTTTATCTCATTGAAGTATTCTGGGTCTGTTGTCCCTGTCCCGTTAACCCTGAAAGTGAAATCATTGCAATTCTAGAGAAGCTGCAATGTTTTTATTGCAGTGTTAAGACTGCCGCTAGTGGCTGTCTACCAGACAGCTAATAAAGGCTCTTCCTGCTGTTTCACAGAGTTTAACTTCGTGAAATTACGCTGGACGTCTTCAAGCTTTGCATGAGGAAGTACAGCATCTTCTAAATCCCCATAAGAAAGCATTGATTCAATGCTTTCCTATGAGGAAGGCCTTATGTGCGCATGGCATTCGCTGCGCATGTACATTAGGTTCTCCCTTGCGTTGACACCGGAGGAGGCAGAGATGGAGGCAGCGCTGAGGGACCTTGGTGCTGGAATCAGGTGAGTGTTTAAATCGGTTCTAATTATTATTATGTTATTTATATATAGCACCATCAAATTCCGCAGCGCTTTACAATGGGTGGACGAACAGACATGTAGTTGTAACCAGACAAGTTGGACACACAGGAACAGAGGGGTTGAGGGCCCTGCTCAATGAGCTTACATGCTAGATGGAGTGGGGTAAAATGACACAAAAAGGTAAGGTTAGTATTAGACTAATAACAGTTGCAGAAGAGGAATCAGTCGGGAGCTATTAACAGTTTAATTGATACGCTTTTATTAAGAAGTGGGTTTTTAACGATTTTTTGATGGAGTGGAGACTGGGTGAGCGTCTAATGGAGGAGGGAAGCGAGTTCCACAGGAACGGTGCAGCCCTCAAGAAATCTTGAAGGTGAGCATCAGAGGTGTGAGTACGGACAGAAGATAGATGTAAGTCTTCAGCAGATCGTAAGGGCCTAGACGGGACATATTTGTGTATAAGGGAGGATAGATAGGTGGGAGCAGCATTATGTAGAGATTTGAAAGCAAGAACTCTTTGAGTGCTGCAGGGGGAGGGGGGTAGTGGGAGAAGGGTACAGGGTCACTGGACACTAAAGTGTTAGGAATACAGCTTTGTATTCCTAACACTATAGTGTTCCTTTAATTATATTTTGTGTGTCAACTAGTTGGCAGTTACCCTCATTCTATGACTGTAGAGTCCTGTGGTATATGTTGGCGTTATATAAGTAAAAATACAAATAGAGATTAATTATTATAAGACTTTCCTTTGGAGTTTAATCTCTTTTTTGAAGTAAACCTAAGGTCACTCCTATGCAAAGCCCTGGTGGTGGCAGCATTAGCTAGGATATAATTTGCGGCATTGGAGAAATCAGAAACTTAGTCATCTTTGGGTCTTTGGAATAATTCACTTCCTGGGATTTCTGATATTATGTTTGCTTATCCTTACGTTTAACAAATATGTTTTTGTGAATGAGGAAAAATATTAAATATAGAAATCAAAATCTCTTTATCATGAAATTGGGCGCCTTATTCTGAGCTCTCTGTCAATCATTGTTATACGAGCTGTACTTTGCATCTATTAGTCATCATATAGAAACTGCAGTTTAAGACTGCCTCTAGTCTACCAGACAGCCAAAAGCGGCGCTTCCTGCAGTTTCACAGAGTGTAAGTCCATTAATTGTAGAGCATGAGGACGTCCAACATCTTGCATATTCCCAGAGGAAAGGCTGAATGCAAGTAGAGATGGAGGTCCCTTGTCTCCGTATTTCACCTCTGCCTGACTTTCTTAGACTCAAGGTGGAGTCTAAGTATCAATCCTGACAGCGGTTACCATTGACAGGTGCAAGAAATAGGCTGTGTCTATTGAGGATCCTGTGGTCTTGCGGGATCCCCATAGTCCTCAATACTGTATTCTAGTGCAGTAACAAAGCAGTGATGTTTGCTCCTGGCGCTGAAGTGCCACAAGTTAGAGGAGCAGTGCAAGCAAGATGGCAGAATCACGAGGGACAGGTTCAGTTAAGTAATCTGCAGTCATACGTACCCGTTCCGGAGCTCCTCGATCCAATGGCGGGTCACACGCTGCACCTGTGCTTGTGCGTCCATTTGTATGACGTTGGCGCGACTCTATAAGTGCCGAATCGATCTATAGGTGCTCCAAAGTGGTGCTAACCAATAGTGCCAGTGCCCTGGATATATAAAGACAGGGCTTTCTGTAGCAAGTTTCCCTGTTGTGGTTCTTGATTAACCAAGAGTGCGCTTTATATTTTGGATTTCTTGGTACCGAATTTGGCTTGTTTATTTGTCTCTCCACTCTCTGTGTTCCTGACTTTGGCTTGTTTCTCGTTTATGCTGTTTTCTCCTATGCTTGACCTTGGCTTTCTCTCTGACTACTCTTTAAGTTAATCACGGCCATTTTAAGGCCCGGTAATATGTGGTAATTATCTCTTTAGAAGAGTAGAGTTTTGGGTTCTCCTATCTAGCCGCAAAATCTACCTTTAACAGCCCCCCGCGGTCGCCGGACCACCAGTGGAAATATCACCATTAGGGGACTTTGCAAATTCCACAAAGTCCCCAGATAGTGACAGTGCTGCTTGAATAGATTAATAGAGATGACAGTTCCCCTTTATGTTCTTGTGAGTTAAACCTTTAGTGCCCACACCCTTGCAAATCTAATGGCATCTACATGGAATCACTGACAATTTACTGCAAAGACTGCAGAACAAATGTTATTCCCTGTAAACCATCATAATAAACCCTTTTGGATTATATTATTCAGTTTTGCCTCTCTGTGCACCCAATCCCTGAATTGCTGTAGCTAGAAATGTATTAGACTAAATTGCAAGATTATAGTTTCCAGACAAAGCAATTATAGAAATATGTCTCCGAACAGATTCCTGTGCAGCATACTTGTTGAGAGCACGTTAGACAAAGATCCTTTGGCATAAAATAATGGTTTCTAGGCTCTTGCTGCACTCCAAACCCCTTTTACTGTATAGCCAAAAATTAAACAAAAATACCTGTAATCAGTGCGTCTGTCTATCTATCTTTGGCTGCCTGTCCATTCATTTGTTTCACTCTGACGCACAATGGCATGAAGCATTTTGACAGTTTAGGTAATGCAGCTATTACCAGAGATGTGACTATCTCAAAGTCTCAGGGTGGTGGATCACTCAAGGCGAGGGAAGCCAATGTGAGATCTAAGGTAATAAAACATGGCAGTGTAAATTAAATGGGGAGAGGGGCACTAGTACACCTGAAGAAGATGCTTATGGTTAGAGATGTTAAGAGATCAATTTCATGGGAAACTCATTCATTTTAATTAAGTTGTTATGGTACCAGGATGTCCCGAGTACTGTGGACTACATCTTCATTGTGGCTGTGAGACATTTATGGAAGATGTCCACAACATCTGCAATGCCGAAGGTTGACTGACTTAGAGCATGAGCTGAAGCTCTCAGCCAATCAGCAGCACCCCTGCCTGAGGTAGTCGAAGGCTGGCTGTTTGAGGAATCTAAGAGAAATTGAAGGACAGAAGAAGCGATAAACATCACAGGAGAGAAGACTTTTGAGTTAAACCACTCACAAATGGCTTAAGTCCTAAAGGTAAGCTGGCACCAGGGACATTTTGGAACCATAACAATTTAATTCTGCTTAAGTTGTTATGGTGCCCGCAGAGTTCTTGGAAAAACAAAAAGAATATCTCCGTACTGCTGACTGCAAACTCTGGGGTGTAGAGAGACTTCTGGAGCACTAACACCTATGTACTGTTTGAACAAACTGACAACAAGCTGAGGAACCAGCCTTCATCTAGCATGTCAATAACCACTCCATCTGAAACATGTCTGGTGAAGGCTGAATCTCCACCATTCTGAACTACGGGCCATGGCTATGACCACACTAAAAACAGAAATTCAGCACCATATAAGATAAAAGGAAAATGTTAGGGGAACGAACCTAGGATACTACATAACAAGCAACCAAGCCCACAGGATACAGCGTTAAATGTGGACTAAAAGTAGATATTGCCAACCCACTGATCGACAAATTCAAAGAATTGCAATTAGTTTGAAACCAAAGGCACAAATTTATATATGATTAAGATGGATGTTCTTTCGCACACTCACCTTCTTCCATCTGCTTGATAATCATGCTGCAATGCGAGGGTTGAGTAAACTAGCCTTCTGCTTTCACCAGAGCTTATGATGTCAAAAAGCGCTTCAGACCAGGTTTTTTGGCTTCTTTTGGATCAACAGCAACAACATTTGTGAGGAAGGCTGAACTTGATGGACGCAAGTCTCTTTTCAGCTATGTAACTATGTAACTATGTAATAAAAATACCTAATTCTGTAGCTACATCTGTACACATATCATTCTGATATGTCTGGTACATTTTCAGTGTTTGACTTCTCTTGAGACTGGGCTGTCAGAGTGCTTACAAGCCAACCAATCAGAATGCTCTAACTCATAAGATGAATTCATTATATTTTGTCATGTTTTTGATTATTTTTTATTTTTTTGTGAATCTGTTATTTTTTTATTTTGTTTTAACCTTCATTAGTTGCATTGATTATTATGGATTTTAATTGAGCCTTTTTAGGTACAAAGTAAAAAAGAGTTAGAAGAAAGAATACTTCAGATGGTAAGCATTTTCTTTTATAGGTATTAGTTGTATTGCCCCTTCACTCTATTATTAGGATGTGGGGGAAGGTACAGTTATTTATTAACCCCTTAAGGACGGAGCCAAATGTACACATTGCGAACAAAACAAAATGTAAACAAAACCTGGCATTTGCGCTACATGTCTGTCCAACCGTAATACACCTCTTTCATAGTAAATGCACCCACCCTTATTATATATCATTTTATTCAGGGGAAACAGGGCTTTCATTTAATATCAAATATTTAGCTATGAAACATAATTTAATATGAAAAAAATGGGAGAAAATACGTTTTTTTGGATTTTTTTAGTTCTACATTATATTTTAACGGTCAGTGTCATAATACTGTTTGCTTTTACTGCAATAAAATACACATATTTATATTCAGTAAAGTCTCACGTGTAAGACAGTACCTCCTATGTACAGGTTTTATGGCGTTTTGGGAAGTTACAGGGTCAAATATAGCACGTTACATTTGAAATTGAAATTCGCCAGATTGGTTACGTTGCCTTTGAGACTGTATAGTAGCCCAGGAATGAAATTTACACCCATAATGGCATACCATTTGCAATAGTAGACAACCCAAGGTATTGCAAATGGGGTATGTCCAGTCTTTTTTAGTAGCCATTTGGTCACAAACACTGGCCAAAGTTAGCGTTAGTATTTGTTTGTGTGTGAAAAATGCAAAAACGCCAATTTTGGCCAGTGTTTGTGACTAAGTGGCTACTAAAAAAGACTGGACATACCCTGTTTGCAATACCTTGGGTTGTCTACTATTGCAAATGGTATGCCATCATAGGGGTAATTTTCATTCTTGGGCTACCATAGGGTCTCAAAGGCAACGTAACCAATCTGGCGAATTTTAATGTGAAAAAAATGAAACGCAAGCCTTATATTTGACGCTGTAACTTTTGAAAACAAAAAACCTGTACATGAGGGGTACTGTTGTACTCGGAGACTTCACTGAACACAAATATTTGTGTTTCAAAACAGTAAAAAGTATCATAGCAATAATATTGTCCGTTTAATGCTGTTTGTGCGTGAAAAATGCAAAAAACGTCACTTTTACTGGCAATATCATCGTTGTAATACATTTTAATGTTTTGAAACACTAATATTTGTGTTCAGCGAAGTCTCCCGAGTAGAACAGTACCCCCCATGTACAGGTTTTATGGTGTCTCGGAAAGTTATAGGGTTAAATATAGTGCTAGCAAATTAAATTCCCTTTACTTTCGGCATGGGTTGTCATGCAGGTCCTGCTAATTGTAATTAATTAAGATACCTAATTATGTAAAAATATTACATAAATATATATGTAGAATCAATATATGTATATATATACGTATGTGTATATATATGTATATATCTATATAATTTTTTTAAAATATTTTTATTTATATATAGGTATATATATAGTGATATATACGTATATATTTATGTGTATAAATATATATATTATTTCGTTCTATGTGTATTTTGATATATATATATATATATAAATTTCACAATACAGTTAGAACGAAATAACACACATCTATATATTTTTTAATTATTTATTTTTATTTTTAATTTTATTTTTTAACGTATTTACATTTTTATTTTTTATATTATATATAAATATATATATAACAATAATTATATATATATTTAATCAGTATCAGTCTACGTGTAATTTGATATTAATATATATATATAATTATATATATATTAATAGTAAAATACACCTAGACGGTGTACATGTGTGTATGTATATAGTAGAGATATACTTAGATCATATATATATCATATATATATGATCTAAGTATATATAATTTTTTTTTACACCATTAACTTATTTTATTTTTATTTTCAGCCAGCAGGGGGACCACCTGTAATTACAGGCAGCCCCCCTGCCGGCAATACAGAAGCCAGCTATCCCGGCCATGTGATTGTGGGGTCCTCGCTAGGACCCCACTCTCAATGGCCGGGGCTTCAGGAGGACTGAGGTGTAAAGGGGGCTCTGAGTCCCCCCAACCGCGATCGCCGGCGGTCCCACGGGTAAGTTAACAAAAACCGGAGGGCGTACAATTACGCCCGGCGGCGTTTAGAGCCGCCTATTAGAGGGCGTAATTGTACGTCCTCCGGTTTTAAGGGGTTAATAATTGGAGGTGGCTATGGAATTGGGGACACCTGGGGAGGAAGGGGGACATTCAACTATGTGTATTTGGGGTTTGGACAATGGTATATATCCCCACATTATTTTACAGGCTTCATCTGCACCTTTTCTAGTGACTGGGCTGCAAAGGCTAGTTGCTAGTTTTAAATGTTTAGTAGATATGTTTGGTAGGCATGGCAGGTGAGAGTGAAGGTTGTAACCTTTTTTTACAATAACATTTGGGGTCTAATTGGCCCCCATAGGGTTTCTAATTAACAGATTATTATTTATTTATTTTTTTAGAATCTTACCGTTGGCTAGCAAGCTTTGGCCAGTTGCTACATAATTAACCTTATGAGCGTTTTTAACTATTTGCCTGCTGGCTCTTAGCGCTGCCAGAGGTCAAATAGTTTGGAATTTGTTTTAAATCGGGCCCGGTTTTAAAATCCTGACCACATTCAGGCATATTTGGAGCCTTTATTGCAATTTCCTGGCTAATCATGGCAGCATATACACATGGGTAGCTCCTCCCCTTCCAGCCAATAGGACAGGATTTAACAAATTCTTATAAAAGGAGGATCCAGAGAAGAGACCCTCAGTCTTTTTCCTATCCTTAGAGCCCTTAGGAAGGGAGCTTTTTAGCTCCCTCTAACTCTTTAAGTACTCTATACACTTTAAATTACTTCCTATATTTCTTTCCCTTTTACCCGTTTTTTATTCATACCAGGACAGTCCTGGGGTACCTGAGACCTCTAGGAGTCGTCCTACCTGCAATTAGGGTCTCCTGCATTTTGTCCTCAGTTCTCCCAGGTCGGGAGCTCGGAGAGGACGCTCGCACATACGCAATGCATCTGGGTATGGTCGCGAGGTCGCAGCTTTCATCTTTACTATGGGCAAAGCCCGAAAATGACAGGTAATTTACAGAAAAGGCCAGGAACAGGCTAGTGAATAGCAGGTACTATTTAAAAGAACCTGGAACTCGATGCCATCCAGTTGTTTGTCTTACGGCGGTGTCCAGAGCCATGAAAAGTTGGATAAAAGACCTGGATACAGATGTGGAAAGAGGAATAAAGAGAACAGACCTCAGAAATGCTATCTGTGATCTTCGGATAGCTACTGAATTTGTCGCTCAAGCAGCCCTGGATATCACCAGGATCTTCTCCCGCACCATGGCTCTCTCGGTAGCAGCAAGGAGAGCTTTATGATTGCATTATTGGGGTGCGGACCCCTTCTCCAAGGCCAATTTATGTTCCATACTTTTTGAAGGCGAGCTTCTATTTGGGAAGACCCTAGAGGAATCCATTAAAAAAGCAGCTGAAGGGCGTAGAGTCTTTTTACCCCAAGAGAAAAGAACCAGGAGACCAGGCTCCTCTTGGTCAGATAAGCGACCTCCTAGGGATCAATATTTTCGGGATGCTCGTAGCTACCGACCAGGTAGAGAATTCAACAGGAGTAATAATTTTTGTGGGGGCCAATCATATGCTTCACGTTCTTCCCGAGGTAGAAACCCTTCCTTTCGTGCTGGAGGCAAGAACTTCTGACTAGAGATGTCGCGAACTGTCCGCCGAACTGTTCGCGAACTGTCCGCCGGCAAACAATAGCGTGTTCGCGTCGGTCGAACATATCCGATTTCCGGTCCGCCCCATATACGTCATCATTGAGTAAACTTTGACCCGGAACCTCACAGTCAGCAGACACTTCCTGGGAGGGAGGGTCTGCTGCTGATTGGGTGGAATGTGTCTGCTGGCTGTGAGGTTCCGGGTCAAAGTTTACTCAATGATGACGTATAGGGGGCGGACCGGAAATCGGATATGTTCCCCAACGCGAACAGGCTATTGTTCGCCGGAGGACAGTTCGCGAACAGTTCGGCGGACAGTTCGCGACATCTCTACTTCTGACTATCCGTCAGAGGTGGGTGCTCGACTTTCCATCTTCTGGAAGGTTTGGGCACAGGACATACAAGATGCCTGGGTCAAAGCAATAATTCAAAGAGGTTACAGATTAGAATTCCTTAGAAGACCCAGGGGTAACTTCTTCATTCCCACAGGTCTGCCCAAAGACGAGGGCAGAAGCAGGGCTCTGGGAGATTATAAAGTAAAAACAAAAAGAAATTTTAACCCAAGAAGCTAGGATTTCCGACACTCAAATAGATTTTATAATAGAGGGTATCAACATTATTTTAAATAACAATTATTTCTGGTTTTTAGACTCTTTTTATTTACAAAGAAGAGGCAATGCTATGGGGACTAGGTTTGCCCCCAGTTACGCTAACCTGTTTATGGCTGACTGGGAAAATGAAGCCATATGGGGTGATCATACCTGGCGGGCAAACCTAGTCTCCTATTTTAGATATATTGATGACCTTTTTTTTTATTTGGAATGGACCTGAAAAACATCTTATTGATTTTATCAATTATCTAAATACTAATAATAGGGGCATTATTCTCACATACGAATTCAGTAAACAATCCATTAACTTTTTAGACTTGAATATTTTTATCGGACAACTCCAAACAAAAACTTTTTTCAAAAAAGTATGTGTAAACACGGCCATAGATAGATCTAGTTGTCACTATAAGCCATGGCTAGAAAGCGCCCCAAAAAGTCAGTTTTTACGCCTTCGCAGAAATTGCTCAGAACTCACAGATTTTAATGAACAAGCAGAGTTTTTAAAAAATAAATTTATTGAAAAAAATTATTCAGAACCGGATCTGAATACCACAATTAATACAGTCAAACAAAAAGAACGAAAATAACTTTTGATATATAAAAATAAAGAAAATAATGAAACTGTATCACTTCCAGTTATTTTTAATTTTAATAACAAAAGCAACAATGTCAAAAAAATAATAAGAAAACATTGGCACATACTCAAACATGATGAGATACTTAATTCCATTATACCTACTCATCCAAACATTGTTTTTAGAGGAGCACCGAATTTTAAATCTATTTTAACTAGAAATTTTACAAAAAATCTCCTTTAAAAAATGTATCATTCTTTCCTCAGACAAAAGGTTTTTTTAGATGCAACCAATGCATCGTATGTAAAACTGTGGACCGTGTTATTCCATCAAAAACTACAAAATTTATGTCAAATCAAACCAAAAAAGTGTATGATATTTATGATTTTATAAGCTGCCATACCAAAAATGTTATTTATCTGCTCGAGTGCCCATGTGGCCTCCAATATGTGGGGATGACCACAAGGTGCCTAAAGATAAGACTGAGCGAACATTGCAGAAATATTAGAAATGGATACCTAAATCATACAGTATCCAAACATTTTATCAAGCACAATAAAGATCCTCGTTTATTAAAATGTATTGGTATAAAAAAATGTTCTACCTCATGGCGTGGAGGAGATATAAAAAAGGAACTTGGAAAAATTGAAATGGAGTGGGTGTATAACCTTAAGACCCTTATACCCCATGGTCTAAATGCAGATTTCGATTTACATAATATTTTATGAAATATCTTTTATGAATATTTGTGTATATGCCTTTAATTTGTTTTAATTCTGCTGTTTTATCTAATATTGTCAACATTGTTACTTTTATATCTTTTTTATTGTTATTAATTTTTAATAACTGTCTCTTTTTTTTTTTTAAATTGGTTTATTCATTTTAATACACTTTTCCTATTAACAAGTGTATCCTCTATTTTGCCATTCTCAATATGGCTGTTTTCATACCTTCCCAATATGCCCGTACCCTTAATAGCTTATATTCCTATTCCCCTCCTTATTTGGTCTCTTGGCCGCCATTTGCGGCCATATACTACATATCCCATGTTGCCGTTCGGCACTTCCGGTACGCGGAAGTGCCGAAAATTAAACTGACCTTTTTTTAAAAAATTCTCCACCCCCTGTTTTCACTTCCAACCCCTTACAGCTCATACCCTCATTCCCCTCCTTATTTGGTCCCTCGGCCGCCACTTGCGGCCATAAACTACATACCCCATGCTGCCGTTCGGCACTTCCGGTACGCGGAAGTGCCGAAAATCACGTGACCGTTTTAAATCTCTAATTTTTATACTTTCCCCCCCTCGTTTTTATTCTTAATAGATTTTAAATATGTCAGGACACTTTAGTATGTTGTATAGTATATTCATTTTAAAGTTTTGAGCCTGCTTATTATTTGTGTGTTTTGATTGGTTGCTCTAATTTTTGGCGCCAAAATTCAAATTATTTGTGTCTTATATAACCCTTATGTGCCAGGTAGTAAATGTTATTCCATTTGATAAAGTCTTTCTTGACGAAACGCGTTATGGATATTTGAATATTGTGTTTTTTATATATTAAAGTATTTTTGGTCATTTGCTTGTGCCAATTATCTTTTTTATAGATACATATCTTTCTTTTTTACCCTGGCCTTTTTACTGTTAATTTTATTATTTTATTGGTTTTAAAACAAACCTAAAAATTCCTGGAAGTTTCCTGTACCCAAAGAAATCCGTAGGTGGGGATCAATCCACCCAAGCTATCACCAAAGAGCAGTGGGTCTGCTCTTATTTTGTAAGTACATTTCTTTTATTATTTTATTATTATTTGCCATACAGTGAGCACTATTGGCTGTTTGTTTTATCCCGAGAATTGGATACCATTCACGGAGAAGAACCTGCTTACATCCCACAAGCGGGGATTAAACCGCTGTACGCGCTTTACTCCAGAGCTGGACATTAGCTCTGGTAAATGTGAGTTTTATACTATTATTTTTACGTCTATACCTGAATTTTACATACTACACCATTGGATGTCCCTTCTCCCTCTTTTTATTTTTCATAACGAGTGAAGCCACCACATAAATAGAAGACCCCATCAACCAAAGACACCTGTAAGAATATACCAGTTGGACTTTCTCTCTTTTCTTCCTTTTATTGGACTTTATTCATGTGCGCAGCCTTTTATTGTTTTTACTTTATCCTGTTTTAGAAAGGGTTTGAGGGATTCCCTTTTTAAGGTTGCTGCCATAAGTTATTTTAGCGCTGTCTCATTCCTCCTACTTCCTATTAACTCTGGGAGATTATGTTCGGAACCTCAGGTCCCAAAGGGTCATCGTTTCAGTGCCAGAAGAGGAACGATTCCTGGGTCACTATTTACCTCTGTTCTTAGTCGAGAAAGACAAGGACAAGTGGAGAACTATTTTGGACCTGCGGAGGATCAACAGGAGACTACTAATCAGATCATTCAAGATGGAGTCTATAAGATCCAGCTATCCGGAAGGCAGATTGACTCATATCTATTGACCTACACACATCCCGATAGCCAAGGAACATCATCGTTTTCTCAGATTTGCTATAGGAGAAGACCACTTCCAATTCAGAGCACTTCCATTTGGCCTGTGCACAGCACCCAGAACCTTTTCAAAGGTATTGGTCGTTCTTATAGAAAGATTGAGGATTCAGGGAGTCTCTCTGTTTCATTACCTGGACGACCTACTGCTGGTAGCACCAGACGTCCAGATGGCGGTGCTACACAGAGATTTTGTGCTATCAGAACTTCATCGATTTGGCTGGTTAGTGAATCTACAAAAAAGCAGCCTCATTCCGTCCCAGAAGATTACATTTCTGGGGGTGAACTTCGACACTCTCCGGAACTCTATCTCCCTTTCACAGGAAAGGATACAGAGAATTTTAAGCTTTGTCTACAAGATTCTGCACCTTCGTATGATAACAGCAAGGACATACTCGCAACTTCTGGGCAATCTGACCTCTTCTATAGGACTAGTTAGGTGGGCCCAGTGGCATCTCAGAGTTCCTCAGAGGTCGTTCCTGAACCAGTTTAACCAGCGGGTTATGGATTGGAATCAACCCTTGAAGATCTCTCCTATAGTAAAAATGCACCTGGTCTGGTGGCTAAGAAGGGTGAATTTGGAAAGAGGTTTTCCTTTGATAGAACCCAATTGAGTCCTATTAACAACAGATTCCAACGCTCATGGTTGGGGTGCCCACTGTCAGGACCAGATGACTCAAGGTCTATGGAACAGACAGGAGCCGGTTCTTCTGGTGAATGTTTTGGAATTACGTGCCATCCACAGAGCTCTCATACATTTCAGGGGGATCCTGAAGAATAGGTGGATATGAGTCCAGTCCGACAACCAGGCGGCTGTGGCCTATGTCTCTCATCAAGGCGGTACTCGCATCCAACTGTTGATGAAGGAACTACAGCCCATCATGAGTTGGTGCCAAAAAAATATTCAGGGTATTTCTGCAGTACACCGGGGGTTCAGAATACCATGGCGGACTACCTGAGCCGTGTGACAAGACAAAAGCGAATGGCGTCTAAGCCCCAAAGTATTTCAGGAGCTGTCTTTGATCTGGGGAACCCCACAGATAGACCTCATGGCAACAGGTCCCCAACAGATAGACCCAGGTCAAAGCCTTCTTCTCGAGACTGGTCGATCACAGAGCCAGGGGTCAGGATGCTCTATCCCAACCTTGGAGGTTCACTCTGGCATATGTGTTCCCTCCTATACTTCTCATATACCCAACTCTGAAGAAGATTCAGAAGGTAGAGGTCATTGCCATCCTCCCATTCTGGCCCTGTGGACCTTGGTGCCCTATGGCGAGACGGATGAGTAGGGAACCTCAGAGGGAACCCCTGGTCCAGGCAGATTTACAATCCCAGGGCAGCCGTCCCGCTGCTACACCCAAACCCCCTAACCCTCAAGTTGTGGGCTTGGAGATTGAGCGGGAAGCTCTGATGAATGCTGGCATGCCTGACGCGGTCATTAAAACTCTCCTGAGGTCTCGTAAGATATCCACTTCCTACACATATTATAGGATTTGGCATGCCTTTGTTTGCTGGGCACAAGAACATCAGGTGGTGATTAAACCTTTGGCCTTATCTTCTGTGCTCTGTTTCCTTCAGGCTGGCCTGGACAAAGGCTTTAATTACAACACTCTGAAGCTCCAGGTATCAGCTCTATCCGCTTTGTCAGGTACTCGATGGGCTCTAGAACCATTGGTCATCCGTTTCCTTAAAGCGGCGATAAAGATCCGGCCTCCTCGGATGGTATTTCTGCCGGCATGGGACCTACCTCTGGTCTTGAAAGCCATGACTAGATCTCCCTTTGAACTACTTGACCAGGCTCCTCTGATGGTACTTACTCAAAAGGTACTCCTGTTGGTAGCAGTTACTTCTGCACGACGGATATGCGAAGCACCTTATACAAGGATACTTCAGGACTGGTTAGTCCTCAAACCAGTCCCGGAATTTCTACCTAAAGTGGTAAGTTCCACTTGAACCAGGAAATTGTTCTACCATCCTTCTATCCAAATCCCTCTTCTCCTGAAGAAGAAGTTTGGCACACGCTGGATGTGGTTCGAGCATTATCTATCTACCTGGAGAAGACCAGCCCCTTTCGCAGATCATCCAGACTATTTGTATTGCCTATTGGCCACAGGCGGGGTGAAGCTGCCTCTACCTCTGCATTGAGACAATGGGTGGTATTGGCCATCTCAAGTTCTTATAAGTACTTATCACTGCCGGTTCCTACTGGTGTCAGAGCTCACTCTACTCGGGCTATCGCAGCATCTTGGGCTTCGGTGGCAAATGCTTCTCCAGATGAGATTTGTAAAGCTGGCACTTGGTCTTCAGTTAACACTTTCATCCGCCATTATGAGATGGATATTAGAGATACAGTGGACTCTCATTTTGGTCATCAAGTCCTTAATTCAGTTCGCTCCTCTCGACGCTCGTAATATGTATATTTATGTTTATCTTCATTAAAAGATTTTTGCATCCATTATGTCTCTTGTTTCCCTCCATATGAGCTTCTGTATACACATCCCATGCGTATATGCTGCCATGATTAGCCAGGAAAGTGGAAAATGTATTCATACTTACCGTAATTTTCTTTTCCTGGCTATTATTCATGGCAGCATATACGGCCCACCCTTATGGGTCTAATTCTTCTGTAAGTGCTTGTTACTGACTGAAGGTCTCTTCTCTGGATCCTCCTTTTATAAGAATTTGTTTAATCCTGTCCTATTGGCTGTAAGGGTAGGAGCTAACCCATGTGTATATGCTGCCATGAATAATAGCCAGGAAAAGAAAATTACGGTAAGTATGAATAAATTTTCCACTATCCAGACTTTGGTAAATAACGTAAACAATGTCTGGATTCTGTAGTCCGAATTGACCCATATGCAGCCGGATGGTTTTCCCCATGGGGTCATTCTGACTTGAGTGAATACTACTGTTTGTGAATTAAGCACTTTTAAACTGTTGTTAATTATTATTTGTGATGGCCACATCTGTATTTTGGAAATCTTCTAATGAAGCAAACCGATAATCGTGAGTTAAAGAGTTGCATAAGGGGAATTGATGACTAGCAAATTAGTGATTGATAAGGGTATGATGGCTGATCATTTAGGGAGCTAAAAAGGTCAACTTGATGGCTGTTTAATTGTTGGGCATCCTATTTAAGAAATATTTTGATACAATATGCGGTAGTAATTAAATTGAATACCAATATTTAAAGGACCTTGACAAGAAAACCGCCATTGATTTCCCTTGTTTTCTAGTTTACAAATTGCATTGTGAGCCCTGCTTTGAAGAGCATCTATTATAACTATATTGCAATGAGATCATATGGATAAAATGATTTTACCACAACCACAAACTAATGTTTATCTGGCATCCAAGTGGATTTGTTAATGCATTAACTCCTGCTGTATTAACCTACTTTAAATGTATTCACATTGACATTTTAGTAGAAATTATTAGACTCAAAGATCTTAAAGAGGAACAGCCACTTCCCAGAATGAGTACACTATAGGCACCAAGACAATTTTGGCTTAATGAAGCCGTTTTGGTGTACAGATCAGGCCCCTGCAGTCTCACAATTCTCTGCCAATTAGGAGTGAAATACATTTGTTTATACAGCCCTAGTCACACCTCTATGCATGTGACTTTCATACCCTTTCTTTCAAAACACTTCCTGTATAGAGAGATATAATGTTTAAACTTCCTTTATTGCATATTCTTTTTAATTTAGAATTTTCTATCTCCTGCTCTATTAATAGCCTTCTAGACCCCACAACAGCCTCCAGTGTGATGAAAGTTCAAGTTACAGAGCAGGAGATAAAAATATCTAAAGCAAATAAACATCTGATTGAAAATGAAATACTTTTTCATGCTGGCTGTGTGAGTCAGAACTCAAAGTGCATCACAGTTTACTGCATATAGGCCTGCGTAGCTGCAGACTGATCAGAGTGCCCATGATGACTCCTGTACAATTACAAAAGTGCCTTCAAATAGGGACATGAGCAACAGAACTGGACCATGGAGCAATGGTAGAAGGCTGCCTGGTCTGATGAATCATATTTTCAGGGTCTCCCAGCCTTTCTCTAGCCAATTGTGACAGGTGCCTGGCTTTGTCAGCTGTCCACTATTGATCTTTGTATAACTGGCTGGGAAATAGGCACCATTCAGAATTGCACTAAATTACAAGTGTAATTCTGAAAATGGCTAGTAGATGGTGGCAAAATCCCACTATCTGCTGTGTTATTGTTATTGGTATTTATATAGTGCCAATTTATTCTGCAGCAGTTTACAATATTATAAAGGTGGATATTTAGCAATAACTGAGAGAATTACAAAATGTTAACGGAACAATAGGTTGATGAGGACCCTGCTCAATGAGGACCCTGCTCAAATGAACTTACAATCTAGATAAATAGTAGTAAAACCCATTTTTAATGTCAGAATTGATATTAGTAGTGGATTACTTTAAGGTTAGGGTTGAGATTCGTTGTGGGGTTATGACTAAAACTGAGTTAGGTTTAGGTGTAAGAATAGACTAGGGTTACAGCTAGTGTAATGGTAGAGATTGCGTTATTGTAAGGTTAGGGTTCGTGTAGGTTTAGAGTAAGGGTTACTGCTGAGTAAGGATTAATGCTCTTTTAGGGTTAAAGGTATTGTAGGGTTAAAGATAAGGGTAAGATTATGGTATAATAACTAAGAAGCTACCATTACTAACCCAAAAATAGTAACAGTCTTGGGTAATCAAAAACCATGACAGTGAAAGCAAATAAGGACAACCCTAAAGTGGCTTGTGATTGGCTACAGAGGGCTTTGATGTCATAAGTGTGTACAGATCTTCAAAAAACTGAGAATATAAAAGGTGGGAAGTAGTAGGGTTCCAGGTAAAATGTGTAAAATGTGTATTTAATAATTCCAGATATTTGATAGCTTTGGGATGTTTGTTTTTGTTAAATCATTTTGTATATCACTCTCATTTGGGTTTTCGTCCTAGGTTGTATAGTTTACTATAAAAATCATTAATTTTTTTCTCCTATTTTCTCATGGGTAATTTTAATAATTCTTCCTTATTTTCTTCGTTTTTAATTAAAGAGACATCCAATCTCCGTGTATTAATACCATGGATCTAAGATCTAATATTTTCCCAATTCAATTAAAACAAAACTGTGGTCTGACCAGAGATTGTCTTTGATTTTAATTTTATTTATAAGGGGAATAGAATTAGTTTTGACTAAACACATGTCTATTCTAGAATAGGATCCATGTACTTTAGATAAATTAATATAATCTTTACATAATGGATATATATTAAATACCTAGCTTCTGGATCAGCATCTTGATAAATTATATCTACTTTTAATTTACTTGAAATGATAATAGCTACACCTCTTTTTAATTTTTTTTCCAATGATGCTTGTAAAATTGTCATGAACTTATTTCCTCCCCATTTCTGGGGTGTAGTTAGCTGCCAATGTGTTTCTTGTATGAAACCTATTTGAATTTGTTCAATAATAAAGGAGTTATATATCATGCGCCTTGTTGCTGGTGTATTAGGCCCTGTGCATTTATTGACATTAACTTAAGCATTGATAACATAAACATTTACAAATAATTGAGCTCCTGGTCTGATCACAAAACAAACATATATAACGGCATCTAACAAATACTGGAGATCTGCCCTCTTTATCTCCATTTACATATAACACATACAATTTTAGGAATTTTATTCCATAATTTTCTCTGTAGCTCATAGAGCTACTCGACAAACTGTGTAGTAGTACCACACAACGCGGGGTGTACTGTTTGGAGTGGATATATTATTTGTCTTTGGAGTAAATCCTAGCCTTAAAATCATCAAGACAAATAAATAAATAAATAAACAAACAGAGGGAGGAGAAAAAATAAATAAAACCATTTCTCCACTTATCCCTCCTCCTCACATCTTAAAAAAAATATCTTAACGTGCTATAAGTGTTTCTTTTCAAGTTTTCATTATTTATATGTTTAACTATTTTACTTTCTATAGTGACCTTAAACAAAGGATTTCCTATTTATTTCAAATTAAGTAAACTTTAGTGTGAATCATTAATTTTTTTTGTGTCCTCCGTGTCCATTCTTTTGCTTTTCCCTCTCTCTGTCTTTGGTCTTTACCTTCTCAAATATCCCATCAAAGGAAAAGAGAGCAAATAAATTAAAATAAATAAAACTAAATATATTTGTCCCTTGTTTCTCGTTAAAATTCTTCCTATTTATTTTCCCTAGAAGTTCTTTGTTTTTAATATTTTAATGTGTTCTATAAATGCGATAAGTGAAAGTGATGAGTTTTACATTTCTTTAATCACAAATTTTCCTTCTCTTTTCTTTTCCCTCCCTCTCTCCTCTCCCTCCTCCCATTTCATCCTATTTTATTAGTCATATTACCTATAGTGAACTCAAAGAGGAGTTATGCTATTTATTGTGAATTTGTATTTCATCGTAAAATTTTCTCTTTTCCCTTTCTCTTCTTTCGCTCTTCCTCCCCCCATTCCCCTTCCACTTTGTCTTGTAATTTTACCCATCACCATTAAATGTTCTACTAAGTGGTTAATAATATATACTTAAATAATCCTCCTTATCCCTCTAACCATCCCCTATTTGCTTTTCACCTTAAATCTTTGGACTAGTTTCTTATTACTTAGCCATTCTCTCATCTTTTCATTTGTTTTAAATGTTTTAACCTGGCCTTCATGGGTAATCGTCATCTTGAGTGGAAAACTCCATCTAAATTTTATATTATATTTCCTGAGGATTTGGATTGCGGGTGCGAAAGTCCTTCTTTTCATACGTGTATTGTATAACAAGTCCGGCAGAACTATTAATTTTAGATAGCGTCCTAATTAAGATTAATATTTTTCTGAAAGCTTTTAGTATTTTTTCTTTAAATTCATAGGAGTAGAAACAGACGATGATATCTCTAGGTAAATTTGATGGAATATTTTGAGGTTTACTCATCCTATGACACCTTTCAATTCTTTCTTCTTGACCATTTAGTGAAAGGCCTAAGGTGGCAAAATATTAATTTAAGATGTGTCTCAGATCTTCTTAATTAGTAGATTCCTCAAAGTTTCGGAATCTTAAATTTTTCCTTCTTAAACGATCTTCCAAATCATTAATCTTAAGATCTAATGTAGATATTTTTGATAATATTTTCAAATTTTCTTCTTCCAATTTATTGACTTGGAAATCGATTAATTGATAACTGATTTATTTCATTTTTGCTTCATTGTTTTATTTGTAGAGATTTCCAGCATGTTTTGCAAACTTGCGTTTAGTAGATCTACCGTAACCATGAGTTTTTAATTTCTCATATACAGAAATGAGTTGTCAAAATTTGCAATGGAATCTCCTATGTGGATCTATTGGACGTTTCTCTTTGGTTTTGTGGTAAGAAATACGTTGTGAGGCTTTTATATAGATTCTGTTCTTTTTTATGTTTTTTTTGCTGAAGTTTTGGGTTCTTGTGATTTTTTTGTGGCCATTATTGATTTTGAATTTGCCACTTATCTCGATTTATTCTAACCAGCGATCTCTTTGTCAATTTATCCCAAAGCTTTGGCAAACAGCCTATTATGTAAATATCTTGGTGAAGCCTGGAATTTGTCTTTTCTTTTCTTCTTTTTTTTAATTTTTTTTTATTTTAAGATTATTTAGATACTTAGTGCTAAAGGTAGAAACTTCCTGGTTTATACACAGACCCACAGTATTGCAGTTAGAGCGCCTTTATTTGACCAAAGTCTTGAAAAAAAAAAAGTATAGGAGAATAGAAGAGTAGACTTTCTAATTTACAGTAGATCCCAGCAAATTCTGCACCAATTCAAACTTTCATACTTTGGCGTTTTGTCTCACTTGGACTTTCAGTCCTTTAAGACTTTAGGACTTTACAGTCTCCAGTATTATGCATATAACAGTCGACTTACGATTTTGCTGCCGGATGTCTGTCATTCTTTTTCCCCCTGAGTGCAGGTTTAGTTGTTACAGCCCACAACTCCAGCCACAAGGTCTCCACGGTTTATTCACCACGTTCGCCAGACGAGTAAGTTTTTTATTTTTCAGAGATGAAGTAAACTTCTCACCAACACCAGCGCCTCCTTTGTTCTCTTTCCCCAGTTCCACTCGAGCACACACTAAATTGTAAACGTTTGGCGTTCGGCCTTGTTTACGGAGAACACTCAGTCTTCTGGTTAGCTTTGTTGCCACGCTTATTCAGCCGCCAACTTCACCTCAGGCAATTCCACTCCACTCCGTCAGTTACACCCCTCCTTATGGCACATGCATCACCACGTCATCACGCCCCTATTTCACATTCTTTTTAATGTACAATTTCTTATCTACTGCTCTGTTAAGAGCCTTATAGATCCTGCAGGAGCCTCCTGTGTGTGACTAAAGTTGAATTCACAGAGCAGGAGATAAAAATATCTAAGGCATATACCAAAACTGCTTCATTAAGTTAAAGTTATTTTGGTGCAAATAGCATCCCTTTAATCCCTTAAGGACACGTGACATGTGTGACATGTCATGATTCCCTTTTATTCCAGAAGTTTGGTCCTTTAACCAGTGTTTTCCATCTTCTTTTAAATGTATTAACTGTTAATCACGATTCCTAAATTGGGATCACTGGGAATGCCATACACCTTCCTCATTTTTAATAACAATTCGATCATTGTAGCATCAGTATGTAACCACATACCCTACTTTAATTAAAACAATGTACCAACAATTCATAATGGTTGCTCTACTCATATCAGAGCCGGTCCCACTCTCTCCTGATCAAAACAATTTTTTTTACCAATTATTAATGGATGAAAACCACCATCAGACAAAGACATAAATTATTGTTATAGTTATTAAGTGTATTTAACAGTATTAATTAGAGGCGGAGCCTGAACCTGAAACGGAGTAGTCACCATTTCTTCCAGCTCCCAAAACTCCTGAGAGTAATCCGCAAACATCCTGAGAAGGGACTGACCGATTGACAAACCTACCTTGAAATCAGCATCGGGATGGTGGAGCGCACACATTGATGCCTTTTTTTCAAACCCCGAGATCTGGCAAGGTGAAACGGAGGCCTAAGGCCTATCCCTCGCCGACCATCTCCGGGCTCGAGTATTTCCTAGACGGAGTGTATAGCAGAGGTAAACCTGACCCAGCAAGCAGCCCTCTGCAGACCCAAGGCACGACCCCAGTGAAAATGAGGAGACGTACGCAGAAAACACAGCCCGCCAATCCAGCGAAGCAGGCCGACATCGGGATCTTACTGCAGAAACAGACGCACTCCAAAATGGCCGCGGGGGCTCCACAAACCCCGACAACGTCCCGCGCTGCATCCCAAACGCCTGTGCAAACGGAGGCTGATAGTAAGTACACCCTGACACCACCACAGGCACCACCTGACTACACACTGGCTAAACAGGACCTCCACAATTGGGTACAAGACATCAAGAAGATGCTGGCCACGCATGTGGGCTTGCTTAAAGGGGACTTACAAAATGTAACAGAATGGGTACGGGTGACTGAGGAGAGCATCATGAACATCCAAACTGACATAACACAAGTAAAAGAAGTGATACAACAAATATAGACCACCAGCAGGGACTCTCCCTACAAATGTCAGTCCATGAAGATCGTGCCCGTCACAACCACGTTAAAATACGTGGCTTACCCTCTGACATCACACCAGATGAACTACCTCACTATGTGAGAAGGTTCCTGGCCACCATCCTACCACCATCGGCAGCCAGAAAAACACTCCTTGATGGGCTCTACAGGCTCCCACCCTCAGCCACCATGCCAAACACAACCCCCAGGGATGTCATCCTACCCTGCGCCACCTCACAGGACAAATCCAACATCATGTCGGCAATACGGGGTAAAACCCCCTTGGACTTTGAAAACGCACAGCTGCTATTTTTCCAGGACCTAACTAGAGCCACACTCCAGTGGTGCTGATCTCTGACCCACCTTACAGGCCAATTGTGCACCACAGGGGTGCCATATCGCTGGGGCGAACCTAGATCCCTGCTGATCACCTACAATGGGACTACACATAGGGTCTCCATGCCCAACAAAGTCCCTGCAGTACTCACCAAGCTGGGATTACCAGAAAGGAACAGCACTGCAAGAATCCCTGCACAGAGATGGGACCTGGACAATACAGTACCATTCACCCCGCGAACCATGAAACTGTCAGACCAGGCCACCTGACTGGCAAAGGCGAGAGAGGGCTCTCACAATCCACACACAATTCCTGGGGAAGGGCAGCGCGAACGACTGCTCCAGCCACAAATGACTTTTTGATTTTTCTTTTAGAAATTTTCATTTAGAAATGTTTCATATGTTTATAGCTACTGTATTACTAATTTCTAGTTCAGCATACGTTACTATGCTTCATACACCTGACAATCTACATGAAAACAATGACTCCCGGAAGACCAACACATGATGGTGGCTCTACACACCTGTCGGAGAGGCAGGAACCTTACAGTTCCCCTCCCTCCCCGCCGCCACCCCCTAGGTTAGGGGCAAACCACCCTCTGGGGAACCCTGGCCACTAGACATATGGATGCCAAGTCCACCAAAGACCCATCACTTGATCACCCAAAGCCTGACCTGGACATCTTGACACATGACCCGCCCTATAAGTCAGCTTGCGCAATGCTATACCATTCTATGTCAATGGCGAACCACTACAAGCCCGGTGACACAATACACTTGAACACAACTACCATACAGCTCTCCAGATTACCCCCAAAAATTGACCTTCTTGCACAATATCACACGAACACCCCAAATCCCACACCTGGCAATCTTGAAAAATAACACTGTTCTTGCTATAAACCGCTCCTCTGACATACAGATTCTCACCTATTGCCTGATACCAAAAATCAAAAATGTGCACAAACCTCAAATGCCATAATGTTATATTACTTGAACTGCTTGAATAATTTGGGCTCCTGCTGTTGTGGCAGAGCAAACATGTTTGTAAACATAAGCACAATGCAAAAATAAAGAATGAAAAAAAACAAAACAGTATTAATATAAATTTGACATCGCTAATAGGGAAATTAAGAACATAGGTGCCAAGATATATCTTAAAATCTTGGATATTAGTACAAATGTGGACTCACAAAGAGACATCCTTCAGTACTTAAAAATACTAAAACTCCCTGTGAAGGAAACCTCTGGACTGCCCATTCCTCTGGGAATTAAGAGGTGAATACCTCTATATAGACAGAGACAAACATACACAGTAAGACAGAGATACATAGACGGATTACTAAAGCAGATTAAACAGAAATTGCTAGATGATACCTGGAAAAAACACGTACACTAGACAAATTGCACCCTTCCCTATTTGCAATCTACCCAACGCAGCGTGCAATGCATCAAATTCATGCATCAAATTCTCCCTGTAGAAGCACTAATCGTTGATAATAGGTATATGAGTATCTATGTAAAATATCACGCCCCCGTTTGGAACGTCCATTGTTGACATCAGATTGAGGGTAGTCAAGATTCAAGTTTCAAGTCTTCAGGCACATCCAAGTGATACATTGATCTCTATGCCATTGAGATGGTTTGATAAGAGCATCAGTCATAACTGTCAGCTAACAGAATTTTCCACCAGTTACAGCAGCAGTTATATCTATGACATCACAGCATGACATCATCTATTATGATTTAACTGCCAATTGTCACAGTTCCTGAGGTGAACATTATCTTTATTAATATAAAAGGGGCATGTGATTGGCATGTAAAAGGAGTCTTTACAGTCAATATAAATGATATTTAAATCTAGAGTTAATTTTTTGATCTCAATTAATTTCTGCCGCTCTTAGAGATCTATTCAAAAAAGGATAAAGATCCCACAGTGTCCTAAGTAGGTTACTGATTTGGGGCTCGCCCTTTATTCTTCAGATAGGGTTGGTGCATGGGACCAAGCAAATTTATGCTCCTGGGCCCTTGTCAATATATTGGACAGTTTACTTTGAATTGCCACAATTTTGCACTTTTGTGAATAATACTTGTATTATTTGACCTGAATGATGACCTAAAATTCTCAAGGTGCCCACATGAAATTTAGGTTGGTTTAAATTTGTTAGTGCAAATAACATTTTTCTGAAGACAGTACCACTTCAATGTATGCAGCAGCTCATAGTAGGACTGATTGGGTTAGAACGGTACTAAATGGCTGTGTATTGCAATTGTCTATATCAGCCGGTTACACTGTGCGGACTCTGTTAGAAATTAAGACCTCATTTCACGTCTATATTCACAACGCATGTAATAGTACTTTCACAGGTCATTTCTAAAGTCGGATTAGTTGGGATATTCAAACTGAATTTCAAACCTAAAGGGTTACTCCAAGTACCATAACCACTACAGCTGTGTAGTGCCTGTAGCATCCAGGACTCCTTCCTTGGTAATGGGGCAAACCATCTAGCAACAGTTTGCTCCTTACTTGGATCCCCGACAGGCTCCGATGCTCCCTGGTGGTCCAGTGATGTGCTCCTGGCTTCTTCAGAGCCACAAAAGCCCCCGCCATTAACATTCGTTGACTAAGAGTATCAGCTGATCGCTCTCAGCCAATGAATGCTATTCTGTGCAATGGAAGCACTAGACTGGCTAATTACACCTGATGACGCTGCCTGACGTGGAGATACACCTTTGGCAGTAGAGGGTTTAAGCTCTGTTCATATTACTAAGCTAAATGCTGCACATACATACTTCAGGCACCATGATCTCTTAAAATCACTGAAGTGGTCATGTTCCTTTGAGAATCCCTTTAAAATCTATATCTAAAGCCAAAGTAGCCAAGCTGGAAACATTCTCCAAGTCGGTTATGCTTCCAGTTTAACTACTTTGGCCTTAAACTTGCAATCCAATTTGAATTCCCAACAATTCTCACTTTTGTAAATAACCATGATTTTCCTTGATACAGTTTGATAATTTTCATTTAAGTCATCAAAAACCACAGTTGGTCATGCCCTCAGGGGTTATCTAAATGTGTTGTAATGGTGTCATCAATATTACTCAGAATGTTGGTGGTTCTGGACAACTGCTTGCTCGAATCTGACATCCCACGTAAATGTCACAGGACACTTGACAAAATAAATTAGGTCTAGGCACTCGGGATTGCTGCAGGAAGGCAGGTTTATTGGAACAAAGTGCAAAGTTTCGGCCTATACAGAGCCCTCAATAAGCCGCTGTGTAGACTGAAACGTTGCACTTTTTGTCTCAATAAACCTGCCTTCCTGCAGCAATCCTGATTGCCTGGACCTAATTTATTTTATCTACTAAACTGGGTTTTTGCCAGTCCTGGCCCTGATAAGCATCTGGATTCCTAAGTGTGAATTACTAAGGGATACTTGACAAACACTCATTGATATTTCCCAAATTAATATCAAATTAATATCACAGAGTTCGGCCACAGAATAACTAACAGACATTCATCGATATTTCTGGATAGTGAGAGGGAACCAGCACTTATTGTATCTGTGTTTTGCATTTATTTTAGTCTTTGCACCACCACTACTAAGAAATGCATGTTATGGGTACTCCCCAAATCAATTGTTTTCTGTTGATGTTTGAAATCCGGATCAGTTTTCCACTCTAGGTGGACATTTGGAGGTAACTACAAGAAAGCATAACTTTGTGGACTGTGGGCTACTGTCTAATAGACATGTCCATTCGCCATTCTTTTGTCTGCCACGTGTTCGGTTATACGAAATGGCGGGCACCTGGGGGAAGCATTCATTAATTACTCCCCTTGCGGTTTCGCACTTAAGTTGCTGGTGTTAACGTTCTAATGGGGTAAAGGGTTGGTCCTCGTTCGGGAGACGAAAGGATACTGTTCATATGAAGTACTCCGGAACGGAAAAAGGATAAAACATACAAAATAAAGGAAAATAAGTGATAAGTTCCGCCACAATGTATCACAAGGAGATAGCTGGTAGCGCTGCCGGCTCCCTCCTTTATTTATTTTTTTGCACATGCACACTGTTCGTTTCATCCTAATGGACGAAAACAAATTATTTTTTAACGAATTTCATCCGAAAAACATATGTTTTACGGACGAAATTCGTAATGGACGAATGAATTCTTTTTAGTACGAATTAATTCGTACAAAACGAAAAGTTCATTGGTGCACATGTCTACTGTCTAACAGCACTATATTAATATATATTGTAACAGTATTCTTTTACTCATATTGTACTGTAGTTATTGCAGTATTAGGGAAAGGGAGTGGAGCATGCTGAGAGAATGTGCTGGTCTGGTCTCAGAATGGGCTGTTTCTAAATGCCCTCAAGCCAAATATAGCCAGCCCTCGCCTGGGTTTTTCACTAAATTCAGAATATTCATGAATTTAAAAAATTCAACTCACATTCGCAGCTTGGCTATTATTGGCAAAAGTCGACATTTGACTTTTGGTGGTATTTGTCATTAGATCCATGGCACAAAAAGCATGTAAGAACTTTAGAAATGTTATATCAACAATTTATTGTTATCTATACTGTTCTGTACCGCAACTCCCTCTGTTCCTGTATGTCCAACTCGTCTTGTTGCAAATACTTGTCTGTCAGTCCAAATATTGTACAGTGATATGGAATTTGTTGGCGCTTTATAAATAATAATAATAATCACATGATTCACATCTGCATTTCCAGATAAACAACATTGTAACATGATTGCAGCAAGACTTTAACACAAGAAAATAGCTGACAACAAAAACATTTTCAGTATGGAATACTTATTTCACGCCTGACTTTTTATAATTGGTATGAAATAGTAAAATGTCCATGTCTCATATTCAATGCAATTTAATGCTTGTCTGGAAAAAAAATGCAATTTCTTTACATTTAAAATTGAACATAATTCTGCAGAAGTAACTCAAAACAATGTCATTTAATGTAACTCCAGCAGCAGATAGTTACTTAGTTATTTCATTTGAGATTCTGCTGTTTGCTTCCTGCTACATTGAAAGGATAATGCTAAAGGTAACATATCATGAAAGAGAAGCCTTTGTGAATTAAAGGGATTTTTATCTACTCTGTTGTCCCAAGCAAGGCCTAGCAGTGAGTCAGGAGACAAACACTGAACTGATGGAAAGCTACATCCTTATTGCAGTATGCTAGGATCTTGATAAACAACAAACAACAATTACCTTGAAAGACATCTTGCACATCTCAGCTGCAGCACCAGCACTTCCCAGAATAGGAAGGAAAGAGGGAAATGTATCAGGTTGCTCCCTGAGAACTGATTTCTTCTTCTTGAAATCCCGTAACTGCAGAGAACAAGCTTGTCTGTTCAATCAGCGGATACTGGGAGAAGGCAAGCAATGCAGCAGCAGGACTGGAGCCAGCAGGTTGACTCATTCATTACCAGGCTGCCAATACGAGTTCTGTAGCTCACTCTAACTATCGCTGTCAGCAGGTTGACTCGTTCATTGCCAGGCTGCGAATAGGAGTTCTATAGCTCACTACAATTATCACTGTCTGTCAGCAGGTTAACTCATTCATTACCAGGCTGCCAATAGGAGTTCTATAGCTCACTCCAACTATAACTGTCAGCAGGTTGACTCGTTCATTGTCAGGCTGCCAATAGGAGTTCTAAATATCACTCCAACTATCACTGTCAGGAGGTTAATTCATTCATTACCATGCTGCCATTAGGATTTCTAAAGAGAAACTGCTATGTTTACATTGCAGGGTTAATCCAGCCTCTAGTGGCTGTCTTCCTGACAGCCGCTAGAGGTGCTTCCGTGACACTGAATGAGAAAATTGCATTCATCGTGCAGAACGTCCATAGGCTCTGGCCGCGCATGCGCATTCCGCTCCACAGGGGAGCTGATGTCGGAGGGGGGGTCACCAGCGCTGGATTAAAGTAAGTAGCTGAAGGGGTTTTAACCCCTTCAACCCAGCGGAGGGGGGGCCCTGAGGGGGGGACCTAAGGGTTATATAGTGTCAAGAAAATAAGTTTGTTTTCCTGACACTATAGTGATCCTTTAAAAGGACAATAATGATGCAATTTTATTAGCCATAAGAATTATTCATCTTAGCAGTGCTATGAAAGTTGGGCTTCTAAGACTTTGCCACCAAAGAATAACTAATAATGTATACACTCGATGAATGTTCTGAATTGTCCACATTTTCAATAAAATTTAAATAAAGTGCCAAGCACAAAAACTAAAATGTTCTGAGGAAGTGAAAGAAACCATAGGCGCCCAACAGAAACAAGGTCAGATGTGTGCATTTGGCTCTATAATGCCTACAGTTAGACACATTAATGTAGCAAATACTACAGTTGCAAGACAAAGTATGTGAACCCTTTGGAGTGATATGGATTTCTGCACAAATTGGTCATAAAATGTGATCTGATCATCATCTAAGTCACAACAATAGACAATCACAGTCTGCTTAAGCCCTTAAGGACGGAGCCAAATGTACACGTTGTGAACAAAACAAAATGTAAACAAAACCTGGCATTTGCGCTACATGTCTGTCCAACCGTAATTCACCTCTTTCATAGTAAATGCACCCACCCTTATTATATATCATTTTATTCAGGGGAAACAGGGTTTTCATTTAATATCAAATATTTAGCTATGAAACATAATTTAATATGAAAATAATGGGAGAAAATACGATTTTTTAAAATTTTTTTAGTTCTACATGACATTTTAACGGTCAATGTCATAATACTGTTTGCTTTTACTGCAATAAAATACACATATTTGTATTCAGCAAAGTCTCACGTGTAAGACAGTACCCCCTATGTACAGGTTTTATGGCATTTTGGGAAGTTACAGGGTCAAATATAGCACGTTACATTTGAAATTGAAATTCGCCAGATTGGTTACGTTGCCTTTGAGACTGTATAGTAGCCCATGAATGAAATTTACACCCATAATGGCATACCATTTGCAATAGTAGACAACCCAAGGTATTGCAAATGGGGTATGTCCAGTCTTTTTTAGTAGCCATTTGGTCATAAACACTGGCAAAAGTTAGCGTTAGTATTTGTTTGTGTGTGAAAAATGCAAAAAACGCCAATTTTGGACAGTGTTTGTGACTAAGTGGCTACTAAAAAAGACTGGACATACCCTGTTTGCAATACCTTGGGTTGTCTACTATTGCAAATGGTATGCCATCATAGGGGTAATTTTCATTCTTGGGCTACCATAGGGTCTCAAAGGCAACGTAACCAATCTGGCGAATTTTAATGTGAAAAAATGAAACGCAAGCCTTATATTTGACGCTGTAACTTTTGAAAACACCATAAAACCTGTACATGAGGGGTACTGTTGTACTCGGGAGACTTAGCTGAACACAAATATTTGTGTTTCAAAACAGTAAAAAGTATCGCAGCAATAATATCGTCCGTGTAAGTGCTGTTTGTGCGTGAAAAATGCAAAAAACGTCACTTTTACTGGCGATATCATCGTTGTAATACATTTTACTGTTTTGAAACACTAATATTTGTGTTCAGCGAAGTCTCCCGAGTAGAACAGTACCCCCCATGTACAGGTTTTATGGTGTCTTGGAAAGTTATAGGGTTAAATATAGTGCTAGCAAATTAAATTCCCTTTACTTTTGGCATGGGTTGTCAGGCAGGTCCCGCTAATTGTAATTAATTAAGATACCTAATTATGTAAAAATATTACATAAATATATATGTAGAATTAATATATGTATATATACAGGGAGTGCAGAATTATTAGGCAAATGAGTATTTTGACCACATCATCCTCTTTATGCATGTTGTCTTACTCCAAGCTGTATAGGCTCGAAAGCCTACTACCAATTAAGCATATTAGGTGATGTGCATCTCTGTAATGAGAAGGGGTGTGGTCTAATGACATCAACACCCTATATCAGGTGTGCATAATTATTAGGCAACTTCCTTTCCTTTGGCAAAATGGGTCAAAAGAAGGACTTGACAGGCTCAGAAAAGTCAAAAATAGTGAGATATCTTGCAGAGGGATGCAGCACTCTTAAAATTGCAAAGCTTCTGAAGCGTGATCATCGAACAATCAAGCGTTTCATTCAAAATAGTCAACAGGGTCGCAAGAAGCGTGTGGAAAAACCAAGGCGCAAAATAACTGCCCATGAACTGAGAAAAGTCAAGCGTGCAGCTGCCACGATGCCACTTGCCACCAGTTTGGCCATATTTCAGAGCTGCAACATCACTGGAGTGCCCAAAAGCACAAGGTGTGCAATACTCAGAGACATGGCCAAGGTAAGAAAGGCTGAAAGACGACCACCACTGAACAAGACACACAAGCTGAAACGTCAAGACTGGGCCAAGAAATATCTCAAGACTGATTTTTCTAAGGTTTTATGGACTGATGAAATGAGAGTGAGTCTTGATGGGCCAGATGGATGGGCCCGTGGCTGGATTGGTAAAGGGCAGAGAGCTCCAGTCCGACTCAGACGCCAGCAAGGTGGAGGTGGAGTACTGGTTTGGGCTGGTATCATCAAAGATGAGCTTGTGGGGCCTTTTCGGGTTGAGGATGGAGTCAAGCTCAACTCCCAGTCCTACTGCCAGTTCCTGGAAGACACCTTCTTCAAGCAGTGGTACAGGAAGAAGTCTGCATCCTTCAAGAAAAACATGATTTTCATGCAGGACAATGCTCCATCACACGCGTCCAAGTACTCCACAGCGTGGCTGGCAAGAAAGGGTATAAAAGAAGAAAATCTAATGACATGGCCTCCTTGTTCACCTGATCTGAACCCCATTGAGAACCTGTGGTCCATCATCAAATGTGAGATTTACAAGGAGGGAAAACAGTACACCTCTCTGAACAGTGTCTGGGAGGCTGTGGTTGCTGCTGCACGCAATGTTGATGGTGAACAGATCAAAACACTGACAGAATCCATGGATGGCAGGCTTTTGAGTGTCCTTGCAAAGAAAGGTGGCTATATTGGTCACTGATTTGTTTTTGTTTTGTTTTTGAATGTCAGAAATTTATATTTGTGAATGTTGAGATGTTATATTGGTTTCACTGGTAATAATAAATAGTTGAAATGGGTATATATTTGTTTTTTGTTAAGTTGCCTAATAATTATGCACAGTAATAGTCACCTGCACACATAGATATCCCCCTAACATAGCTATAACTAAAAACAAACTAAAAACTACTTCCAAAAATATTCAGCTTTAATATTAATGAGTTTTTTGGGTTCATTGAGAACATGGTTGTTGTTCAATAATAAAATTAATCCTCAAAAATACAACTTGCCTAATAATTCTGCACTCCCTGTATACGTATGTGTATATATATGTATATATATAATTTTTTAAAAATATTTTTATTTATATATAGGTATATATATAGTGATATATACGTATAAATTTATGTATATAGATATATATATTATTTCTTTCTACGTGTATTTTGATATATATATATATATATATATTAATTTCACAATACAGTTAGAACGAAATAACACACATCTATATATTTTTAATTATTTATTTTTAATTATTTTTTTAATTTTATTTTTTAACGTATTTACATATATTTTTATATTATATATAAATATATATATAACAATAATTATATATATATATTTAATCAGTATCAGTCTATGTGTAATTTGATATTAATATATATATATATATATATATATATATATATAATTATATATATATTAATAGTAATGTATGTATATGTGTATATATATATACTTAGATCATATATATATTCTATATATATGATCTAAGTATATATTGTTTGTTTGTTTTTACACTTTTTAATTTATTTAATTTTATTTTCAGCCAGCAGGGGGGCCACCTGTCATTACAGGCAGCCCCCCTGCTGGCAATGCAGGAGGCAGCTACCCCCGGCTCTCACATGGCCAGGGGGGCTTCCAGGACGTCGGACGACCGGGTAAATAGGAAAAGACCGGAGGGCGTACTATTACGCCCGGCGGCATTTAGAGCTGCTTAGAATAGGGCGTAATAGTACGCCCTCCGGTCTTAAGGGGTTAAACTAATAACACACAAAGAATGAAATGTTGCCATGTTTTTATTGAACACACCATGTAAACATTCACAGTGCAGGTGGAAAAAGTATGCAAACCCCTAGACTAATGACATCTCCAGGAGCTAATTGGAGTGAGATGTTAGCCAACTAGAGTCCAATCAATGAGATGAGATTGGAGGTGTTGGTTACAGCTGCCCTGCCCTATAAAAAACACACACCAGTTCTGGGTTTGCTTTTCACAAGAAGCATTGCCTGATGTGAATGATGCCTCGCACAAAAGAGCTCTCAGAAGACCTACGATTAAGAATTGTTGACTTG